ACATTCCTTAGCAATCCAGCCAAACTCTTTATTTGGCCAAAATTAGTCATAATGTGTATGAAATTATGCAATTTATGACAAATGATGCTGAAAACAGTTACACTTTTGTATACGTGCAAGTTGTGGTTCATACTCACCTTGCAAGTAATGCAAAAGTGCAACTTTTGTCGGAAGCATTTTTTTTATGAATTGCATAATTGTGTACACCTTATCACTGTTTTGGGCAAAATATAGAGTATGGCTGCATTGCTAAGGAAATTCTAAACTGATTAGTCGTAATTTGAGCAAGATGTGCGCAGTAGCTTTTGTGTTAGTAAAAAAAGTATTAGGGGGCACTTTCTTTTTTGGTTGAATGTAGTTACGTCAGGAACCGCTACATGGGCGTGTATCAAGAAGAAGAGCAAAACTAACCTTAGTCGATTCTCTCAGGCAAGACACCGACCTTCCAGCCGGACACAACTGAAGTATGAGCATATTAGCCTAAGCGATACTGGAAAGAGCCAGCACGAGCAGTAGATATCCGACTAAGCTAGTGGAGTCATCTCCCCGCTGTAACTAACTGTAGACCTCGAGTAAACATGACCACAAAATGGTTACATTATATATATATGCTGTGTTGATAGTATAGGTTTTTCCGGCCAATTTCCTAAAATGTGCATTCACTTCTGCAAATCGGTCATTCGTTTTCGTCTGAATTTGAGAATCGCACTGAACACGCGTTTCATTTTCGCTGCCGGAGCATTCGATTCCATTTCAGTTCAATCAATTAGTGATTGAGCAGCACATTTCGTTCATGCTCATTCAGTTTCGTTTACAAGACTTCCTTTTCGCTTTTAGAGGGCGATTTCAAACATTGGTCCTTTTTTTCAGTTTTAGATTAACGTTATGTGATGCAATCTGCTAATGAGAAAAACTCTGTGCGGAAAGGTATGCTTGCGTAAATAAATTCACAGGTAACGTAATTAGCCGTCTGTTTCTCAAAACCGAATGCACGGACAATGAAAACGATTGAACTTTAGTTGAATTGAAATGGCATTAACGACGTGCATTCAAATTCAGACGAAAATGAATGACCGATATTCAGAAGTGAATGAACATTTTAGGAAATTGGCCGGGAAAACCTATATAAAATTAGAAACAAATACTTTAAAACAAGACTATCCAGGGTGGCCCATAAAAAAGAGCGGCATAGAAGAAAGATGATACCAAGATTTCCCGATTCGTTATAGTAGTTTTTGCTGCAGAGCCTTTTTTTTGCGAAGCGCATATCTTTCATGTGAGTATTATCACATTACAATATTAATCCCTCTATCCAATTAACCCAATTCGCGGGCGCGGTTTAGTAATTCATCGGGACAAAATTACTACAACTTTGTTTTACAAAGTAGGCTCTACAACAATATTGGACTGAATCGGGCGATTTTGGTATGAATTTAATTCCCCATGCATAGGTTGTTTGAGTCTCTGGGTAGCGGAAGTACGCCATTCCGGTTTTTGTTTTGTGCCACCCTGTCTAATTAATAAGGTCCAAACAGTATTTCCACTGGTTTACTGCTTTGGCAATAGCTTTCAAACCGATTGTAACTGCCTGTATATATTTCCTTTGTTCACTTCTGGCACGAGTTCAACGCAACAGGTGTCCTGAAATATTTTGTAATTAAAATTACAGAGCTTGCGATCTAGGCCTCAAGCAACATCTGGTTTCTTAATACCGCAGTCAGTTTCCTGAGTTCTTTGGGCAAGACAAGTACAGTTTGATGAACAGTGCCATCAATATTGGATTATATTCCTTCAGGCATTGCGGCTTCGTCCAGCCTCCCTCAGCCCACGCCATCCCCCTCGTGGGTTCCGTTGCCAAGCAGCAGTCCCACGCCGCTGCCAGGTTTGTCTGCTCAAGCTTCCCCTCCTCCAGTCAGCAGTGACGTCACTCACCAACCCTCCCACGATGCTCCGCTAGGAGTATCGTCTTCACTTAAACCCTCAGGGTATTCCCCGACTCCTTCTGTCAGTGATGGTTCGTCAGGAAGGGAACTTTTCTCATCCTCTGTTTTTCCCACCCCTCTGTTTTCCACTAACACTTATAACGCTGATCTAACATCGTCTCATTCCTCATTTTCAAAGTTCAATTCGGCTTATTCTTTTGTGTCAACAATCACAAACATTTACCAATCATCTACTGCCAAATTACCAGAGTCGCCAAAGCGCATCGACCCAATTTCGTCTTCTTTTGGACCCATTCTTAGTTCAACGCAACCTCCCTCCATTGTTTGTACTCCTTCATTATTTGAAATGACAAAAACGCAACATTTGCAGACTTTGAAAACCACAAAAGCAACAAGGAATACAATCACTGTATCTGCAAGCTTGCATTTCGAAACCCCCACCCAAACACAAACAACGCAGTCACTGTCTGCGGAGGTAACCTCCAACCCCCCAACAACCAATCACGATGACGAATCCGTAACGACGGATGCTACATCATTAACGTCTCCCGCCACCACCGACCAATCGGAAAGGGCGAGTCATGGCGCCACGTTGGGTGAGTTCAATCTTGTGACCAATCAGCATGCGTCTTGTGTCGGCAAGGTCCACATTTGCATGAAAGGAGTTGGAGTTTTAGAGGAAAGAACCGCACACGCGATAAGTGCATGTTCACTGCAAATGCATGACGAGTGGTAAAAACGCACGACCTTGAGTTAGATATTATACAATAGGTAGAACAGAGAAACCGTCTGTCGATCCCCGCATGAGTCTTGCATGATTATACACACGAATATTGGCTGGTGTTAAAAAAAAAAATGTTAAACAGGACGACACTCTGTCTTTTGCATTTGTTATTCTATGTTATTTTGATTCTTTCCTTAATTAATTTTAAAAAACCACTTTATGTCGTTTTTTTTACACGTGCACTTGAACAATATACCGCTGTTTGCAGTGTATACATTTTTATATCACAGCACATTAATATGCACTTAATAACAGTTACGTTTGCATGCTTATCACGAAAATGATGGTCGACACGGATGTAGATGCACGTGGCGTTATAGAATTGTTCTTTATAAAAGGTCTGCCACCTAGAATTCGCAATGTGAAATTAATAAAGGTGAGTATTAAAGTTTAAGTCAAAGAGGTACCTCCGGTATCACAATTAATCTACAAAACCCTACCAGAAAGAAATACTTTCTTTTGATCGGCGTTTTTCAAATAATTCATTACAATTCGAAGGTAATCGTATTTCTAGGATATTTGCTTGTATATACACGTTTTTATGTCAGGACGACGCGTATCGATTCCAGTAGAGGTAAGGTTGCAACAAAGTTTTACGTGCTGCAAGCGGATACAATACGGTACACCGGTATCATCGCCATAAACTGGCCTATATTTTTGACACTAAAACAATAGCTGCATCAAGTGGCCAGTCGCATTGACAAAAAAAATCAACATTTCAATCAATGTGAGTGTTTTAAGAGATCAATATGCTCATTAATTTCCTCCAACTTTTCATGATCGTCAGGGTCAACTGCGGTTCCGGTGATGTGCCGTGCCGAGATTCTGGACGGGTTGCAGTGGGAGGAGACGGAGCGGAACACGGCGGCCGCACAGGCCTGCCCTGACAACCCTTTCGGTGCGTCCTAAGTAATTAATGTCTTTTAAATATTGACCCATTAAACACTGGATTCTTTCTATTTAAAAACTGCACAACGAACAGGTGGGCAAATGGGTTGGTATGTAGACTAATGTTCGTCAACACACCATGGCCTACATTCTTGGGCAGATTCTTCCCATAAATGTTTACTCAAATTAACCAACAATATGCAAATTCATACCAAGGTTGGATAACTAATATTGCCTAATTACCCAACTTTCTTTTACAGCGTGTAGTTGGAACTACATGTAAAGGGCATCAGTTTGCGAGCATGGTGTATGTGAAAAGCCAATTTTTGTATTCCCAGTCAAATCCAACCAAATTAATGTTTGAAGTGTGATGCTCCAGTATATGGCCTATGCAGGGTCGTCTCAAAAACAGGTGTTCAGAGCTACGGCTACGCCTACTATCGGTGCTACAAATCCAGTACACTGAGCCACTAAGCCCCGCCCAAATGTGCCTTGACCAATCACAGCAGTGACTTATGTCGTCACTATTTTGACGAAGTGACACATCCTTCCAAAACCGAGATTTTTCTGAAATCTGAGATTTTTGAATATTGTAACATTTCATGATGTCCTCTACATGATTACCAAATTTCGAGACACAACATTGCATCGTTCGTTAATTACGCTAATTACGCTAATTGCACAAAGTGTTGAAAGTGCTACACACTAAGTTTTTCGTTTTGACGAAGTGACGGATCTCCATGTGTCACTTAGTCTCATTGATTTTACACGTGGGCTATATTTAGAAATATGAAGCCTCCACGATTTCCTTTTTGACGAAGTGACGCATGTGCGTTCTAAAACGTATCAATTTTATATACGCGCACGCGCTATGTTCAAACACATGCCTCATTTTTTGTGAAGAAGTAGATTTTCCGCCGTATTGACGAAGTGACGGATATCTTTAGTAATTAATATCTTCTAATTAAACATGAATTTATGAACAGAGATAATTGTTTTTGGCTATCTAATTCCTGGGCTATTGTCTCAGTTTTATATTTTTCAATTCTGGGGGAGAAATGTACACAAAAATGCAAATTGAAAAATCCACCAACTCCAAACGCAATTTTCTCAAAACTCGGTTTTGCATCTGTCTGCACAGATGCGTCACTTCGTCAAAACGGTGACGATGTGTCCAACATGCGCGCACAAACGTCCGACAGGCGTGCACGCGCTTAAATACGCGCACGGCTGGAACATGCGGTGTGATATTGGTGAGTAGGAGCACGTGTTGGTTGCCCACGTGCGTAAAGTGGGCGGGGCTTCATGGATCGGTCTATGCTGGCTCTATATACAAGAGGTGCAATGGGATGCGGCCATAAAGTTCTACATTCAAAAGTGTATTTTCATCTCTTCAGCTACCGTGAGACGCAATTGTGTTCTAGTGGACACGATGTCTGCAGCGTGGAGACAACCTGACTACAGTGACTGCCAGATACCAACGCCAGGGGAACTACTCAATAGGGTAAAGACAACAATTCGTCAATGTTTTTACGAAGAGCCACATACTTTGATTTGAAAGAAAAAAGCGTTTTAAGACAAAAAATACTACTTTGCAACAACTTTGTGCAGTAAGGAGACATTCACATGATTCTATAAGAGGTATATTTTTACGTGAACCCAGTAATTAGAAATAATACAGTAATTAATTAGCGAAATTTAATTAGTAAAGATGTGTCTCTTCGTAAAAACGAAAGTCTTAGTTGACCTACTTTTACGCCTTTCCGTGCAATAGGTTTTGTACGCGTTCAAGGGGCCAAAATGTATGTGTTTCTTCGTGAAAACGTAAAATGCAATTATCGAGATGTCTGCCATCATTAATGTAATTTTGAAATTAACGATGTTTTGTTTACAGAAACATGTCAAAATGGTTAAGTACAATATTTTAAAGCAAAATATTGACAAAATGACAATTTATGACGTATGTGTCTCTTCGTGAAAACGGTGACGAATTATCAAAAATAGCTACAATTTGCTTCGGGAACTTTGGACCAGTTAAGGGCGCCGTTTGAATAAGCTTCGACATGAACACGAGTTAACTGGTACCTTTCTACCATCGTAGACTACTGCAAATGCGAAATTATTCCTTTGAAATAAATGAAAATAATTGTCTGATTCCATGTTACACCTAGTTGACCTTACTGTCCCACTTCGCGAGTGTCGATCCTGGTGACGTCATCAAGGCGACCTTTCAACTGGCGCAGATGTTGGCGCCCTCAACGACCGACGGGAATGCGAACTCTGCTGATGAGTATTCTGTCTTGGTTGAGTTGTTGGAGATGGTGGCGGCACTACCTGACAAATTCACGGAGTGTCGACAGGCTGATATGGAAAACTTTGCCAATGTAAGTACATGTATATGGACCGCCGATCAAGGGCAAGTTCGAGCGAGAACTAGTATCCAATAGCGCGACCAACTTCACTCGACCCCACGCTAGCCGACCTTATAGTTCGACTTGTGCAGTCAACTCTTCAGCGCCAGCCCACCGAGGTTTGTCGTACCGCTGGTTACCAATATAAAGCCGAGAGCACCATAGTTATAGCAGGGAACAGTTGAATTAAGTTTTGACTTGTCTAGTGTTTGAATGGAGACGTTCGCACGTCGGTTGCTATTAGCGCGCATGTGTCAGTAACGTCACGATACAAGCAGTAGTCGACCATTGGTGCCGAATCGAAGTCAATCCAAATTGTTTGGCTGGTAAACTTTGGTTTTTATTTGGTAGAGCAGTACCTAACTGAGGCGGTGTTTTCCACAAAGGAGCAAGCGTATACGCTCTTATCCTCAAGTGTCAAGAATACTATATTACACCAACCGACGTTTTCTCGATTGTTATCTTAAATGATGATTTATATTCAAAATTTCTTATTTCTTCTGCAGTCTTTCCTTCAAGCCGTTGACAATATACTGCATCCAAGCAACATTGCTACGTGGACAGGAAATCAACAGGTACATGTATTATACAAATCCTGTATGTATGATCAGTAATTCTTATAACTGTTTTTAACGAAGTCAATCAATATTACGTCGTAAAATGACGGAAAGTTAATTTCAGTGGATAGACCCATATAAATCATTTGTCGATAACACAGTTACCATTCCCATGTACAGTTTTGTAAAAATATAACAAACATCGGAAAAAGTGACCAACATTGAAAATGCAATCCTAACAAAATAATATTTGCACAAGATTCAAACATGCGGTTCTTGTTTAACACGGTTTTTAACGAGAGCAATTCTGGGTTGTACTGCTTACATCACAACATGCATTTTCATCTATCGTTTTTCCCGTGCACACTTCATTGTATTAATATCGTATACATTTTCTCCAATTTAAGGTTGAAGCTGACACCGTGCGCATCATGGACGCCGTTGAGAGCTTCACTGCGCAGACCGCAAGAGAAAACTGCGAACTGAGTCTGACGTCACATGAGGACACGGCAGCCTTCTTCGAAGGCAAATATGACCATATAGGTACGACGGCCGTATGGTCCGCGAACGGATGAAGATGTTCAAATGTGACATTGTGATGATTGGTTTTGACGTAAATGCTATTTAGTCAGGCGGACAAGCCTATCAATAGGGGATGAAACCTGGCATTGCACTTATTATACTTAAGAAGAGTTTGGCATTATACGGCGCAAAACATCTCATCTTTCTATCCTCACTATTAACCAAAACTACAGACACCTTACAATAAATACACCGGGTTAACCATTTTAATGGATGTATTACTTTTGTTTTAATTTACGAAGAGATTACATAATGGAGGTCACAGGGTAAAGCCCAAAATAAGATTTGAAGGTTTGCACGGTGAAGGTAGCAATAAGATAAAGATTTACGGTAGCACCATTTGAGTTGCTGAGGTTCCGAAAAGAACCGGGGGAACTCAACGTTTCGTACAGTATGCTCTGCCCATCGTCAGGAGACTGAAGACACTCTGCAAGTCTCCTGACGTCGGGCAGAGCATACTGTCTGCAACGTTGAGTTTCCCCGGTTTTTGTCACAGCCTCACAAACTCATAAAAGAGATTTGTCACATGGTACTACCGTAAATCGGGGTCTACCTGATGTTCGCCTATACATATGTTCCCCAATACCGATGTTCCCCGAAATCCTTAGGATTAGGGTTAGAGTTAGGGTAAGGATTTCGGGGAACATTGGGGAACATAGGTATTGGCGAGCATAGATATGCACCCCCTTAAATCTTTATCTTAACGCCCAAAATAGTTGCCTCAAAACGCTCAACACCTTTTGGGGCTAACAAATCCCCCCCCCCCCCAAAAAAAAAAAAAAAAATCCTTTGAATATTACACTTCATAAAGTGAATGATGTATACTCAAAAGGATAATAAATAAATTACAATCAAAAGACAATAATCCCTTAAATTGATGAATTGCCTGGCAGTTTTCAGGAAATCGCGAGAAACGCCTGGGGGATTCAGCGGGCTGTCCTACTCGGCGACCTCGGCCCGTGCATCCATCACACTACCGCCTGAGGTCTTCCAGGGCGTAACGGATGAACAAGGTTCGTGCACTTCTCAATAAAGCAATTTGTTCAAAGCGTGAATTATTTCAGTGAAAAGGGGTAAACGGCCAGTTATATTTTGGCAAAATGTGCGCAGGTGGGAAAAGTACCGGCAACAGGACATGAACTGGATGACAGGATGGGTGATGACAGGATGGGTGGTGTATGAACGTGAAAATTCAATGATATAATTCATGCATTGAAATTAATCTATACTGCGATTTTTTTATTGAAAGTTTGATGAAGTATTGGATGTGTTTTTTTCCTTTTTACACATGTATATATAACTGCTAGTGTCTGTTTGTCAGGCGGGCTGTGTCCTTGTTTGTCTCGGTCAGTCGATCAGCTTGTCTATCTCAGTCTATCTATTGGTCAGTCGGTCGTTTGTTTGTCTGTTTCTGCCTATTTGTTGGTTGTTTTCTGCTCATCGTTATTTATGTTTCTGTCTCATGGTCTGTTATTTGTGTGTTTTTCCATTTTCGGTTGTTCGTCTGCTATTGTTTGTTTTTGAATAATGGGTCAAAATGTTTTAGTTCATTCACTTGTGTGTTTAATGTTACTTTAAAAGTGTACTTAATTGTCTTAAGTTTTTTGTTAATGTATGTTTAATTGTTTGAATTTATCCTTTCCATCCACTGATTGTGCAATGTCAGCCTTCTGGCTGCCTGTTTCAAATTTTTAATAAAACCAGAATAATAATAATAAAAAAATATATATGAACTGTTTGATTATAAAGGACCCTTCAAAGTAGAGTCAGTTCAGTTTCGAAGCGAAGTAAAGCCGTTCTTTCTTATTCGCGCCCTCAAACCGGTTGGTGCCGTTGCGAACTTGGGCCACCACGCGAAGAGCACAATTGACTTATGCATAATATAGGCGGATTTAGACGGCAGTGGTTTTGTGCATTCATTGAATACACGGATAATGAATACGATTGAACATTCGTTGAATTGAAATGGGATTAAAAGACGTGCATTCAAATTCAGACGAAAATGTATGACCGATTTTCAGAAGTGAATGAACATTTCAGGAAATTGGCCGGGAAAACCTATACATAGAATAACAAAGACTACCCTCTGATGCACCTGCAACGCATAAGGTCTACACGGGTTGAAACGTACACAATTGCAAGGCGGATGAAGACTGACAAGCATTAAACGAATTAGTGTGTATGCGAGGTGACGACGACTACACCTCGCAATCAACTCACGTCTTTGAGTCCCCAGTAGGTTTAACACGGAATTAAAAGACGTGATTACCTACAATGGGTCACCTTCAGGTATAGCAAAGACATTGTGGTACGGCAAAATCTGTGGTGTCCCATCCCAGGATATACTGAAGTGTTCCGGATTTCAAATTCTCGGCAAATGAACATTTGTGTTCACAGTAGGGAAAAATCAGTTGAAAATTATACACAATGTTGTCAACGCAATCAAATATATATCTAAAGTGTTTTGAAATGATATTGTCGGTCTTTGTTTGCAGTCACTCTACTAGTTGTGTTGTATCCTTCCATTGGTGACTTGCTCGATTCAGTGCCAACCACTACGCAACCAAGGTAAGCTCAGCAAAAAAAAAAAAAGGTAAAGGGCACGGGTTTCGCTAGAAGGGACTGCATGTGGAGAGAGGCACACCCCATTGATCGTTTTTGTCGGCAAAGTTGTCCTCATGTCGGCAACATTCGGGTGACCGAGAAAACAAATCCTGTCTACCTTAGCACGGATGATCTTTCGACAAATTTATTGTCCCCGCCCCCAAATTAAAAGAGGTCTAGCGACGCTCCAGGTAACGGGATGACGGTTCTACCGTGGAATGCTGTTTTCCCCCCAACCAAAAACGCGCCAAGTGCTACTATGAAACCATAGAAAATAGCGTTGGAGCGTGCCTTTTGGATTAGAAAATATAGAATCACGTGCAGGAACAATTTGACCGACCGAATTAGAAAAAAAAAACATATAAAAATACGTGGCTCGCTCCATTTCATAAAACACGCAGTCATCAGGTACATAAATATTATATTATCTATTACCGAGTTATTGACTAGTAACTGTGAAAATTTCACGTGATTTTCATGCTCCATTCCCAAGTTATGTCTATTTTAATATGAAGATCACAAAATTCAGCTGTCCACCACTGATAATTTACCGTTAAGAACTGATGAATACCCATTAAATACAATGAGACATGGACGTTTTCCCACCTCGATGAATGGAGAACTTGCAAAGGAAAACATGTACCAAAATCGCCAATAATATTTTGTCAAGGCCAAACAAAAGCACTTTGTTACAAAGCAAGTCTATGTGCTGCGTTGGAATGAACAAATAATATATACATGTACATGATTTGCGCGTACATTAACTTTCTTCTTTTTTCTTTTTTTGGTAAAACGCAGCCCTGGAAGCACAATGAAAGTGAATTCAGCGGTGGTGACGTCATCAGGAGTTCACCAATCAGGACAGGCGTTTGAGAAACTGTCGGTGCCGCTTTGCATCAATTTCACCAAGGTAAACCCTACAAAAAAACTATTAAAAGGTTTTCTAATGAAACAAATAAATGCATGTATCTGTAGTTACAATTGTTATTTATCCTCGTCATTCCAGAAAAATCCCACTTTTGGAAAAGAGGAAAGCTGTGTCTACCTGAGCCGAACCGAAAGGTAATGCCTTCATTGTGACTTAATAAAGTAATGAATAAACTGTAAAACGCAAAGAAAAAACGTAATGATTCCAAACAATGAAAGGAGAAATACAAAAGTCACAGGCTTAAAGGGAAGAAACAACATTTGCAGACATCAAAAAACGAAATGATCAAATTATAACGAAATATCTTACTGGATTGTTGGGGAATGACAGTCCAAAGCATCCTGTAAAATCGTGGCTCCTGGTGTGCCGACATTTTCAAAAAAACTTGTATTTTTCCAACGCTGGTCAGCTGACCAGTGTTGGAGAAAACTTTTTTTTTTCAAGAACTGCTCCTAATTTTTCATATATAGTTACTCCGCATATTCTTTGCAATTGATTACAAACCTGTGAAGGGTATACAAGCCTGCTGGACTGATTCTCTGACCTTACAATTTCCCAAAGACCATACATTTCTCTGTTTCATCTTAAGTAGGGTCAGTGAACCAGACTACAAGAACATGGTTGGTTTTCTTGGGGTTTTTTTCAGCACCACCCAAAACGTGGAGCGATTCAGTTTAACAATATTTGCTAGAACATATTAATCCTCCGAATCCATTTATTTCAGAAATTGCAACAAAAACAAATGTTGTACATTCCCTTTAAATTATGGTTAGTTTCAATTGCTGCGAAGAGAAGTGCCGAAACCATGTTTCTTTCGTTACGAGTCATACCAAGTCGTTAATTAAGAAAGAAGCAGTTTACATCAAAGAAAATAAAATGACCTCTTTGTCTTTCAGTGGCGAGAGTCAGTGGCTTACAGACGGCTGTTGGATGAACGAACAGAGGAATGGATCAGTCCATTGCTGTTGCAATCACATGACGTCATTCGCACTACTTAGTGCTACGGAGGTAAATGAAACAAGTTTCTTAAACAGGTGTAATCATTTAAATTTGCAATCACCTTTTTTTTCGAAATGCAGAAAGGTAATAAAACACTGATACGTTTGAGTAAAATATTTATAAACTGATTTTGGTTTTCGATTTTTTTTTTCCACTAAATAATTATTCAGATTTGAAATCATGAAATGATTGTACAAAATAGAAAACACTGTTTGGCAAATCTCCCATGCATTTGATGATTTCTAACACGTACCGATCTTCCATACCGTTCCACCCTAATGGGTTTTTTTTAATCTGTAGAGTTGAATTTATGGTACATTCGTATACATACTTTCATTATAATTCGGGTATTTACCGGAATATCACACGCCGGTATATTATTAATACTAATGTGGTGCTATTACGCTTTATACCAATCAATCTCAAAGTGTTTCACAAAAATACCGATTTTCATCAGGCCATAAGACAATTTTTTTCTGCAGCAGCTCAAGATCAGCGCAATCTGGTCTCGACCCTCATATGTATCCGTTTATACTCCTGAGTGGAGATCGAGAGGCAATTGCAGTAAAGCGTCTTGCCCAAGAACACAAGCTCATGACCTCCGTCAGGGTTCAAACCCACGTACCACGGCACACGAGTCGAACACAGTAACCATTGGAATATGACGCTCTGCATGCAGATCTATCATTTCGTTGACTTTTTGTTTATTTATACCAGACGGTCGAGCCCTATCATCTCTTGCTATTGACCTACGTCATGTGCTCTGCGTCTTGCTTCATCATCTTACTGTCTGCTCTTATTCTCTTCTCAGTAAGGTAAGACATAGAGCTAAGAAACACTGTTAAAAAGCTGGCTAAAACACTGTTTGCAAATATTACTTGCCCAACATTCGTTTGAAATTAACTCAATTGTTGGTTAAAAGTGGACCAAATTTTGGGAGGAATTTGCCCACGAGTGAAGGCAGTTGGTGTCTTGATAACATTGGACAAATCATAAGGTTTAACATCTGCATTCGCACACCGCACCATTGTTAAAAGAAACAAACTCGCTAATGAACTCACTCAAATCTATACAAAAGAGACTTTAACTTTTTAATAGTCACCTTTATCTTCATTCAGCAGATTCAAATATACAATGTACATGTAATGAAGATACATGAGCATTTTAAACGGCGTGCCAATAGCAATAAAGTGACACATTAGAGGGACCCAGTCGGTAGAACGCTAATTATTCCAGAGAACGTATGCCTGCTTCACAGTCAGTTTTGTTTTATTGAACATAATTTGATTATTTTTTTTTTCTTTCGACAGGCATTTGAATACAGTCTCTCTGACCGTGCACGTGTCCCTTGCACTGTCAATCATTCTCAGTTTTGTCGTCGTCATGGCAGGCCTCGAGAGAACAACCAATCAGGTATGAGATACGTGGCAATCGTTATTCTCCCGGGGCGTGTCCAAACTTTTTCACAATAAAAGCGAATGGCAAATACTCAATACATGGCAGATGTGTTGTATGAACCTATCACGTCTTTGATGCTTACTGCTAAAATTATCATGCTGTACACATGTAGATTGTAGATGTACACATGTAGATTTCTTTATAATGAAAGGTTTGTGGAAACACCATGTGCGAATAATGTTTCAACTAAAAGAATGGTTCTGAAAAGAACCAGAGGTATAAACTCGACGTTCCGGTCAGTATGCTCTGACCGTCTGCAGGAGAAATTTTAGATTTCTTTACCTGTTTACATGTATATTCAAACAGTAAAGTAAAATAAAACAAATTACACAAAATAGCCAAAATGTTTACATAAGGAAAAATGGAGAATGTAACAGCAGACTTCGTTCCAGGCATATATCATAAAAAACATCAACAATTTGAGAGAGGGTCGTGAAAGTGGGCGGTATATCATTTGGTAGAGCGCCGTTACAAAGAATTACGGGTAATAACTAAGTTAATTTCTTGGTTCAACCTCATATTGAAATCAAGATTATGAATGCATAAATTGGTACATGGATATACAGTCGACTCTCGATAGTACAAACTCTGTTAATACAAAATTCTGGCTATAACAAACATAAGGCCTTGGTCCCGACTGTGCATTTATGTGCACAATGAATGGGACTGATGTTCCTCTAAATACAAAATTATGATATAACAAACAATTTGGCTGGTTCCGAACAAGTCTGTTATAACGAGAGTCGACTGTATATGGATATACACCTTATGTTGCGGATGTCTCAGGTGTTAATTATTATTTTTAATCTAGTAACAATGAAACCACAACAGATTCACTCATGCCTATACCCAGGCATACAAAACCATTGCCCTCAAACTCCGCCTAAACGCAATAAGGTCGATTGACAAAACTCAACATTTACACACTGATAAAAAAGGGGAAACTCCTCAACTGCCTGATTTGAAGCTTTGTACAGTGGACAGAGCACACGTTTTTTAAAGGCACTTCTATGGTCACTTCAATTTGAGTTTTACATTCATTGACATTTGTAGGTGGTGTGTAGGATGTTAGCAGTGGCCACTCATTACCTGCTGACGTCACAGTTTGTGTGGTCACTAGAGGGCGCCCTACAAGTCTGTTACATGGCCAGCTCGGAGCGGCAGGAACAGAGGGCGTTTCAGCTTTGGATCTATCATGTTATTGGCTGGTGTGAGTATATGGTCAACTACTGACTGGTTTCAAATCACATCCATTTTGACCTGTCTTGTGTCTCAGATCGTACCCAGAAATGCAGTGCCAATGTTCCAGGTTTTTTTTTCTCGAATATCCACAGTTGCCACAAACTCTTTGATAACTTGTCCAACACTATAAAGGGGACCTAGTACCACTAAAACCAAGTTAGAAGCGCTAAGCAAGTCTATTTACCACACTTAACTTGGGCATGCAACTGGCAAGTAACAAAAAGAGAGCCTACTCCAAGTTTTAAACAGTTTTTTTCATTTTTAATGGAATAAGTGTGAAATTAAAAAATGAGGAAATCAGCCGATCCGAGGAAAAGTGACATGCCTGTTATCTCACTACCATGGAGTTTCAGTATTGTAATTTCAGTATTTCTGTTAAGACGGGAAGTAACAAGCAAATGTAAACAAACAAACAAAAACATTCAACTAGGTCATTGTACCAAAAGTCAACAACTGATGATCAGAAAATGTGATCATTGGATTATACAGTTTTTTTTGTAGATGGCTTTTTTACCTCCAGATGGAGTTGTTTAAAGTTAATGGCTGTTCTTTTCCCAGGTGGACCTGTGCTTCCTGTAGGTATATGCGTGGCCCTCTGGCTTGAAGAATATGGTGGAGCAGAAAGGTAGGTCATTGGAAAACTGAAGCAAACCTCAAGTGCAAGATGCTGTTCTTTTTCCAGCGGGCTCAATACAATCTCAAGTCAGTCCTGCAGAACTTGGTATAGTGCTATAAACGAAAACAAAAGAAAAGACGAAAACATATTAGGCAGACAAATAACCAACAAATTCAGTCATCCAGTCAATAAGAAAACTGATTGGAAAATGGCACATAGTATACTAAATTTAGTCATACAAAAGAACTTTCAAAAATTAAAAAAAATGTATCTTGACTATAAGAAAACATTAAAGGTAGAGTATATACTTTTTCATACGTGGATTTTTTTTTTTTTGAAGCAACAAAAAAGCTCAAAATCTAAAGTTGGTTGCTTAACAACTAACCTGATGAAGTTTTAGCTCAGTGAATGCTGTATTCCAGGGGGAAAACACATTCTAGGATCTGGATTTCAATTCAACAGTTGCCGAGAGTCCGAAATCGCGTCCGAAATCGGCATCCTGGCAGTGGCGTAGCCAGGAACTTTTCAGTGGGGGGGGGGGGGGGGGGGGGGGGGGGGGGGGGTGGGTTGGAAACATTTCATGGTGGGCGTCATGTAGATCACTGATAATTCTTTTTAGAAACTCAAGACAAGGTTTCATGGGGGGGGGGCGGCTGTCGCCCCCCCCCCCCCATTAAAACTTGTCTTGAGTTTCTCGCCCCCCCCCCCCCCCCCCCACCACACACACGCAGGGAGTTTAGTGTCATTGCTATCTTCAAATCAGTATGCTTTTAAACAATAATTTCGTCAGTTACTTTTTGGATAGCTGCAAATGATATAATCTACATGTACCTTTAAAACAAATGGATAACCAAGGGACAATATGTTAATCATTATAAGTAAAGTTCTTTCATTCTGATCTTTTGATGAAACATCTCAATTTTGTTTCCCTATTTCCTTCAAGGTGTTGGTTTAGCAACAATGTTATGGTCGGCCTGATCTCTTCATTAGGAATACCAGCACTGGTAAGTGATCAGACATATAATTTATGATACATATATTGGTGTTCTGTGGAAAATTAAGGAGAACAATTGAACTTATTTTGAATTTTCAAGCCAAGTAAAATAATGGTAGAAACTCCCTTTTTGCTAGCATGCCTCCTTGCAAGAATACCTTGTATGGTATAATTATAATGCCTTTTTTATATCATAGTACTTTTAGGACATCAAAAACCTAATGTAAGGTGATAATAGACTCTGTTATTGGGTATCAATCAAAATCATGTACAACCACGAGTAATTAATTTGATAAATTTGGGGTAGTAAGGTTAATACATGTGTACAAGATGCTGGATAAGGCTATATTAAAAAAAATTGGGCAAGGTTTGCAAGGTCAAAGTAGCCTAGGTTTGAAACCTTTAACAAAATGTAACTTGATAACAGGACATGATTAATCATCATTGTGGGATACTCTATTGGAGGAGTTACACAATGAGAATTATAGTTTTCTGTATCTAATACAAAACAGGACAAGGCAAGTCTAGTAAAGCTGATCCCAGAGTGCACAACATTCCTATTAATTCAGAATGGCTATTCACTGTAAATCTTCTCATGCATCTGGTGTACACAATGGGCCGGTATTAGCCTATCGGGGGTAATCCTACATGATAGCACTGCCTGGCTCTCTTCAACAACTAACAACCAGGCTAAGTCACAAATGACAGTCAGTGATCTACATGTGATGAGTCTGTTACTCAGGCACAAAGAGGACCGAAAGCTGGTCCCTCTGGGATTTGCAACACTTGACTACCAAAAGTCTAATAGTTAGACTACCAAAAGTCTAATAGTTATGACTCTCCTGCACAGATCAACGTTCTGGTTCTAGTTTACATCTCGGGGAAGAATGTCCCCACGGGAACGACACTGCAGAATGGTACGGACGACAACCATGCAACAAGGCAGAGGGCTATGTAAGTACATGGACCATGCATGGACCAACTAGAAAGCGCTCAGAGAGAGCAAACTTCCGCCAAGGCTGAACAATTCCCCGCTATATTGTCAGTACACCCAAAAGAAATACTTGCATAAATGGTGAAGAATCCTTAAAAAAGTACCCTGGATCTAGACCCAGATCTGGATCACTTCCAAATCTAATGGATTTGCACTTGTTCCAAGGACCACCCCTTAAAAAATGTTCATGCAAATCTGTCCATAACTTTTTGAGTTATCTTGTTAACATACAAACCAACCAACCAACAAACAAACTAACCAACAGTGATGAAAACATAACCTCATGGCAGAGGTGATATCTACATGTATGTTCAGAAGCTTGATGGCAATTGGGTGACATGCTGATGACATCAGGAGTCGTTAAATATCTTGGAAAACTTGCGGATAAGTTTATTTATAATACATGTAGGCCCAGTGTATTGCGTATTAATTGAAGGATGCTCAACAGCTTCCCTGAAATATTTATCTAAAATGTCATCAGTTTGTAATCAATACTGATAACTTCACTGTATGGATATTCCGGGGAAGTTGTGCACAACTGTGCACATAATACTGTACAATCAATGGGCCTACTGTGTGTGGAAAAAAACTATCAGCAACATCAAATTATGTTTTTGCCCTTCACCGACGTTCAAACGCTGTAAACTCAGTGTGTTACCTTCCGAGTGAAAGTTGGAAAAAAATCACTCGGGTGGGACTCGAACCTAGGACCTCCTGCTTTCTAGTGCAGATGTCTTACCACTCGACCACCGAGCTAACGGGATCGGCTGGCCGGTAAAGGTTGGCTGGTGAAGGGCAAAAACCTAATTTGATTTATATCACCCCATCTTATATCAGCAACATCCCAGATATTAAATAAGATAACTCCTTTGAGCAATGGCAGTGATTGTTTGTGAAAGTGGAAAGGCACAGTACATGTACATGTACATGTACATGCGTGTACATGTACATTTCTGTAGCAGGGTATCTGAAATAATTGTCTCCTTTATAGTATTGTACAACAGAGAATCAAATCAGTTCCGTGTGTGTAATAGGGATGGACTGAGATCTAATGTGCTGATTCTGGTGCTTCTGTGTCTCTGCTGGGGCTTCGGAATCGCTGCCTTCCAGCAACAAGATGACTTCCTACAGCAGGCATTTGCAGTCTCAGCTCTACTGCTGGTAAATATAAACGTATTTAACAGGGAGGGTAGTTTTCTATTTCTCTGAGAACTGTACATGTACAACGTAGCTGTCTGAAGTAACACTTTACAACATGATTTCTGCAAGCTTCTGACATAACTTAACAAGTTTTCTCAGGTGCAACTCAAACCCAGGCAACCACAAAGCTCACGAGGGTTTAGCTGCAGCAGCCTAGCCAGGTTTCTTATCCTAGGGGCGCGATTGGAAGGAAGAGGGGGAAGGGGAGACTGGCTCTTACAGTGGGGGCCCCCAATTTCATCTGTGCTAAGTGGGGGTGGGGTGTCTTGGGGGGGGGGGGGGACTAGGGTGGTCAATTGTTTATGGGGGCATGCGCCCCTTAGCCCTTGTAGCAATAGGCCACTGTTTAGCTGTCTAGTTCGAATCTTAAGCATTTACCAAAATGGTAGATTTTTGATGCAATTTGGATTAACAATGATTAATAGGGAGAAGTGCATCGGAAATTTACTGTACAATCATATTTTGTGACAGCTTCTTAAGAATTAAAGAGATGGATGAATTTAACGACTACTTAATTTTTTTTCAAATGACAATCTTAACATGAACTGAAATATTATTCACTTGCTGTACCGTTATCGTCACTTTTCAGGGTGTGTGTTTCTTCATGATGTTTCTGGTGTTGAGCCATGACGTGAGACAAGCTATCTTGCACGGACGCAAGAAGAACCGACGAAAAAACCAAAACAGGATGAAGGTATATGTCAAACACAACATGTGGTCAGGAAAAAGTCATTTTATCATGAGTGCTTAGATTTTCCCTGTTTATTATAAATCGCGATTTAAATCAACGTGATTTAAATCAGCCAACCCTGTTTTACATGACAGCATTTGAAAAAACAGTCAGTTTTTCTTTCCAATGACTGACGTCTGTCTATCATGATCATTGGAAATTGATACAAAATTCCACTTTTCTTGGAAATGACAGCACACCAGGTGCCATGATTTCACAGGATGCTGGAGACTATTATTCACTTACAGTCAAGTAAGATATTTCATAATAGTCTGGTAGGTTTGTTTTTGATGTTTGCAAATGTTGTATATTACCTGTAAACAAGGGCTTGAGTGACCACTGATAAAAATAGCTGGAAACAGCTAAAAAATTTGTAAAAAAAAGCTGAACTTTCGAAATCTCCTGTACATGTACTTTTGTATACAGCAAGTGAGGGTAAAAAAAGCTGAAATCCAGAACAAAAAAAGTGAAATCAGCTTTAAAGCTGAGATTTCACACCCCTGTTTTTTAAAACAACTTGTGTCCAAAATCACATCCAAAAAATACATTCAAAACCTACAAAGTCACACTTAAAGGGAATATACATGTACAACATTTGCAAACATCAAAAAACGGAATTATCAAATTACCACGAAAAACCTTGCTGGATTGTTAGGAAGTGACAGTCTAAAGCATCCTGTAAAATCAGGGCTCCTGGTGTACTGACATTTTCAAGAAAACGTGTGTTTTTACAACACTGGTCGGCCGACCAGCGTTGGAGAAAACTGGCTTTTTTTCAAAAGCTGCTCCTAATTTTTCATATTTTGTTATTCCACATTTTGTTTGCGATTGATTACACACCTGTAAAGGATTACAAGCCTGCTAAACTGATTCTCAGACCTTAAAATTCCCCAAAGACTATAAATTGCGCCGTTTCATCTAAAGTGGGGTCAGGGAACCAGACTACAAGAACATGATTGGTTTTCTTGGTTTTTCCAGCATCTACAAGCCCAAAAAGTGAAACAACTCAGTTTTATCAACATTTGCTATACATACTAATCCTCCAAATCCATTTATTTCTAAATATTGCAGCAAAAGTAAATGTTGTACATTCCCTTTAAACAAAGGAAACAGTGTCAATTCCAGGATTTTGATTTGAGTTTATAGATACATATTGAGGAAACCAAATCCTCCAATTCTCTTTCTCTCTGTAAATCCACGAAGGATTCTCAAAAAAAAAAAAAAGACCCCAAATGCCCAATTATATTTACATGTATGTTTATATTATTTATTTCTCCAGCTTCGACAGAGGAAATCTGATGATTCCCTGATGACAAACTCAACAAATCCTGACACAGGGGAATCAAGACAACAGGTGCATGTACAGGTGGGTAGTAGGTTGAATCCAGTCTGCAAAAGACATACATGTAAGATCTTGTCACACTATGCATGTACCCATTTATACTCCTGGGTGAAGAGAGGCAGGTGGGAGTAAAGTGGCTTGCCCAAGGATACAATATTTGGCCAGCAGCTGGATTTGAACCCCTGACCCTCTAAACAAGAGTTATGAACCTTTAAACCAAGTGGCCAAAATCCCCTTGGTTATTTTGACCATCATTTGACTATCGACGACTACATTGCTATTGGTACTTAGGCGGAACTTGCATGTACGTCACGAATCACACAACCAATGGCCATTCATCGAACTTGCTCTATGGACTTTATGAGCTTAACCTTTTGTGTTCTGTTTGCACCATCTCATTACCAGCTACATTGGCAGCAATGTTCATTTGCTACCATAAAGACATGCACAGTGCCTTAATGACAAGTCACAATTTCCTTGCTAGAAACACTGTAACGTCGACCGGAACCTGGGTTCTCACACATCAGATGAAGGAAGCCACAGACACTATTCTTCAGGGTTTCAGGTCTCTATGCCATTTATTCTTGCCACTTTCTTACAGGAGGCTCTCTTTTTATGCAACTCGCAACAAAACACGCTATACAAAAAATGCCACACAACTGAGTCGGCACAGTCCGGCAATGGGTCTCCCTGACCAAGCAGCAGGGGTCCCAACGCTACGGTTGCACCGTAGGTCCGTGCTGGCGCCCCCTGCCTGCGGCCCAGCACCGGCGTTACAATACTCTAATCCTGTGGTGTACTGCTCAATGTGTAGCATCTTTTTATTTTGGTCCCCAGCCTCCAAGTAGGAATGACCGCTCTCTTGGCTCTACATCAACCACACTGTCACAACACAACACCCACTCCATTGGAACCAACTGCACCGACCTCGCTGGTGAGCCGATACACGAGGAGGGGTATGGACCCTACCGGAGAGGCAACGGTGCTCCTCACGACCTGTAAGATCATCTCTACACTGATTCAAGTGGTTTAATTTACTGTATTTATTGAAATGCTATCTGGTAATGAAACCGAGGGTTTGCCAAAAGAGAGAAGACGCTGAATTGTTCAGTTTTAGAGTTTGAAGGGAAAGTCTAGATTTGTACATGTGAGTGTTTCTGGCAAGAATAATGAAAGAAAATAACTTGTGATTGATTTGTGATGACTTGTGATTGACTTGCGATCATCTTGTGATGACTTGTGATTGGCTTGTGATTGACTTGTAATTACCTGTGATGACGTGTGATTGACTTGTGATTGACTTCTGACATGTCCGATTAATTTGTGATTGATTTGTGATTGACTTGTGATTGACTTGTTATTACCTGTGATGACTTGTGATTGACTTGTGATTGACTTGTTATTACCTGTGATGACTTGTGATTGACTTGTGATTGACTTGACTTGTGATTGACTTGCGATTGACTTGTGATGACTTGTGATCGACTTGTGATCAACTTGCTATGACTTGTGATTGATCCGTGATGACTCATGATTGACTTGTGAACGACTTGTAATGACTTGTGTCTTGTAAAGACTCTCATTACAGCTCTAGAATACATGTATTGGTGTAGCTAGGTTAACGCAGTTGCTGTGCAGTTATCTCCTACATCGTTGTACATGTGTCTTACCAAGGTTTCTTTACAACAGTTTGAATAGTTTGCTGTAGTCGTCAAAATAGTGTACTATCAATACCAGTGAATGGCCAAAAACCACAAGTGCAACAGTGGTACAAACAATTACACAAATGTACAACAACACACCGATACAAAGTATGTTGTAATCTTTTCATAGGGCGATGGATCATCGTAATGTTGGGTATGACCAGCGGATGCTACCATGGAGTAACCTTGGGATGATCAGAGGGGGGCCTGAGAGTTTAAGCGACAGGTCACCCCAGATGGTGAGACGTGGTGACAGATCACCAGACATGGTGAGAAGGAGCAGGAGAGAAGCATCACCACGGAGACGGAATGGGAATGTTATTCTCAATCACAGGGTAACGCTCACAGTTATATTTCATACCTTCGTCAAATTGTAATGTAAGTGCAAAGCTTGCATAAAGCATGACATGCTATCACGCTGTGTATGTTGAGATTCAAAGTTCCACTTCGGGTGTTTCGGTTTACAACCCCCCCCCCCCCCCCCCCCAACCTCAATTCAGGGAATGGGCCTGAAGCTGCAGTGCCTACAGAGAAATTTTGTTAGGCCAAGAATCTACATGTGAATCAGCTGAGCACAAAATGATCCGAATTGTTTTGCAGATTGTCAAAGAGGCAGAAGAGGGGAGGTCCACGGAGGAAGAGTCTCAGCACAAGAAACGAGAGAAGAAACGTCATGTCTCGTCCATTAGTGGAAGCAGTCACGGTGTAGACATGTCATGCATGCCATTCCCGGTAAGACATATTATATCTGCCATCTTTACTTTTTGGAAATGGCTTATGGTTATGGAAATGGTTATGGCTATAACTTTGGCTATGGTTTAAGGGTATGGAAATGGCTTTGGGAAGCCACTCTACTGGCAGTGGCTAAGCACATTGATGTATTAGGTAATCACATAACAAGGAACAAAACTAGACTTTCAGGCTAGTTTTGTTCCTAATAGGCTATGCCTGATACAGGAGTTGTTGTATAAGAGGCTGTTGTCCTTAGCATGGGGGCTCAAATTTGGAAAACCATCCAAATTTAGCCACAAAATATCTGATTCAGATTCAGCATTCTTCAATATGTAATATCCCAAATGAAATACGTTTAGACAAACAAGCTTTAGGCAAGGATAATCCTTACAAGTTTAATAGTTTTAATTATATAACCGACATACAGATCCTTGTCATTTGATTGGTGGAACTCACATCAGGTGACATTCGTTATTGCTACCTTTCACGCCGCGGCTCAAAAGTCCCATTCGCCCATGGGGAATGGGAAATACTATTGAACAGTTAGGATCATTCTTGTTCCATGACGCGGTATTTGTGTGCAAATGCATGCTGGTGTGCGCGTTCCAGCGCAGCGTTGGGTTCAAACATTTCCGTGAAGGGTGGTTTGGAAGAGAGAAATACATTTTCCACCAATTTTGTATTGAAATAAAAGTTCGTATATATCAAATGACAAGGATCTATGTCAGTTATATAAAACAAATATTGAGTTGGCTATAAATTGTGAAATGGGAGGAATATTATTGCTCGGTAAATTCTGGACTGTTTCAGTTCACTCGGCTTTGCCTCCTGAAATGGAAAAGTCCAGATTTTACCTTGCGATAATATTCCTCCCATTCCACGCTGAGCCACTCAGTATTTGTATACTATTGTGCATCTTTTATATTTCTCCATCAGTATCAGATGGACTGGAGGGATATCAGGGGGTCGAGGGTGCATCCCATGCCACTGGACCAGATCCCTTACTCCATGGATTATAGCCAAGGCCCCGCTCAACCCCAATACATTCACCCAAGGATGGCTGGCTTCCTGGTCCAACCCCACCGAGCTCTGCCAGGCCCCGCCCCCTCCACCTCACTCGGGAGGGGGCCAATCCCCGAAGTTGAAGAAACCAGGCAGGACCTTGGAGCTTTCCAAAGAAGCCTTGGTTACTATGGCAATGAGGGAAGTAATAGAGACAGCTTCTATGATGGACAACATCAAGCAAGGGACAGCTTTAGGATGCCTTTTAGAGGTCAGAGTTCACGCACTGGTTACCAAGGAAGAGGGCCCGAACCACATGATGGTCACCATAGAAACTGGGCTAGTAATGCAAATGAGAGCAGGCCAGGCCCTTCTGGATACACTCCGAGAGGTGACAGCATTGATTCACAGGCTAGCACCAGAAGCTCAGAAGGGATGCCTACAGGGATGAGGGCAAAGAAGGGCATTCTGGGAAAAAGGTCAAAGGTCACGGGTCAAGCAAGAGGAGGAGCAGAAGCCATGGAGGAAAGAAGCACAAACAGAAGGTAAGGACATATCCTCCCAAATGACACATTCAACTGTTCCACTTTGACCAAGCTTGTACAGACTTAGAAGTTGATCCCCGTAGTGACCCTGGACATTCCTTTGGATGGGACTTTGGAAACCATTTTGTTATTACACTTTTCTAATATTCCCATATCCATTTGAATGGAAAAATATGACAACACAAATCACACATGTCAAATAGATCAGATGAATCGAAGCTCAAAACCCAATAAATTCAATTGATAGTTGGACATTGTCAAATGATTGAACAGGATTGAAGTTATGCAAGTTCAGCACAAACTATACTCTCTGAATCAAGTTGCCTGCAAATTCTTTCGAAAATAGTGACTGTCTAAATAAAAGAGTCTGTGAAGAAAAATTAATGCACCTACGTTGTTTTCATTTTCTCTGTCTGATTCTAGAGCAATAACAGAACAGAGGAGGTATAATAAGCAGCAGTGGTAGGAAAGGATTGCACAACACCACAACATCCACTGGTGTGGACTTCAAAACCTATTTGCTGGAATAATCGGGACTTCACTCAGAGGTCAACTCAGTGCAACCACGGTAGTTCACTGGCACTGCAGCGGCCCAGCGAACACCCTGTTTCCACTCATGACTGTTGTGAATCCGTTTCATAATTGGCCTAATTCTCCTCTTTGAGGCAAAAATAAGCACAACTCAGTGTGGTTGTAACCTGTGTGGTGACAATCTGCTGAAAGGCAGTGAACCTTTTTTTGGGTAGTAATTTGTGAAAATGTTCTATAAACGTAAGATGTAAAATTGCTGTCTGTGATCGTTTGTGTTAAACATACCGGCATGTGAAATTTGTTGTTATGAAATGCACGTGAACTGTTGTCAACGAAGTGAACCTAACCTGGGAGGAGGTGACGTCACACTATCTCGTTGTATTGGGAATTTGAAACAAAGATGGACAATTTACATGTAGAAAGGCTTTACTCATAGTGAGACTTTACAAATGCTTGTTTGAAAGGACTGGTGTGTGAGATGTATTACAGAGCAAGCATATATTGATGTTACAGGATACCAGACAACGATGATTGAGGGAAAATAAAGGCTTATTTTAAATGCAAATGCAATTCGTTATTATAACTGAGAAAACTATATAAAATGTAAATATCACGTATATCCTTTTGTCTTTCAATTTTCTAAAGTTGTAAAGTTAATTTTCTTTTACAAATATGTAAAAGTATTACAAATGTAAAAGTAATTTAAAATTTGTAATCCTACTGATAAGTGTATGTACATGTAGATACAACTAGTGGACTGAAAATGGCTGAACTTTGCTTGTAAAAATATTTAGAATTGATATATTTTAAACATCAAATTATGTAGTATTTATTTGTCATATATGCAAAGTTATTGATCACATTGACTACCTGTACTTGCAGAACTTGTAGTTGCTGAATGATAGTTAAAAAAACAACACACAGACGAATAGGCCTCACAAAGACACTAGACTGCTAGAAAATGTAAGGCTATAATTACTGTCATTGAAATGGTATTCAGAGCTGTCATGGCTGTGGCTATGTTTATTGTCAGCATGTTAACATGTAATCTTGATACATGCTGTAATTGTAAATGAGGAAGACCTAGACAAAGCTCTAGCCAAAAGACACGGACACATGTATATAGGCCTACCATATCACAGACATATAAATGCATAGACCGCAAGTCGTGCGCGAAAACCATGATTTGAAAAAGTATGGGCAAAACGCTTGTTGACAGTGCGCGTAACCGCGCGACGCGCGTTCAATGTGGATACGCACTTAATACATACATACATTTACATACAGAACACAAATTTTTGAGTTAAAAAAGGCTTTTTTACTCACAATCCGACTGAAAAAAAGTTGTGCACGTTATTGTTTTTTAATCTACCTAAATCATATTAAGTACACAAGGGATTTTTTTCACAATCAAAAAATAACTCCATAGAATTTTTTTAATGGAACAGTTTGGGTGTGTGTAAAATCCCTATACCGAGAGGTGAATTTGCCCATAGTTTTGATTTTAGTCGGGCACGGCGAAATCACTGAATGTGCGTGCAGTTTCGAATGGGACCTGGCAGTCTATGTGTTTATACGTGTATGTCTGTGTATCAAAGAGAGCTCTACACTGTGCATGTACGTTTTTACTAATGTTAAACACAAACATGCATACTGTACATAGTGACCTTTCCAAATGGTACAAGTATTTCATATCAATTGGTTAGTGATATTGGATTTAAGAGAGCTGCGTTTAATGTACAGGGTGGTTCTTTTGACAGCAATTTTCACCAACTTAATGAAGTTATTTTAAATATTTTTTCACATAGTCGTAAAGTATAGGTCTTTAACCATGCATGGTCAAAAAAGCTTAGTAAAAGTCGCAAAAATAGAGATGTTATGCTAATTTGAATACAGGTCACCAAAAATCAGTCTTGTCCACGGGTTATTCTTTGTAAATTGGACGTTTTCGTAGTTCCTAAAAATTAAAAACCTTCCCACCAAAATATATTTTGCCCTGGTAACTTTTACTGAAGCTGTTCAATTATTCATGTCACTGTTAAGATCATCTACTCAATGAGCTGTGCGTTAAGTTCATTGTTGCATAACATAACATAACAATCAAATGTCATGCTCCTTTAAAAAAATGTGCAAATGCAAGAATTGTTTTCGTCACTTTTGCTTAAAGGCCAGTACTTTAATAACTACTAATCGACAGTTAAAAATAATTTTTAAAAATAGGTGAAAACTGCTGTCAAATGTGGGTATCCTTTTTTTTTAACCACCCTGTATTAACATCTTTAAGAATTACTAGTGTCTACGTTTTCTCTTTCAAAAATCTACATTTCATATTTCTCATTCAAAATGTCCGTCTTGCCTATTTGTAATGGCACGTCAACTGAAAATACATGGATGAATCAACTTTGTTTACAAACTTTCAGCAAAATTTGTGTACAGAAACTTGTGACCAAAATCTGGACCAGCTGCATGTTTTGCTGTTACTTACTCTGCACAGTTGCTGTAATGTTTGATACACTAAATGTTGAATTTTATAAAAATTGACTTTTGTTTCCACAAAGGAGTCCTTTTCTTTTGCTTCTTTTTTTCTACAAAACCAGGAAACTTTTGGTCATTAACTATCCATGCACAGTCGGTCATTAAATTACTAAAGGAATATTTCAATCATTTCAGATTATCACTTTTATGATTAATTAAAAAAAAAAAAATTCTTATATTTTTAAGTGTGAAATAAAATATTAACCTCAACAACATTCAAATATTAAAACAAGGAAAGCCTTTGTCGTGGTTAATTTAAAAGAAAAAAAATGTATTTTCATGTGAACTGATTTCATCAATTGAAGTCTATGTGATCTAAGGTTAAAAAACATATCAAAGAACCAGAACACCGAATTGGGGTTACCCAAAACAAGTACCCCCTCAACGGTAAGAAAGAGAGAGTTGGGGGAGACCACTCGCGCAAAGAAACCATGTCTTGTGCACAGTCAGAATAAAATTAGTTGTGAGTAAGATTTGAGGCTTTGCATGGTGGAGATACTAAATAATAAAAGGTTTGCGGAAACACCATGTGCGAATAATTTCTCAACTAATGACTAAGAGAATGGTTCTAAAAAGAACCAGAGGTATAAACTCGACGTTCCGGTCAGTATGCTCTGACCGTCTTCAGGAGAGTGCCTCAACTCTAAGAAGGTTTACACTAATGTAGCAGAAGCGAGAGCGATGAAGTGTGAAGTTGCATCCTGTGTGGATGCCAAGTAGCTGGGATCCTAGAGCAAGCTTACTGCCCCCTGAAGTGGAACAGTAGGGTTGCAGTCTCAGTAGAGGGAGGACCTAGGGTATAGGAAAACCCATCGGTCTAAGTGAAGGTTAAGGACCTAGGGTAAAGGAGACCCATCAGTCTAAAATTAGCTGTGTATATACATGTACATGTATGCGCACGAACCAGTACACACAAGTTATCTCCTGTCCATGACGCTCTCAAAAGTTGTCAAATAAAACTTTCTTGGGAAAGAATGTAGTATCCAGACGCTACTTCAGCGGTTGTGTACAAATTTATGGAGAGCCAAGAGAATTGTCTAAAGTGTTTCCTAACAAAATGGCAAATGTTTCTCAGTCCCAGATTGATGTATTTTCAACATTTTTGCAATGGCTGACCTTTATTGAGATGAGATATGAAGATAAAAGTGGCGTCAGGTTGCAACATTCTTTCCCTTTCTTGTTCGTGCATGGAACCCATAGCCCTCTACCGCCAGCTGCTTGGGACTGCGACTGGATGCAATGGGCTCCGTGCGCCGACAAAAAAAGGCCCCCTTTTACCTAGCAACGACGTCCCATTGGTGGGACATTTCGCTGGTTGACACGCACCGTTCCTTGTGTGTGACGCACGTACACCAGGGGATTTGTACTATGTACACGCAGTAAGGAAGTAGTAAAGTCTGTCGCGAGCCAATGGGGCTCATCAAGCCGGTGTTTATCTCCGGATTCCTTGGCATGAAACGACTGAGAATATTTCTACTCCCCCTGAATGGGATGCCAGTCCATCGCAGGATTACTCCTCAGCTAATGCCGGTACCCATTTATACTCCTGGGTGGAGAGGGGCAAGGGGGGGGTGAAGTGCCTAGCCCAAGGACACAATATATGGCCAGCGGCTGGATTCGAACCCCGGACCCTCTGATCATGAGTCACGAACCCTAACCACTAGGCCACACACTCCCCCTGTACACGCAGTGGCCGCGGTAAATGAATTGCAGTCAAGCAAGATGGCTTAGGTTGGTCACCCCCAACTGTACTTGCTTTGCCGGTGAGGGGGTACTTGTGAACGGAGTGGATAGGCAAACAAAATCCAAATTATATCCACCCTTGGCCCAGCAATTAGGCAATTTACATGATTTAAGCAGTGCAAGGAGACAGGCAGGGCGGTTTGGAGCAGTACAGGGACCCATGGGTAGCAAGTGGAATTACATGTAACTCACAGTGTCTGTGTGTCAAGTTCCTGGTTTACCGTCCCCCTCACGTTGGCTGGATTGATGAGCACCCTGGCTCTGCAGAAACCTCCGGAATGACTCCGCCTCTCTTAACTCTTCCTCTTCTGTACATGCAAAGACGAAAATCAAAATATTGAGATGACACTCAATAAAGATGCCCCCCACATACTCCCTAACAAATTTTAAGTTCTCTCTTTAACTCTTTCAGTGCCTAAGTCGTACATGTACAAGGTAAATTTGTTAGTTCGAAGTGCCAACCTCGTACATGTACGAGGTAGGCCTAATGTTCGTACTTAAAATCGCCAAACCTCGTACATGTACGAGGTAGAGTAAACATGTTATCACAAGGGGCGCTCTCACTCTTTCTAATAATATCATTTTCATTCAGGTACTACCTGTATTTATTTGTTTCATTCGAGTTCTTGCCAGAGGGCGCATCACTGACAATCATATTTTCTGCAAAAAGTGCGGAATTCCCCTGTGTGCAGGACAGTGTTTCAGGGTGTAGCACTATGTGCCTGACTACTATTGACTTTCCAATGTACCAAGGACATACCAGAGAGCAACAACAACAAATTTAGTGAGTAAAACATATTTCCTTTTTTTTTTTACAGAATTTTGAACAATTAAAAAAACGCTCGAAGTTGGGCAATTTAGGGTTAAACTTTTCAAATTTCGCGGGCACTGAAAGAGTTAATAATGATGTGTATTTATTAAGTGCAAGTATCCATCAGTATTGATGCTCAAGGCACCACATCATTATTACCCTGCACATTGGGCCAATGAAACATTCCAAAGACAACCTCAGCTCCCTGGGGAGTATACAGCTCGATGCTGCCATTTTGGCGCAAAGCAGCTAAAATCAGTCACAATAACCACCTCTGCCCTCACAGGTACCAATTTACTCCTTGGTGGAGAGAAGCAATGAGTGACAAAGTGCCTTGCCCAAGGGCACACGCACCATAACCCCAGGCTGGACTCGAACCACAACCTGCAGAATTACCCCCAGACCACGAATTCAATGCTCCAGACAACTATGCCACGCTACTGCTGATGTTAGTACACATCTACAATGTACATGTACTGTGTATTTATCATGTTTATAATGCAAAGAAATCTTCACAAAGCCAAAAGCACCTTAGAATACATGTACATGAGGAATGTGTGCAAATAGATATAAAGGACGAGGATAATAACAATATTATACCATCTTTGTCATCTTCATCTTCATCATCGTCATCGTCTTGGATGCCGAGACCAAGTGCAACAGGTGACCTCATCGCGTCACCTGTATCTAATGGACAAATTATAAAGCTTTATTCAAAATAAATGGAAATATAACAGATCTTTTTTTTCCAAGAAATCTTTTCCTTTATTTGTAAGGCTACATGTTTCGAAAGTAAAATGGTTTGTGGTCGGCTACATACATGTGTGTACATGATGAAGGCCTTTTAATAAGGGAATATATATGTGCATGGCCAGTTTTAAACAGGTATGCTTAAAACCAGCCGGCAGCATGGTCAATAATAATGATAATGATAATGGCCCGAGGCGAAGGTCATGATCCGTGGCTAGGACCCTAGCCGGTTTTAAACATACTTGTTGTTTATGGTTTATGGTTTATTTTAAAACATGACATATAGCAGTTAGAAACTGAATTGTATGACATTTACAACATTAAAAAAACAACAAATATAAAGCACATATACACATGTAGATATTAAAAGTACATGTACATGTATTTAGACTTTGAACTTAAAAAAAAAGCCTCCTCTGCATTCTGTACGAGGATAGAGTCTCGGCCTTACGTGAAATACATTTCTATAGCAAAAAAAAATGAAATGGACTTAAATTGTACATTATTGTTTAAATAAAAAAATATAAAATCACTGGGCAAGAAATGGTAATACATGTACATGAATTATACATTGGTGTTTATTCATTTAGTAGTGTTGTCAAATAGGGCAGGGGACTACATCTGAATCGTTTGGTCTTGCACTTGTTTAATACTGGCCAAGCACATAAAACAAGTTAAAAAGTTTACCTCATGTTTTGTGAAACACCCCTCTGGCCATGTTTATGGTATGTGCCTCGTGGGTGTAGTGCTAAAAATCTCCTTATATGGAAATTGGCGGGGCGTGGTGCGTACTGCCCGATGTGGCACAGAACGCAGAAATTGTGTTTGAAACCAGCTGGTGTGCAGTGGTTTAAAACAAACCACATGGCAGGCTCTTGGCCAATAGGAATGGGTAAACTGTCTTACATGTAGGTATTTATGAATAACCGATATTAAAATTAAAACACACGATGATAGAATAGCTAGAACAATCAAAAGCCAGGGACCCCCTACCAATTTACATGTTTTACTCCAATGCTACCACCAAGGTAAAAAGATACAATACAATGAGATATAAACGAGATGAGCCTGCTTAATTTGTTTGTAATTGTGTTTATTCCTTAGAAATACAATGTATGTGAACTGTCTTAGTAAGACTTAACAATTATGAAATATCACATGATTTTTGACAAACATTTCAAAAAAACAATCTCTCCTTGGAACCTCAATGTACTTACCCCTCAAGTTTTGGGGGAAATTTTCGAAATGAAACTATAAAGCCTACCTGTTGCCATGGCAGCGGGTGACCCAGGCAGCGTGACACTTTGACCTTTGCCCTTATCCCTCTTTAATCTCTCCAACTGCTTTTGTTTCTTCTTTTCTTCCGCTTCAATCTAGAAAATAAATAAACGTGTCTTGAACTTGGTATTTTCATTGTAAGGCAAATTTATCAAGAGCCAATATGGCCCATCAGGCCGGTGTTATCACTGGCTAATGCGGGTTTTCCCATTTATCCTCCTGGGTGGAGAAAGGCAAGTGGGGTGGTGTGGCTTGCCCAAGATGAGATGATAAAACAAAAAATGTAAAACATATGATTGACTTGAGAGCTACCAGGAGAACTAGTGGCTCAAATTTCCTTTTTTTTAATCATAAAACTATATACATGTATATACATACATGATGTTCCTTGTATCATTTAAATAAACATTTTATAAGTACATTATATAACCCTCCTTAATCCTCCAAAATCCTCTTGGCGGTTTTGGAGAATTTTGGAGGATTGATGATAAATGGTGTTTTAGCACACGAGGATTTTCGAGGATTGAGGGTGAATGGTGTTTTAGCACATGAGGATTTTGGAGGATTGAGGGTGATGAGGATTTTGGAGGATTGAGGATGAATGGTGTTTGAAGAAGAGGAGGATTTTGGAGGATTGAGGATGAATGCATTTTGAGAGGCAGGACTGTCTGACGATTTTGAAGGATTGAGGCGCTGGGTATCCTTTATTTGAACATGAGTGCACCATTTTGGAGGATTTTGTAGGATTGAGGATGGTTCCTAGCAAAAAGGCCCTAGGGGGTTAGGGTTTAAAGTCTACCTGTTCTCTCTTGATCCTTTCATATTCTGGCTTGTATTCCCTGAAATAAACCACAATTATCGCATTATTTTTTTTTGTTTTATTAAGGGGAAAATTGCTTGGTGCAACAACTCGTCGGTGTACCACGAAGTGACAATCCTCTATGGATTTTGTGCACACGATACGTCCCTTCGTGGTGCGACCGACGAAATGAACTGTACATTATATTGTTGAAATTGAAGAGCATTTCCATTGATAGATCAGATGTCAAATCACAAGTCATTCAATCCTAGGTCAATCACAGGCTATGTATTATGTATTTTATTTACTTCTTATTCTAACTGGGTAGCCATTTCAGTGGAATCTACTGGTCTCCCATGGGGCCCAGTAAAGAGAAGACAATGTGAAGAAATTACAGTTTTAGAGGTGGGAGGAAAACCCCAGAAGAATATTCTGAGGAAAACCCACGGAATCAGGCAGGGACTGAAAACCCAACCCACATATTGGCCCAGGCGGGATTCGAACCCGGGTCACAGCGGTGGAAGGCGAGGAAAGTACCGCTATGCCAACCTGACTACCTTATGCTATCTTGACATGTGGCAACTTTAGGAAATCATTTTGTTTTTGTTCATTCCCTGCAACTTGTGATAGGGCTTGTGAATTCTTGTGATTTACTTATGACCAGACTTGTGATCGACTTGTATCAACTTGTGATTTAAGAGTGACCAGATTTATGATGGACTGGTGAATTAACTTGTGATTGGACTTGTGACGGACTTTAATATATCACGAGCTCCCCAACTGTAACACTGGTAGGAAAAGCAAAATAAGCTTCTATATAACGATACAACAGAAACTTGTGAAGGTTATCAGACAAAGCTTACGTTTCATATTCATTAACTGCCTCATCGACGGCTTTAAAGAATGCGTCCAGTCCTTGTCCAGTCACTGCAGAGACACCCACAGCCTGGCAAAAGAGGACAGAAGTAAAGTCTGAACATTACTAGAACTGAACACCAAAGTACACCTACGAACTAAACCTATTGCTGGTTCAGACCAGGCTCAATTGGCCAAGGTCAGTTGGCAGGTATATTTTAGTTCCCCAGGCTTGCTGGGCCAGTTACGGTGGAAGAGCTTTTTACATGTTTTGGCTCTGGGATAAGCCTCTGTGCTGATGACGCTACACTTTGTTTACATGTGCGTTTTGTTATGGGAGCCTGATGGGGACGACAGTTTTGTACCCCTATAGAAATGCGTCCAAGTAAACAAAGTGCCAAGGCATCGATACAGAGGCCAAAACATCCAAGAGATCACAGAGACACGGAAAACATCACAGCATTCACATAGAAACTCAAAACACATCTTTCTATGATGGCTTTTCCCATCAACTGAGGCTTCTTCTTTGCATCTAAACTGGTGCCTTTGAATGGCTTTCAAGAGATAGGGCTCCAGTCCCAGACAAATATGCTGGTCATGTTATTCCAAAGCTCTTGGAAATTGAGATGCTTATGAAATTAAGTCCCCAGGAAAAAGTGGGTAAGTATTAAGTCTGTCCCGACTCAATATAGCCCATCAGGCCGGCGTTTATCTCTGGTTTCCTAGGCGTGAAACGACCAAGGATATTTCTATCCCCCTGGATAGGATGCCAGCCCATCGCAGGTTACTCCCCAGCTAATGCCAGTTCCCATTTATACTCCTGAGTGAAGAGAGGCAAGTGGGGGTGAAGTGGCTTGCCCAAGGACACACATATGGATTCGAACCGCTGACCCTCTGATCACGAGTCACAAAACCTAACCACTAGGCCACACTCTCCCAGTATCAAAATAAATGTTTCCAGTATATATCGAAACAAAAGTATTGTGGGGCCGATATCAGAAGTACTGACTCTGAGGTTTTGGTAGAACTCATCCAGAACAAGGCTCATGGATCGGGTCAGGTTGGATGTGTAGGACGTCTCCTGATTCAACGCGTCTTGGAACGCTTCAAAGTCGTGCATCCACTCCAGGGCAAACTCATTGTCCACGATGTCGATCTGTTCAGTACAGGCAGAAATACAATATGGAGTTATGGAGTTATCTTACCAAATATGGACAATTTCAGTGTTATGAAAGGAAGCGTTATGTCTGTGACTGAGTCAATTAACCATGATATCTAATTAATGATTCAGAGAAATGATCCAAAGCTCCTAGTCTGTAATCTCCTTGACCATTACTAGATGACGGATGTATAAGGGGGATTTGAAAAATGTGATGCGATCAAGCTAAATGAGTCGTTTGTAGGGAATTTGAATTGGGAGATACAGGCCAAAATAAGACCACTTCATCACATCACTTCATCACATCCAACTTCAATAATTTTTTAACTAAAGACTGTATCAGCATGCGGTTTTCACAGCAGTAATGCTGAGATTGTGCTCTTTTCAAATCTGTAATAAAAAAAATTGACCAGGGTCGACAAACGACTCATGTACATGTAGCTTGATCGCATCACATATTTTTAAGTTTATTCACTGAGCTTCTTAATGGTGGAATTTGTTTCTACATACTGTTTCTACATACATGTTATGGTGCAATTGCCGTGTATACAGAGAATAAGTTACGGCAAAGTTAATCCGCAATGAGCCCATTTTGAATCAGGAATTTGCTTTGAAGAATTCTGAACAATTCCCCTGGAATCCTTCAGAACTGATAATAGCAACACTGTTCACTGAGTAAAGATTCAAACGATGGCCCATTAATTGCGCGGGGACTTTTCCGTAACTAATCCTGGGAATGTATTGAGAATTTGAGATGAATTTTCCGAAGAAGGAAAAACAACGGAAGGGCTCAATGACTTCTGCAAAATTGTAATTTAATCAATCTCAAGCACAGTCGTAGTTTAGTCAATCACAAGTCATCACAAGTCTATCATAAGTCCATCAAAAATCATCACAAGTCTGTCGCAGGTCCATCACAATTCCACCACAAGTCCATCGCAAGTTTGTTATAAGTCCATCACAAATCCATCAAAAGTCCATCACAATTAACCTATCCAGGTAGAATTGCGTCAACGCGGCTTGTGAAATATTATCCAATTACATGATATACAAATGGACGTGGAATGCACAAAATCTGCAACAAACAAAACTTAATGTACAAAAAATCCATATGTGATGCAATCAAGCTACACGAGTCATTTGTCGACACTGGTCAAACTATTTTTTATTACAGATTTGAAAAGAGCACAATCTCAGCATTACTGCTGTGAAAACCGTATGCTGATACCATCTTTAGTTAAAAAATTATGGAAGTTGGAACACTAAGAGATGTGAAGAAGTGATGTGATGAAGTGGCCCTATTTTGGCCTGTATCTCCCAATAAAAATTTCCGACAAACGACTCATTTAGCTTGATCGCATCACATAACCATCTAAGGGGCGTGGCTAACACACAAACAGTGATAGGTCAATTTTATCACAAGTCGTCTATAACTGATTTGAAATCCAAAGTCTCTTAATCCGCCCCCCCCCTCAACATTTTCCGTGATAGCCTCTAAAAAAATTTTTTTCGCGACCCGAGCTGTTATGACTTTTTAGCCTCGAGCTTTGCGCATCTTTTGATACCAAAAACATAAAAATCAGACCACGGGTTGCCGCGTAGCGAAAAATTTTCCGGCGCTACGCGCTGTGAAAACTGAATTTTCGCATACACGTCGTGTACACAGAGCAGAATTGCCATTCGTACATATGAATAATTAATTAGCCATAATTCCAAAACCCTTTGACCTATAGTCATGAAATTTCTTGGGTATGTTTAGAAAGAGTTGCTCTATGCATGTGCCGAGTTTCAAAAAATGTCGTCACTCGATGGCCGAGATCTTAGGGTGGGGGCGGAATCCGCCCCCCCCGGCTGAGAGATGGTCAAAATAACCCGGCCCCTTTAGGGTTAAACAATTACCTTGTTCATGACAACTACGAAGGGAAGTTTGTACTTGTATAGAATGCTGTTGGGGGAAAAAAAAATATATTGGTTGATTGTATTCATTACGCAACAAGTTGTAAAAATCTGCTGTCTTTCATTTTTTTCCAAGAAAAGAGAAAAGAGCGATCCTTTAGGCCCTACCCACTGCGCATACTGTGAACAATAGACCCCTCTCATAGCAGCCATCTTGGTAGGCAAATTACAACTGTGCATGCGACGCCATCAGGCACGTGTGCGCACAGTGTGCAGTGTGTCCCGAATATACACTGAATAGTCGAAAATATTTGATCATCAACCAAATATTCCAAATCGCATTTTACTAGTTTGAATATTTGAAATAAAATAAAACTTTGAACATACACACACGACAATGATGTTATTTTATTGGTTGATTGTATTCATTACACAACAAGTTGTAAAAATCTGCTGTCTGTCATTTTTTTCCATGAAAAGAGGCCCTGGCCACTGCGCATACTGGGAACAATAGACCCCTCTCAATGCGAACAATAGACCCCTCTCAATGCGAACAATAGACCCCTCTCATAGCAGCTATCTTCGCAGGCAAATTACAACTGTGTATGCGACGCCATCAGGCACGTGTGCGCACAGTGTGCAAAAGGTCCCGAATATACACTGAATAATTGAAAATATTCCAAATCGCATTTTGATAGTTTGAATATTTGAAATAAAAAAAAACTATGAACATACGCACATGATTGTGAGTTATTTTATCATAAAGTTGCAGCTTTTGTCGACTGTAACTTTTTGTTCGACAGTGGTTCATGGATCACATCAATTTAGCAGGTCAAAGCCCAAGTTACAGCACTACCACAAGCAAATTTTTACGGGCACACTCTTCATGCATTTTTTTACCAGTGCAGTACACAGTTGCAGCTGGCAGTTTTGAACATCCGAATATTCGGTCCAACACAGTTTTCCGTCATCAAATACTAAATTATTCAAAAATGGACAGCTGTATGATCAATTGTTGAGCGCTGATTAATTTTTTGCTACGCCCACAAAAGAACGTTTAGCAAAACTTTCTGCTTAAAAGCTCAATGATCTTAGGCCACGATCCTCAACTCTTGATTACCATCCACAAATATTCTAAAATGCACCTTCCGTTTTATTCGGGAAATCCAGAAATTCAGTGAATTCAGATCCTCAAGTAAGGACAGAAGTCAGCCTACCTGCAGGCATACAGCATATTGGACATAAAGGTGACTGGGTTGACGCTGCGTGCCGTGTCCATCACGTAAACGATCACCGTTGGAAAGGATGCCGCCTATTCAACAAAACCAAAATCAATATTTTGAAAGTAAAAAAGTAAAGTCTGTCCCGAGCCAATGTGGCTCATCAGGCCGGTGTTTATCTCCGGTTTCCTTGGCATGAAACGACTGAGAATATTTCTACTCCCCCTGGATGGGATGCCAGTCCATCGCAGGTTTACTCCCCAGCTAATGCCGGTACCCATTTATACCCCTGGGTGGAGAGGGGCAAGTGGGGGTGAAGTGCCTTGCCCAAGGACACAATATATGACCAGCAGGCTGGATTCGAACCCCGGACCCTCTGATCATGAGTCACAAACCCTAACCACTGGGCCACACACTCCCCTCATTCACAAATGACTATTGATCGACTTTTTACAACTACCAGTACCTTTTAAGTTAAAATTCCTCTGGTTTTCCGTTATTTTTGAACAAAAAAAGGGCTTTCTTTGTTTCTGGATGCTTCGCAGAGGTGAGGAGCAGCCATTTGCTGGTCCCTTTGTACCCGATTTACTGACTCACAGTGAACTTTTGTGAATTAGACTTCTTAAAGCCTCACCTTGGCCTAACAAATTTGACTCAGATGAAAAGCTAGATCCCTCAGACCTAATAGTTTTGGGGGCCAGCTTTCATAGTCTAGCTAGTCTTGATCATGATCAACCTGTGTCCTTACCATTGTTTCTGAGATGATAGCTCCCGAAGCGGACCATGTAAACACCTCAATCTGGCCTGGAGTGTCAACAATAACATACCTGAGAGTAAACAACAACAAAAAAACAAACAATAAACAATGACTTAAGTTTCAAATATATCAACATTTTTAGAATTTTCAAATGCTGACTGGGTCCCGACATCCCATCAAATCTTCTAATCAGTAGTATACGGATTATCACCTTGCACAGCAAGGGTCTATGATATGTGAGCAGATTCGGGGATTATTTATGCTAAACAAGACTGCGTCTTGACCTCGAGATTCTGACCATTCAGCGGGCACCTTCTATATCCGGTCTTCAGTGACCCGTTGTTGTATTACATGTACAAGAGCATGGCCTCCAAATTGACCAATCAACAGCTTAGTCCACACTTCTAATCGAAATGATGTCACACTTTGAAACTCGACTCCGATTGGTTGGCATGGTGTCGCACACAATTTACTTGTTAGGATATACATGTATATAAATGGGATTTCTATAGCGCCATGCCATCTACATTGTATATCATGGCACTCAACACAACAGCAACAACCACCAATATTAAAGGGAAGAAGTCAACTAGTTATAAAGTAAGTAGGAGTGTTTTGACCATAGATGCTATATTAAATTACTAGAGCGCTACAGGTAACTCGATGTACAAAGTAATGCCTGATGGTTGCATCCATGTTTGTGCACAAACCTATGGAAAACTCGAAATTTTGTACGGCTTTTGTACGGCTATTTGCATATCTGCATTTGTATTCCATACCAGTGCGTCATCGATACGCCCAAAACCGAAACGCATGATCAGCAAATGAGCGTTTCACTCTGCTCTACGTGTGTGCGTCCCTCCGCTGTGCATGTGCTTTTTGCCCTGACATGTTTTGAACCGTCATGAGGCGCTTAAGTTGTTTGCGTATCTTCTACTTGCGCGTTGCATTTAGAGAACACTTTTAAAATTCAATCCATCTATTTTGATTGTGTTCTACAAACACGCACATAAATTCAAAATGTCTGCGCCCAGAGCGGCTTCAAAGCGTCTCCGCGCGCAAAAATGAGGAGTTAGCGCTCTAGTAATTTAATAAAACTGTTTTGACATATATTTTGGTATTTGAGACATTCGACCATGGCTCTGCACATGTGAATGTCTGATCCTCAGACTACTATATCAGTCGCAGACAGTCAAAAATTCAATACATTTCCCCTGCTTTTAACTTATTCACAGGTTAGTCACCAACAGGCAGATCGTATTTCTTGTAGGCACTTTGGCTAGTCGAATTCCATTAACCAACAAAAACAAGCAACTAGGTACAGCTGGCTTATTCATCTGCTAAAGTCAAAGCATTGCTGTTTCAAGTTAGATAAACAGTCACAGCTAGTCAATCCACGCGCCTATACCCGGACCATCTGGACACGTAACGCACACCAGATGCTGGCAAGTAAAAAGACTAGCACGAGCGGCCAAGCCGCGAGGGCCTTTACTATCTCATGGAACTCATCACTTATTCACGTAATATAAATCAAGCAATACAAACCAATCATCTAATGGTGGTTTGCGGTTACCAGCAACAGCACGCGGGCCATGGCGCGCGTCCTGTCTGGCGCCAGACGACGGCTGATTTACGTTAGTAATTCTGCATTTTCATTGGTCAATTCACAATACATTATGCATGTCTACCAAATCGGTAGACAAATGTAAAGAAAACCATAAGCGTTCTCCACGAGATGGTAAAGGCCCTCGCGGCTATGCCGCTCGTGCTATTCTTTTTACGTGTCAGCATCCGGGGTGCGTCACGTGTCTGGGTAAGCGCATGGGACTTGACTAAGGGCTAGCTTTCTGTAGGCAGGCCGGAGCTCTCACAGTCACTTGGTGGATTGTAACAACTGGGGTGGCTTTGTTGAATTTGACAGCCAGAGAAGGAGGATTCTAAAGCAGGCTTGGCCTACAGTGTTCTTACTTTGTTTCTTGGCTACGTTTCTCCACGTACTCCATGACTTGGTCAAAGCGTGTGGCAAACAGATTGAGCGAGGTCATGATTCCTCCGTTGGGGCCCAGTCCGTACTGCTTCATCACCTCCTTGTACTTGACTGTGTCACGAATATCTTTAGAAACAAACAAAATAACAGGAGAACTTGAAATGCAATAGTCATTCGAATACTAACATTAGGGCTGTGCATCGGAACCGGGTACCAGACCACTGATGTCAGGAACCGGATCCAGATTATAGAATCGACTACTTGTAATTAACTTGACATATTACTTTGTAACTTCTCAGACAAAGAAAAAGAAAGGTTTTGAATGTCAGGTATGGGGAATAAAAAATATGAAAACTACTGTAGATTCACGTTTATGACACTTGCTAAAATGCAGTTTACATCTAAAGCTAAAGAGCTCAGTCTGACTATTTCTGATGTGAGAAATAGTCAGAATCTTTTGGTCTGGGTCCGGCCTCTGTATGTATGCCCTGGCTCATGTGTGAATCAAGCCGCGTGACATCTTCATGCATATTAATGAACCTAGCCTGTTTAATACAGCCAAGCCCTGACTTCTCACGATTAGTAGGCCTACACAACGGTTGAAAATAAAGATGGCGGCGAGCTTATCAGAACATGCTTGAATTTTTCTCCATTTTTCAAGACACCATACATGGACAAATTTACCATTGTGCTTTTTAGGTTTCTCGTCCTTGCCTGCTCCCTTATCCCCACCCGTTTTTCAATTCATACATTTGCAGTAACTTTAGCAAGTCTGTCTATTTGTTTCCAACAAAATTGTAGCTACATGTAAAAATGGTGACGGCTCCTTTGGACACAATTTTGTATCAACAAAACAGTCAAGAAAATGAAAGAAGCCATCTGCCATCTTTGAAAATCTGTCATCTTGGGGGGAAAAAAGGGGGTACAGGAGCCTCCATAATTTTTCAAAAAGCCCGGACGAGAATATTTTTTGTTTACTCAGCCTTATCTGAATAAAGTATTTAGTTTTGGTGTTTGATCTCGGCAGTTCAAATCAATAAATACTGCTCACCTAGTCCACAAAAATTGGGACTCTCAATACTGTGTACGAGTCCCCAAATCTAGAGAGAGCAAAGTTGGGCTGATTTCGTTTTTGCATGTTTGTCTGCAGACTAGGACCTTAACCCTTACCCTACTTGACCCTCCAACGCATGCCAATTGTGCCTCAAGAAAATCTCCTATGTTTTTTGCATGGCCCTCCAATATCTGCCATGTCATTTCAAGGGTAACTGGACAGGCACTCCAATACATGCCACAGAGAACAATGAGAGTCCTCTGATAACAAAGTGAGTGCCCCCAGCTGGTCAGTATCAGGCACCCTCCAGGGCCTCCAACTCCTGCCAATTGGAGCCTTCACTGTTAAGACTTGTTATCTGCCAAATAACTGCAGCTGGAGGGCATTGGCATAACCAACTGACATGCAGTAAACTACCCTCAGAGAGTAAGGGTTAAAGGGAAACTACAACATTTGCAAACATCAAAAAATAAAACTACCAAATCATTTTGAAATACCTTGCTGGACTGTTAGTGAATGACAGTGTAAAGCATCCTGTAAAATCATGGCACCTGGTATACTGTCATTTTCAAGAAAAGTGGTATTTTTGTATCAATTGCCAATGCTGATCGGCCGACCAGCGTTGGAAACAACTGGCTTTGTTTTCAAATACTGGCCCCAATTGACCATCGCACTTGTTTGCAATCGATTACACACCTATGAACGGGTACAAGCCAGCTAGACTGGTTCCCTGACCTTACAATTCCCCAATGTATGTAAACTGCTCTGTTTCTTCTTAAATGGAGTCAGGGAACCAGACTACAGGAAAATGATTGTTTTTCTTGGTTTTTATAGCATTTTTAAACCCAAAACCTCAAAAAAGTCAGTGTAACTATATTTGCTATATATTTCCAACCCCCCAATTCCATCCATTTCTGAAAATTACAGCAAAAGCAAATGATGTATATTCCCTTTAAGCGCTCAAAACGATGCAAAAGAAGATCAGGCCAACTTTATTCACTCTTCAGCCCGCAAATTTCTCCAAAATGTTCAATGGGCAAAGAAAAGGTCCTCATTAATTTATCCACCAAGTATTTGGCAGTGGCTTGCACCTGAGAGGGAAGTCAAGTGATTTCAAAATGAGGCTAAAGACTAGACTTCCACATGTCCATCCATGGTCCAACTGTTTGACAAGACTGACCTTTTCATTCTTTGTCATCAGTCAGGTGCCTGACTATGGAGAAATGTGTAGAAATAGTGGCCTAGTACCCAACATCTTAGATATTTCTTTTGGCACAGTCAGCTGACAGTTGATTGATGCAGTATTGAAGAGTAACTGGACTGGTTGTTTCATGTGCCAGTCTGTTTTCTTGTATTGCATGTTTTCAGTACCTTAAGTTTTGAGAATCCAAAATTTTCAGACTAGTTTGTCTGCACTCCAGGTCCCAGTCTGCTACTCACCTATGTTTGCAGGAAAGCTTACTTCATGGACTGCAGGATCTAAATTGATGACGTACGGTGGCTGCTTCTTTGCATACAAGTGAGCTGTGATCCTCTGTGGAGACGAAACACATGGACATCCAAATAGACTCAAATTGACTCAAGTGAACACTGGTGAAATGTGAATCCTGCAACCAATCATGCTCTCAATTACTTGTAGCTGGCAGCAATTAGTACAGTATGACATGTACATGTACAATGTACAGTACTTCTAGAACTACATGTAGATGGCACCCGTGTGCCTTCTAGCACTCTAATTTTTGTGGCCCTCGTAAACGTTATGGCCATTGAAATCCAGCAATAATACTCGCACTCAGAACTTCACTTTCTCATGCAAAAATCTCTCCAAAAAGTAGCCATGACTGATCAAAATCTCATTAAAATTTGGGTACAATGTTTTTTAGGACCTCAGATCAACATTTATTTAAAGAAATGTAATATATTTTTTCAACATGAACGTCAATTTTTTGACACCCACATACACACACTTTGTGCGAACTGTCGCTGACCGCATGGAATAACGTTATTTTGTGTAGGTTGGACCATTTTCTACAAATGGGGGATTATCTTTTTTGATGCATGCACGTCAGCCACATCGACGTCACCGTTGCATGCTAAAAAGAGATTTAAGGCAAAAAAAAAAAAAAACATGTTTAGCGTCCTGCCTCTTTGACAAAAAGGAAGGAGGAGGCCCTTTTTTTTTTTTTTTTTTTTTCAAAATGGCCGCCCGACACATTTTTCATGACAACGCGGCCGGGCTATTTTTCAAGATGGTTACCAGCTTTTTTCAAAATGGCCGCCACTTGGACTCATTGACTATTTCCACAGCTTTATACACGGTATAAAAGTCTAAAAATACGATTTCTTTCGTCAGAGATCTTTAAAATTTATCAATTTTTGTCTTTAAAAAAAAAAAAAAAAAAAAAAAAAAAGGAGGCGGCCTCTAAAAAGGAAGCGGGCGGGGACGCTAAACATGTTTTTTTTTTTTACTTCGCCTAATCCATCCCCCCCCCCCCCCCTGTAGAAAATGGTCCAACTGACACAAAATAACGTTAATGCGTGCAGGTGGTCAGCGATGGTTCTAAAACGGGAAGTAATGCACCCCCCCCCCCCCCCCCCCCCGCAATTGTTTTGAGTATGATCATACGGAGGTTTCTGCTTGTATAATGTAAAAGGTAGTAAGCCCTAATTTGTGATTTTCGGTTTTTTACGGGGACCATCGAATGAACGCTGGGGCATGAAGACCACATCGCAATTCAAACTCGAGTCGGAAATTTAACGTGTTCACGATCGCGAGGGGAGCTCTCGGAATTGAACAGGAAATTTCACTTTTCATCCGGATCGTAAGTAAACTTCAGTACAACCATCTTAATTGTCGATGTCTACTTGTACCTTAGGTGGCGTATCTGGTAATTTGGAGGCCGTTTTGAGGGTGAAATCTGATGTTTTTGTTGGGCAATGTTGGGTTTTTGGTCAATGACAGAATTGTGTTGCTCGGCATATAACCATTAGCTTGGACCCCACTATCGCCAGCCCATGTCTGAATGTTAAAAAGGCGAAAAAAAGTTGGGTCCAAGTTCATGAAGTTACTCAGACTACATTGACGATAGCAGTTGAACAAAATTTTCAGACCATAGGGTTTGTGCACAGGTTAACAAGTGATGGCCAGATATGGGTATCTTTCCTTCATCAAATGCAACTGATTGTGAAGATTTTAAATAACCGAAAATAAAGGAAGTGGGTGATGATTGAACTGTCCGGAATCTGGGCACGACAACACCATCAGCAATGGCGAGGCCTGCGATGTGACCGTCTTTGACTGGTGACATTGGTTGATTAAAACACCTTATTTGGGAATGAAAAAACGGGCTAAATACCTGAACAAAGGTTGTCTTTCCAGACCCTGCCATTCCCAGCACTATTAAGCACGGTGGTTTTGTATCTGTGTTATGCATTCCCACTTCACGCGCACTTTCTCCTTCACCGGTGGTCTCCATGCGTTCTGCCATGGACGCCGCCATTTTGAAAATAAGGGCCATTTCTAAAATGTAGGCAACGTTCCAGTAATTGGTGCATCTTTTGACACAGGGCAACAAAAATGCCAGGTGAATAAAATAACTGAAAACTACAGCCGCGGACAAAAAGATCGGACATTAAAAATTAGTATAAAAGTCACCACCTTCAGCCAATTGAGTCAAATATTAATAGCCTGATCGTGAAACATTGTAGCCTAAGTAAAAAAAGAATCCGATGTTTGAACAACACATCCTCAGGACTCTTGTTCCCTGGGCTTCCGCTCATCCACTTACCTACTACACTTAGTTTCAGCGATACGTCACGGTACAAGACCAACCGTCTCTCTTACAAGTGTTTGTTAGAGCTCCACATTTTGCCTTTAACTGAAAGGACATTTAATTTAGTTTTTTTTTTGTAAAGGCAATCCGATTGAAAATATACCTTAATTTGTGTCATTTTACCTTTATTTATAATTTCTATTTTGCTTTTTGTAAAAGGGTATGTTGGTGCTAACTCTTTTTTACGCTTTATGCGAATTTCCATATTGAACAATTAAAAGTGAGATAATGTTGTAGGCGGAAACCTCATGTTACAGCTATTTGAGCAACAGAAGTTTCCAGAATTATCAAGAGATGTTGTCTTTGTACATTTCCTTTTTCTTTGGTAATTTGATGTTTCAGCAAATTACACTATACATAGATAACTTGACCCATAAAACATGTTTTCAATGAGCAAATTGAAGCTGAATCACATTTTGAACAGACAACCCCTAAACTGAACAGTATCTTTCTAATGACATCACGGCAACAGCGCCCTCGTTGTCAGGAAAAAACACTTGGAAGGGCACTTTTTAATCAAATGAACACCAAAAGAAATGACAAGTATTGTTCATGCATAATAAGAGGAGTAGAACGTTTTTTGTTCCCAAGTAAAACTGTTATGTTGTGAGCGTGTACATTTACAGCAACACAAGTAACTTAATGTGTGCTAAGAGTGGACTCCGGATAAGTGGATCGGGTCCTCTTTCAAATACTTCCAGGCGCTCTGGGAGTATGCACAACTTTGAGGTGTATGTCACGTTCGTTGGATAAACACAGAAAATCTGTGCCACCACCACCTACTTTTCTGCGCTTGATTGGCAAACTGCATTTTTGCCAACCACGGCCTGCAAAACTATGGAAAGTCCAACACTGCAAAAATGAAGAAGAGTTATTACAGATCACCAATATATTATTTGATACTTGAAAATACAACATTTTCAACAAAGCTACAAAATAATTCCTAAGGCCAAAAAAAAAAAAGTCTCCGGTTTCTGGTATGGAGCTTGCCCCAAAAGTGGTGCGGCGACGCGGCTTTTTTTTTTTTTTTTACTTGTTTTTTTTTTTTTTTTTTGGCTTCAAATGTCGGCTGATGACTGCAAATGGTGCCCGACTAAACTTAGTGCAAATATATGGGAGTCCAGAGAGGCCACATAAAGCTTATTCTCGATCATAACCCCATCTAAAAACACGTTAAAATTGTGCAGCAGCAGGATTCCAGTCAAACCAGTGAGTTTGGCGGTTTTGAGACATCATCTTGTATTGAAAAAAAAAAACTTTTTCATTTTGCCGACGCGCATGGCTACGGCGACGCGCGCGCATACCAGAAACCGGAGACTTTTTTTTTGGGCCTAAGTATGCCTTTTTACTCTATGTGTTGATGGCGTTATGAGGACTTTTTTTTGGAAAAATATGTTGCCAACCACGGCTTTAATTTATGCGCTTACGGCAGCCCATACAAAATTGCGCTAATGTTTACAAAAAAAAGAAAGGTCTATATACAGGTACGGTACCGTTTCTTTTTTAGAGACTTCTTTGATGATACTAAGTGTCAGTTTCGGAATTGGAATGAACACACTTTTTCACGATTTTTTTTCTGCCTACATGATCGCACTTCGCAATGAATGCCCGGAATGCAGTCCTGCTGAGCGCAATATGGCTCAGGCTGGTTTACAGAGCAGCATTAGGCCAAGAAAAGTTATGGAGCTTGTCCAAAAGGTGGTGCGGTGACGCGGCTTTTTTTTTTTTACCTGATTTCTTTTGCCTCAAATGTCGGCTGATGACTGCAAATGGTGCCCGACTATTAGTGCAAATATAATGAGAGGCCACATAAAGCTTATTCTCGATCATACCCCCATCTTAAACACGTTAAAATTGTGCAGCAGCAGCAGGATTCCAGTCAAACCAGTGAGTTTAGCGGTTTTGAGACATCATCTTTCATTGAAAAAAAAACGTTTTCATTTTGCCGACGCGCATGGCTACGGCGACGCGCGCGCAAACCAGAAACCGGAGACTCAACCTCGTCCCCAGTGCTTACTTTATTTCCAACCGTGTTTCCAATAGTAAACCCTGGACAGTAAACTTTCTTCCTGTATCCTGATTCGATAGATATCGCAATTGGCTAGTAATGGATTTTTATTGTGTACTTGGTGTTGTTTTTCACAACGTGCAGTACGTGTTTTCACGATCATTCGTCTACGCCTTCTCAAAAACATTCCTTTCCTTTTCCAATTTGTTCATATTAATATGAAATGTGATACTGCATGTTGTCTCAATAAGATCGTAACAGTTTAATGGTTTAATTAAATAAATCGCGTTTTCGTAACTCACGCTGTGCTCGCGCTGCGACGAATTGACTCTGTTTTTACCCCAGACACCACATACAAAAACGAACGATAATGTAACGCACATGCAGGCACCAGACTATTCCTCATTTGCATACGTGTTCAAAAATCTTACACATGCAAATGATCCAATACCAGGGTGAGAGAGCAGGAAGTGATTGGCGCGTACTGCTCAACACCCTGGGGTCGAGGTTGGAGTGCACTGGCTGGTTTATTAGAGCGGGGTCGACGAAAGGTGAGTCGCCCTTTTGTTTTGCAAAACGTACCAAATGACTAGTAATTTAATGACTAGTAATATATATTTCGCTTTGTATAAGTATTGTAGTAATTTCTTCGTAAAGCGCATTGCGATTTCGTATGTAATGCGCTATATAAGAACTAATTACAATGTATTATTATTATATTATTATTACCAAAGGCCATTTACGTACCGAATTGAAAACGCACATCCGTAAGAATACAATAGCGAGAGAAAAATCTGGTGCCAACTGGTGAGAAACGCAACTGAGGGTTAGCATTGTGTGGTGGGCGCCTATTGTTCAATACAGTTTAGTTTGTGATTGTGATAACATCGGGGGCTATATGTGCTGTTTCAGAGAATGATTGTCCACTGTTTTGTTTTTGGGTCGGTGTGGTTCTGGTATCGTTAAAGGAAATTGACACATCCCCCAAAAAAGTATTTTTTGTCATCCATTAATGACGTCAAGGGCTTTGATTTTAGTCAAAAATGCTATAATTATAAGAACCCGCTGTTATTATTATTTATCCATTAAGAAACAATGCGGGTTAAACAAAGTAAAAAAAAAACCTGTCGAAATTTCAGATCAGTATATCGATACCATTTTTTAATGTATATATTAAATTCTCTCTGACAATTAAGACATGGATAAAAAATGGATAAAAAACCCACCTATAGACACATCAAACAAAGGCTGTGGTCACGCGCTCTGTATTATGTTACGCGATACGCCCAAGCTTGTCTATGCCCGGCCGCTGTTGTATTACAAAACACTGCATTCGAATTGACCAATCAAACATTAGTCCTGATTTGGAAATAAAATGACGTCACGATTTAGTAAAGTCGACTCCGATTGGCTGAGGCGCAGGATCGCATAAATATGCATGCTTGTTGTGTATCAGACGTTAGACATGAGACTGGGCTCTGTGCATAACTGGCATTACTCAGAATACCTTTTACTCCAGCTACCCGGAGACTTACGGGATTGTCCTGATATCATTTTCAGGACACGACGTTTCATTTTTACTAAAATATCCCGTACCTTAATGTGGTCAATGGTCAAGGTTAAAACAGTTTTTGTTCAAAATTCCATAACTGAAAAAGTACATGATTATTTGACTGATTCCTTCACTAAAAGAAAGCTTATTAATTGAGCTTTTATATACTAGATCCGGAAATTTGTACTAGTCTGGTTCCCAGACCAAAAGATTCCGCCTGTTTCTGATGAATCTTAGGTCCGGTAGCCTCCGGTAATACAATGTATTACAATTTACGTCACGTGACTAAAACGGGAGGAATTCCTCCTTTTTCCGAAAATTTCCGAAGTTTGCCGAAGTCGTTTCGTCACCAATCGGATAGTATTTCCGAGCATATAATATAGGTTTAATTAACTGCTAATTGCTTATTAATTTGATTTTAAATGAGTTGATAATTAATATTCATTGTTTGAAATTTGAAACAATTTCATTGTTTGAAAACTTAAAATTCAACGACGATTTTGAGCATCAAATATACTCGGATAGTACGGGCGAACTTTTTGCTGCGTCATGCACAATTTTGAATTTGACGACCGTTAGGCCAAAAAAAAAAATATTCGGTCTCTGGTCAGACCAAAGTTCCGGAATTGACGCGGCCACGCGGCTTTTTTTTTTTTTTTTGCTTTTTTTTTTTTTCTTCAAGCTCGGATTGTACAGACAAGGTGGGTACTATTTTGCTTTTGGTGTCCTCCATGATTTGCCTTGGTGCTTTCGATCATTTGCCTTGGTGCAATTTCCCATTCCTTGGTGCTCTTTGGTAAAAACAAAAAGAGGAGGTGCGGAAATAGAGGGCGCTGTTGGAGCTACCGCGGAACATTTTTGAAAAAAAAAAAAGATCGACGCGCATGATTAAAATCGACGCGCGCGCTGACCAGAGACCGACTTATTTTTTTGTTTTGGCCTTCCTTACCGAGATTTTCTAAAACTCGGTCTTCATTCGGCTCCGCCTGCTAACAGTGCTATTTGGTTCCCTAATTTTGAAGATTCCAGATCAACATTAGTCAATGTTATCTTACAAAAACATCAAACTGTATTATCACAACTGTATGATATTACGAAGCAAGTGATTTATTTAAAAATTTGATCAGACCATTAAAAGCTACAATAGCCTTGTTTCAATGCGGTCTCTCGGCTTTTTGTCGAAGGGAGATAATCGGGCCCTGCACCCACAATCAACGCGGCTACGTGCGTGTACCACCGACCCTTGTCCGTGCGTGTACCGTACCACCGACCCTTGTCCGTACGAACGGTTTGGTACTAACACAACCAGCAAGCACAAACACGCGAGTACGGACTGTACGCATGGTGTAATAAGGCAGTAAATGTAGGCCTACTATGTTCTGCGTGTGGGTGTACGTACGTACGTGTGGGGGATATACGCGCCGCGTGGCCTGTTGGGTTACGCGGACTAGCTCATGCATGTACAGTATGTACATGTACATGTACATGTACAGTACTGTGTGTGCATGGCTGTTGTACGAGTACGTGTGTGATGTACATGTACGTGCGTACGCACATGTACAAGCATAGCCCTGTATGGTACAAGTTAATTTCTCACTAGCAGCGTACGGGCATCGATATGTGCACGCAATTATGCCTTGCCAATTTGATTAAGGATTTTGTTATAGGCGATTTTTTTTTATCGGCGAATCGATAAGCCCAACGCCTTGGTCAAGGCTAAAGCTACAAGTGATAAAGCGAAATCGGAAACGAAGCCTTGCTTTGAAAAAGGGCTATTAATGTCGTCATGTTTATTTTTAGCCACGGAGGCTGCCTGACCTCAACCTCGTCCCCAGGGTGTCGAGCAGTACGCGCCCACCACTACCTGCTCTCTCACCCTGGTATTGGATCATTTGCATGTGCAAGATTTTTGCACACGTATGCAAATGAGGAACAGTCTGGTGCCTGGATATGCGTTACACATTATCGTTTGTTTTTGTATGCGGTGTCTGGGGTATACAAACAGAGTCAATTCGTAGCAGCGCGAGCACGGCGTGAGTTACGAAAACACGATTTTTGAAATCAAACTGTTACGATCTTATCGAGACAACATGCAGTATCATATTTCATATTAATATGAGCAAATTGGAAAGGAAATTAGTATTTTCGAGAAGGCGTGGACGAATGATCGTGAAAACACGTACTGCACGTTGTGAATAATATAGCACCAAGTACACGATAAAAATCCATTTCTAGCCAATTGCAGTATCCAATCAGGATACAGGAAGAAAGTTTCCTATCCAGGGTTTACTATTGGAAACGCGGTTGGAAATAAAGTAAGCACTGGGGACGAGGTTGGCCTGACCTACAATTTAAGACGTGAGCGTCGGGAATAATTGTCAGGGCTGGGAACCCGACTAGGGGAATTCTTCCTTTTTCCAAAAATTTCCGAAGGTGCCAAAGCTGTTTCGTCGACAATCGGATAGCGCCCGAGTATTTCCGAGTAGGTTTATTTAACTGCTAATTTCTTATTAATTTTATTTTAAATGAGTTGATAATTAATATTAATTGTTTTCAAAACTTGAAATTCAACGACGATTTTGTGCATCAAATATACTCGGATCGTACGGGCGAATTTTTTGCTGCGTCATGTACAATTTTGAAATAGACGACCGTTACCGAGATTTTACAAAACTCGGTCTTCATTCGGCTCCGCCTGCTAACAGTGCTATTTGGTTTATTTGGCTATTTTTTTTATACCCCCGGCTTGGTCAATTTTAATGCACTGGGTACGTATGCATATTTTTTTTTATATATCACTCTGTCATAACCATGAGCGGCAGTGGGATAACAAAGAAAAAGAATGTTTTCCAATTGATTTATTTACTAAAGTCAAGTGACTGGCGTGCCCTTTGATTTCTGAGTAAACGTACGTGAAGCGTCAAATTCCTTATACATTTCTGAATATGCAAATTGCCTGTATACAAAACGATTGACCGTGACCTTTCGGTTTTTGATTGGTCAGCAATCACGCAGCCGTTGCTCTTTCCATAAGTAGCAGATATTGCACGTCCTGGGTTTTTCCCCCAGTGAGTCACATCTGGATACATGCCACGCCTGCGCCGCCTTTCGCGCGCCCGCCAAAAGGTAACCACAGTTGAGTTCAGGCCTTGCCAAGAATCAAGACGGGAATAAGAAGTGCTGTTCTGAAAATCGTTCTTTCATTAACTTACCGGAGCTTTTATTGGTTTCGAATCATCATCATGGGTAAGAACATTTGTTTTAGTTGATGTGTTATACTTTTTGCTCACCATACCACAATAATCATGTACAATTTAAGACATTACGTTAATCGAGAGGAATATTCAGTCTTGCTGCTATGTCAAAATGATGTCGGTGGACATGAATCATTTAATGGTGGACCCAGCATTTCCTCCGATCTTTAGACACATTGTAGAACTGAATAAATGCCAGATGATGTTTCCAAACATCCTTCTAGAGTAATGATGTGCATCGGGTCAGGTTGACCAGGCCAAACTGACCCGAAATTAGATATAAACCGAATCCGAACCGAACCAACCCGACCCGACCCGACAAAAAATATTAAGGTAAATCGACCCGACCCGGAAAAAAAAAAAAAACGAAAAAAAGAAGAAGAATACCTGGCTTGGACAATTAAAGTGGTCATTTTTTTGTGCCTACCCTTTCCCACGTGGCGAGTTTTTTGTGTGCAAAATCTTAGTCTTTATCTCTCTCTGTCATATTAAGTGGGTTGATCGAGAGTAACTCTGCTTATTGAACAACGAATGGTATCACACGCAGTATCATGAAAACTGTTACAATCTATCTTTTTCACTGTCAGTCCAGATCCGACTGGAGATTGAGAAATAAATACTATGGGAACTTAAAGGAAAGATACAACATTTGCAAACATCAAAAAACGAAATGATCAAATTATTAAGAAATACCTTACAGGTTTGTTAGGAAATGACAGTCCAAAGCGTGTCTCCTGGTGTGGTGACATTTTCAAAAAAAATTGTATTTTGCCAACGCTGGTCGGCCGACCAGCGTTGGAGAAAACCGTTTTTTTTTTTTCAAATACCGCTCCGACGTTTTCAGAACAGTTGCTCTGCATTTTCTTTGCAATTGATAACACACCTTGTGAAGGGGTACAAGCCTGCCAGACTGATTCTCTGGCCTTACAATTCCCCAAAGTCTATTCATTTCTCTGTTTCATCTTAAGTGGGGTCAGGGAACCAGACTACAAGAACATGATTGGTTTTCTTGGTTTTTCCAGCATCTACCAAGCCCAAAAAGTGAAACAAGTCAGTTTAACAATATTTGCTATAACTTATTAATTCTCCAAATCCATTTATTTCTGAAAATTGCAGCAAAAGCAAATGTTGTACATTCCCTTTAAAGAGGTTGTGGAATGCACGAAGACACAACCTCGTCCCCAGTGCTTACTTTATTTCCAACCGCGTTTCCAATAGTAAACCCTGGATAGGAAACTTTCTTCCTGTATCCTGATTGGATACCGCAATTGGCTAGTAATGGATTTTTATCGTGTACTTGGTGCTATATATTCACAACGTAGAGTACGTGTTTTCGCGATCATTCGTCCACGCCTTCTCGAAAATACTAATTTCCTTTCCAATTTGCTCATATAAATATGAAATATGATACTGCATGTTGTCTCGATAAGATCGTAACAGTTTGACTTAAAAACTCGTGTTTTCGTAACTCACGCCGTGCTCGCGCTGCTACGAATTGACTGTTTTTACCCCAGACACCGCATACAAAAACAAACGCTAATGTGTAACGCATATCCAGGCACCAGACTGTTCCTCATTTGCATACGTGTGCAAAAATCTTGCACATGCAAATGATCCAATACCAGGGTGAGAGAGCAGGTAGTGGTGGGCGCGTACTGCTCGACACCCTGGGGACGAGGTTGTCTAAGACATTTCCGTCATTTTTCGTGTGTATGTAGCCTAAGGTGTGATGAAATAAAAACGACTATTGTTTCTGTCATGAAATGAGTACAAAAGGTACTTTTGAGAGATGTTTTTCAGGTCCAGTTTCGACCCGAACGTGCAACTGTGTAAAAGTCGTCGTTGCGGGCAGCAAACAAAACACAGTAAATCGTGACGTAATAAACAGGACTCGTGTATGCTACTGTGCATCGGGAGTCCTGTTTATTACGTCACGATTTACTGTGTTTTGTTTGCTGCCCGCAACGACGACTTTTACACAGTTGAACGTTCGGGTCGAAACTGGACCTAAAAAACAGCTCTCAAAAGTACCTTTTGTACTCATTTCATGACAGAAACAATAGTCGTTTTTATTTCATCACACCTTAGGCTACATATACCCGAAAAATGACGGGAATGTCTTCGAGCATTCCACAACCTCTTTAATAGTGAACTCGGTGGCCAAACCACACAATGGGCTGCGGTCACAGTGACTGTCATTAATATTGTATCACCTGAATTTCTCAACTGTTTATTTCGGTTTTTTTTTTTTTTCTCAAAAGATGGCTAAAACCGACCGACCCGACCCGAAAATGTAAATGCAAAACTGAAACCGACCAGACCCAACTGAAATGGACAAACCGACCCGACCGGACCCGACCCGAAGTCGGTTTCGGTCGGATCGGTTTCGGTTTCGGGTCGTGTTTGCCATCATTATTCTAGAACCTCGTCAACTGCACTGGAGACGTAGCTGGCTTATCCATCATTTATCAGGCGGTATACATGGACATGTTCCCTGGAACACCATTCTGAAACATTGCATTCACCAGTCTTATACATCATTACGCAGTTCTATCATGAATCATCCATACACTATATTAAAGCCAGGTGAAATCTATAACTGCTGGTCACCAACGACCCTTTATCCCCATACCCTGCATTATTGCAGGCTTGTACCCCTTCACAGGTGTGTCAATTTAAAAGAAAATGCGGAATAAATAAATATGAAAAATTAGGAACAAAGTTTGAAAAAAAAAACAGTTTTCTCCAACGCTGGTCGGCCGACCAGCGTTAGAATTTTTTTTTCTTGAAAATGTCAGTACGTCAGGAGCGACGATTTTACGGGATGCTTTAGGCTGTCATTCCTTACAACTCATTAGGGTATTTCTTGATATTTGATAATTTCGGGTTTTTATGTTTGCAAATGTTGTATCTTCCCTTTAAAGGGATATTGCGGCCTGGAATACATAACAAAAAAACGCGTTTTAAAGGAAATAGTATTAAATGGACAGATTATTTAAAAGTAGAATATGAACGTCCACACAACCATGTTCTTAAAACTGGGCACGTGTGTGTTATTCTTGCGACAACCATGCGAGAACGAATTTCGGGGGTTCATACAGTTTGTCCCGAAAAATCAGGCCGTATAATACCGCCTTTTGAGGATGTTAACGAATATTCAGTGGAATTTTTTTATACCCCGGCTTGGTCAATTTTAATGCACGGGGTACGTATGCATATTTTTTTTATATCACTCTGTCATAACCATGAGCGGCAGTCGGATAACAAGGGAAACACAATATTTTCCCATGATTTATTTACTAAAGTCAAGTGACTGGCGTGCCCTTTGATTTCTGAGTAAACGCACGTGAAGCGTCAAATTCCTTACACATTTTTGAATTTGCAAATTATCTGTATACGAAACGATTGACCGTGACCTCCCTTTCGGTTTCTGATTGGTCAGCAATTTACGCAGCCGTTGCTTTTTCCATAAGTAGCAGATATTGCACGTCCTGGGTTTTCCCCCAGTGAGTCACATCGGGTACAAGCCACGCCTGCGCCGCCTTTCGCGCGCCCGCCGAAAGGTAACCACAGTTGAGTTCAGGCCTTGCGAAGAATCAAGACGGGAATTCGGAGTACTGTTCTGAAAATCGTTCTTTCATTTTTACTTGCCGGAGCTTTTATTGGTTTCCATTCGTCATCATGGGTAAGAACATTTGTTTTATTTGATGTGTTATATTTTTTGCTCACCATACCACAATAACCATGTACAATTTAAGACATTACGTTAATCGAGAGGAATATTCAGTCCTGCCGCTCTGTCCAAATGATGTCAGTGGACATGAATCATTTAATGGTGGACCCAGCATTTCCTCTGATCTTTAGACACATTGTAGAACTGAATAAATGCCAGATGATGTTTCCAAACATCCTTCTAGAGTAAAGATGTGCATCGGGTTGGGTTGACCAGGCCAAACCGACCCGAAATTAGATATAAACCGAATCCGAGCCGAACCAACCCGACCCGACCCGACAAAAAATAAGGTACATCGACCCGACCCGAAAAAAAAGACGCGAAAAAAAATAATACCTGGCTTGGACAATTAAAATGGTCACTTTTTTGTGCCTACCCTTTCCCACGTGGCGAGATTTTTTTGCAAAACCTTAGTCTTTATCTCTCTCTGTCATATTCAGTGGGTTGATCGAGAGTAACTCTGCTTATTGAACAACGAATGGTATCACACGCAGTATCATGAAAACTGTTACAATCTATCTATTTCACTGTCAGTCCAGATCCGACTAGAGATTGAGAAATAAATACTGTGGGAACTTAAAGGGAAGAGGGAAGATACAACATTTGCAAACATCAAAAAACGAAATGATCAAATTATTAAGAAATACCTTACAGGTTTGTTAGGAAATGACAGTCTAAAGCGTGTCTCCTGGTGTGGTGACATTTTCACTAAAATTTTTATTTTGCCAACGCTGGTCGGCCGACCAGCGTTGGAGAAAACTGGCTTTTTTTTCAAAAACCGCTCCGACGTTTTCAGAACAGTTGCTCCGCATTTTCTTTGCAATTGATTACACACCTTGTGAAGGGGTACAAGCCTGCCAGACTGATTCTCTGGCCTTACAATTCCCCAAAGTCTATTCATTTCTCTGTTTCATCTTAAGTGGGGTCAGGGAACCAGACTACAAGAACATGATTGATTTTCTTGGTTTTTCCAGCATCTACCAAGCCCAAAAAGTGAAACAAGTCAGTTTAACAATATTTGCTATAACTTATTAATTCTCCAAATCCATTTATTTCTGAAAATTGCAGCAAAAGCAAATGTTGTACATTCCCTTTAATAGTGAACTCGGTGGCCACACCACACAATGGGCTGCGGTCACAGTGACTGTCATTAATATTGTATCACCTGAATTTCTCAACTGTTTATTTCGGTTGTTGTTTTTTTCTTCAAAAAATGGCTAAACCGACCGACCCGACCCGACCCGAAAATGTAAATGCAAAACCGAAACCGACCAGACCCAACTGAAATGGACAAACCGACCAGACCCGACCCGACCCGACCCGAAGTCGGTTTCGGGTCGGATCGGTTTCGGTTTCGGGTTGTGTTTGCCATAATTATTCTAGAACCTCGTCAACTGCACCGGAGACGTAGCTGGCTTATCCATCATTTATCAGGCGGTATACATGGACATGTTCCCTGGAACACCATTCTGAAACATTGCATTCACCAGTCTTATACATCATTACGCAGTTCTATCATGAATCATCCATACACTAGTATAAGCCAGGTGAAATTTATAACTGCTGGTCAACAACGACCCTTCATCCCCATACCCTGCATTATTGAATACTCGCTGGGAAAGTTGAAATACCTGAGACATTTAGGTAAACATTTACCAAATATTTTGAGTGAGCTGCTTCGCCGTGCCAACTCCAATTATCTAGGGAATATTGATACAAGACAATAGCGTTCTCAATTTTTTTGTTAACAGTGAAACATTTTACTGTAAGCCTACTTTGCATTTATCCTTCATTTTGTGCAACTTCCTTAATATTTTGACACAAAGTTTAACATAGCACTGAAAAGGATGAGATACCTGTTCAGGACTTCAGGTGTAAAATAAAAGGTATTTCCATCAAATTCATTTATAATCTTGTTGTTTGTAAGGATTAGGGCATGCACAAATAGGTACCGGTACAGTGAAAATGCCTTATGTGCTAATTGTTTGTGTGCAGGATGAAAAATGACTACTTTTACATAATTGGCACTTTCTCAGCAACCCCAAGTGCTATTTACATGATTTTTTTCCAGTATTTAAAAGAACTGAAAGTTCTCATCTTTAAAAATCCATCACCATAAAAATCCATCGATCCCTTTGTTTTTAAAAGGCAAATGTTTTAGGGTTGCATTATTTTGTTTCGGCCTCCCTGTATATCCGATTTCCATGAGTGTTTTTCGTAGCATTGGTCTTCCAAACACTACAAGTTTTAGGAGTAATTCTGATTTTTTGTTTTAGATTAATCTCGAATTCACCCTGCATGACTGTGAAGCAAGCGTGCGGCTTTTTAGACACAACAGCTTTAGTAAAAGTAGGCCATATTTTAAAACGGATTTTTCTTTTGGTTTCATGATTGTTTTTCTTCATGAGATTTGTTGCTTTTTTTTTATAAGTTTGATCATCTATTTGTTTTACTTAGATTCCGTATAAGATGAGTTTAATTCAATTTCCGAGAGCTGACTGAGAAAAAAAAGTTGTAAAAAAAACACTAACGTCCGGGTTAAAAACAAAGGAGGAAGCGGGGCTTTCTGTTTTTATTTTTTTCATTTTCAAGATGGCCGCCATTCTTCCTTTTTTTTTTTTAATTTTCGACAACCGTAGATTTGTACCCTGTTCAAAGACATACAAAAGAAACAGACATGCTGGACTCTTTAAGAAAAAGAAAAATACTTACAGCAATTTTAATACTTTACTAGTACGGTATTACAAGAATTAAAACACACAGCCACACCGGCATTCTTGTCCACGTTGCCTTTATGCCACTATGCATTTTTCTCACGAAAATGGTATTCTTTTTGACGTAGCATTTAAATCGTCGGCTAGCTTCGAACAAACAAAAGATTATCGGAAATTTTCACTGCAAATAGCTCCACATGCATACGAGGTGTGAATCATTTCTATAAAAGCATTTCATTCCTTAGAACAGTTGTGAACAAACGTTAAGCTTGGAAAAATCTTGTGCGCACATGTACTGCGGAGCCGTCACGTGGTTTGACAAGCAAGCTATTTCTCATCTTGGGGATTCCCTTGTACATGAGCACGCGCTGGCTGACCTAGGATCGCGCTGTCATGGCACGTTGGTGGCATCTCGTCTATGTAAGGCCAAAAAAAGTCTCCGGTTTCTGGTATGCGCGCGCGTCGCCGTATTAGCCATGCGCGTCGGCAAAATAAAAACGGGTTTTTTTTCGTTTTTTCAATGTAAGATGATGTCTAAAGACCGCCAAACTCATTGGTTTGACTGGAATCTTGCTGCTGAACAATTTTAATGTGTTTTTAGATGGGGTTACGATCGAGTATAAGCTTTCTCTGGACTCCCATATATTTTGCACAAAATTTACTCTGGTTCCGGGTTCCCGCCAAATAATGATGAATTAGAACGGTATAAAGACCGAGACCAGCTTACTCGGTAACGACATATTTTACAAAACTGGAAGATATAGTTTCTGTGCACTTATCCCCCCCCCCTGTTTCCTAGTATTTATTCCAAGAATTAAATATTGGATTTGTAATGTTTGAGTAGCGTTGGCGGCGCGTGCCGTGGCCACATCGTCGCTCAGTCCTTGATCCATCGTTGAGGCTGGTTTGGATTGGAGACCGGAGGCACGACTGCATGACAATGAAAATGTCCGATAGAGTATTACATTAGAATTCTCACTCGCAAGTATTTTATATTTTAGATAAGGTAACCAAGAAAGTAAATAATCTCTTCGATGTCCCAATGTGCTGTAAACGCGGATGCGTGATGAACGTCAATATATTTGAATATAAATGTCACCGACACCACGAAGTAACACTCTACCGTGTTAAACCATATTTTTTTTCTATTTTCAGTTTTTTTTTATTTTTAAACATTATTCATCAAGGCCTACCATTGCACGAAGTTTCAAAGCTTTAAGAGCTTTATTCTTATAATTACGCTAAGTATCCATGGCAACTTTTGCGCAAAAGTGACAATTTTCGTTTTCACGAAGTAACACTCGAGTTCCATTTACCATTGCAATACATGGCGCACACTCTGCTCATAAGTGAGCAAACCTTTTCACGAAGTAACACTTACGCCATCAGCCTCGGTTCAAAATTTTGGCAACTGGTATCAAATGAGGGGAATGATCGTCATAGCTATTTTTAGCGAGGTATATACCTCCCGCATTGGAAAATATAGCATTGCAGCGGTGGCAGCTTTTTAGGTGTTATCACCCTTTTATTCGAAATGTCCATCAAAATGCTTGTTAATACTTTAGGGGCGGTATACCTTGCGCATGCGTACTTTAATCATTTATGCCCTGATTTGATACCGACCAAACCCCCAGGCTGATGGCCTAACTCTTCTTGTAATAAGTTGTATGAGCGCGCGTCCGCTGACCCGAAGTTGCACCTTCCTCGTGTTGAATACATTGAAGAGTGTTACTTCGTGAAAACGAAAATTTACAGTTTCGCAGCCTTTTCGGTTTCACGAACTAACACTCATCTTTTTTTCTCTTATTTCTTGTTTATGTAATACACAAACGAGTGAAAAACAGCAGATTTAATAAATTCAATTCATCAAGTGTCCACAACGAGAAACCTAACTGAAAATACTCTATCGTTTTGACGCAAAGTGTTGTTTTAGAAGGCGTTCAACTTTAGTTGCCGTTTTCTCCGATTGCTAGTTTTTACTGGTATGTAGATGAGTGTCACTTCGTGGTGTCGGTGAAGGTAAAATGTAATTTAAAGAAAAAACAAATAAAATCTCACAGAAAAGAAAATAATTTGATAGGGTGGTTAACAATTTTTTTGTTGGTTTCCTTTCTTGCAGATGGGAAACTGTTGACTTTTCTGCTGGTCGTTTGCGCAGCTTCCAATGGTATGTTAATGTGTTTGCTCGTTTGTTTAGTTTTGTTGCTATTGTGTTATATGAAGGAAAAAGCTAGAGGGCGTATCTGGAAAAAAGAAAATTGGGCTAATTTCAAAATTCAAAGTTTCCTTTTTTTTCCACAGTGAAATGAAGCAATGAATGGTTAACTTTGGTGAAAGGCATTGTTATAATCTTCAATGTTTTCATATTTCAAGGGATTTTGAAACAGTTGACTTTGATCACAGAATTTCAGCAAGTTCAAATGTGCTATTTTCACACGGACAGGATGCATCTCGCAGATCGAGTCAATTTTTATGAATGAATTTTAAGTAATTTAGTAACAAAAAGTGCATTTTCAGTAGACCCAACTTTTCTAATGAGAATTAATACTTGACAGAACTATGTATATTTAGTTGTTTACCCAATTCTTGTTTTGATATGAACAAGGATATTTATTCTACAAATAGTGCGGTATTTCCAAAATATCAGGCAAATTGCTTCAAACAGTATTGGTTTCCTTCAGTTTAACCCCCTGGATTAACAAACGTTTCCTAGATTGGTTTATCTGCTTGATTATTCGTCCCAACCCAAGGCCAGGCCGCACCACAAAAATATAAATTTCCTGTCACGTTAATAGAAGTTCCGTTGCACAATCACACTACAGAGTGCGTCAAAATAGAAAGTGTCATAATTAGAAGAAAAAACAATATCAAAAAATATGCGGCTCGCTCTATTTCATAGAAATTGAAGTACTTGTTATTGGGTATGAACTGTGAACATTTCACGTAATTTCCCAAGTTACGTCTATTTTAATACACAGATAAAAAAATTCAGCTGTCCACTGATATTGAGTACCGAAGTGTGATGTCAGTAAGTGTAGTGCAAACGAATGGCGTATACGCGCGCGTGTTGGTTCACGTTCTAAATCACGCGCTAATGTCTTTTACACACATTTTGTGCGCGTGACGAATTCACTTCGGTACTCCATACCGTTCAACAAATTGATGAATGCAATGAAATACAATGAAACATGGACGTTCTCCTCACTGATGTCTATCAGCCTCGACTCCATGGGCGCGTGCGTGTTCCTTACACTAACCCCTGGCCGTGATGATGACGTAAATGACGCTGATTGGCTATTCACAGCGTACTGCGCGCGCATTTCGAAGATTGCACGCCGGGCGCGCTCATAATGCGCTCGCGTGCTTTGCACGTAACGTCACGTACGAAAAAAAAAATGTTATTCAAAAGTCGCGATGCCTGCACGATATGGATTATGGCAGCCTCGTTTTTCCAAAAATGTTCGTGGTTTGGAAGAGAGAAATATTTTTTTCACCAATTTGTATTGAAATAAAAGTTTAAATATAGCAAATGAGAAGGATCTATATGTCAGTTATATAAAACAAATATTGAGTGGCTTTTTTGTGAAATGGGAAAGTCTAGATTTTACCTTGCAATAATATTCCTCCCATTCCACGCTGATCCACTCAATATTTGTATATTAAACTTACTTGTTAAAAAAGTCTTCCCGTTTGCTTTGTTTGTACTTTAAATTGTTCGCAACAACTCTCATTGGTTTTGTTCACGTTTTCCAACCGAGGAGTCCTCTATTCGGTTTTTGTCCTCGATTCACCCGCGTGTCCTCGATTACACCATAAACACGCGCACCTAATAAGTGACCTAAATTAGTGCTTTTTTTTTCTTAAAAAGCAATCAAATTTTAAACACCAATAAAGTTTATCTTAAACAAGCAGGTTTTTCCACAAATCTCAAAAAGAAATTTCTGAAATAGATCCATGTTATTAGAGGTTATGCACGTTTTACTAAAAGAACCCATTTGAATAGCTGACCATGGAATGCCAATAAAGGCTCTTCATCCCAGTGAGAGTTACACACAAGCATTCAAATACAAATGAGATAAATAATTGAAATCAATACTGAAACAGTACTTTTTCCTTCAGATTTGTGTTTTGAATATGATGAACAAGTCATCAATTCTTTTCTGACATGGGTAGTTTTTCTTTGCAAGTACTCCTCCATATGTCGAGGTGGGAGAACCACTGATCTCTATATAAAGACTGGATAGCGGATATCCATACACCAGTCACACAGCAGACTTTGCATATTGACCAATTCGCCCCCGGTCTCACGGAGATGGCCGCGTTTAATAGACCGCTTGCAGATGCGTTCGATAATCGACGCGCGAAGGCGCGCGACGCCATGTTGTGGGACAAGCGTATATCTATCTATGCACATTTTGTCCCATAACATGGCGTTGCGCACCTTCGCGCGTCAATTATCGATCGCGTCTTCAAGCGGTCTATACCATACCTAAGCGTATATACAGCGCGCGCTCTTTCAAGAGTTGACGCGCAGTTTGGTCACGTACGCGTATTATGATGTTCTAAAAAGGACACATTTCCGTAGTGGTTATATTTCCAAAACGCCGAAAAAGTGAACTTCGACATTAAAGATATAGTCCATCATTTGTAATTTGTGCAATTTGTTCGTTTGAAGAAACACAGGTGTTCAAAATCTAAGGAAGGATACTGAATAACTAACCTGATGAAGTTTCAGTTCAGCTTCAGCTGTATATTCCGAGAAAAATAGCATTCTAGGATCTCAATTTCAAATCAAAAGTTGCTGAAGCATGTTTTGAATTGTTTTAAATTGCAGCTATACGCGATGTCGCACACTGATCCTACGAATTATAGCAACCGCGCACGCCTGTGCGTAGTGCCAATGCTTACGCGCGCTGCGCCGAATAACAAAACGAACTACTAATTTAAATTTTGGAAAGGCCTTCTTTCGTTGATTACTTCGAAATGATAGTTTGCCAGAAAGATGAATTTCACAGGGAGTTTAGTCCACTTACTATCTTTCAACCAAGTATGTTTTCAACAAAAATACGCCAGTCACTTTTTCGGATGGCTGCAAATGATGGACTATAGCTTTAAGAAAAGTAAATCACGACGTTAGAAACACTGTAAACTGCGGTCAGTGGTGGTGGTGGTCAAAATATAAGTGAAGTGAAACGCGATGTTACAAAAGTAATCATGCTGTCTATAAAGACGGCAACTTGTCCTTTGTAGATCACCAGCCGGTCTCACCAATATGGCGTCAAATTCATTCGTTGTGCGGCAGCCTCGACTCCATGGGTGCGTGCGCGTTCCTTACACTAACCCCTGGCCGTGATGATGACGTAAATGACGCTGATTGGCTATTCACAACGTATTGCGCGACGCTGAACGCGCACACCGGCATGCATTTGCACACCAATACCGCGTCATGGAACAAGAATGGTCGTAACTGTTCAATAGTATTTCCCATTCCCCATGGGCGGATAGTATTTTTTTGAGCCCCGGCGTGAATGGCAGTAATATACAATTATTATACCTCATATATATTCATGATCGAGAGCAAAAAATCTCACTGGTCAATTCACCATCACGTACGTGCCAGATGTTATTTTTGCTGTTTACCAAGCGCACGCGCAAGGATTCACGCACAGGGTAAATACGCATGCGTAGTAGACTGTCGCACGGGTTGCCCGTGCGACAGTCTACTACGCATGCGCTTTACAAAGCAATCGTGGAACTGTCGCACGGGTGTAGTACGCACGCGCGAACATCGCCTAGTCTGGTTCCCAGACAAAAGGATTCTGACTATTCCTGATGAATCTTAGGTCCGGTAGCCTCCGGTAATACATTGTATTACAATTTACGTCACGTGACTAAAACGGGAGGAATTCCTCCTTTTTCCGAAAATTTCCGAAGTTTGCCGAAATCGTTTCGTCGACAATCGGATAGCGCCCGAGTATTTCTGAGTATATAATATAGGTTTAATTAACTGCTAATTGATTATTAATTTTATTTTGAATTAGTTGATAATTAATATTCATTGCTTTCATTTAGAAAACTTGACATTCAACGACGATTTTGTGCATCAAATACTCGGATCGTATGGCCGAACGTTTTGCTGCGTCATGTACAATTTTGAATTTGACGACCGTTACCGAGATTTTCCAAAACTCTGTCTTCATTCGGCTCCGCCTGCTAACAGTGCTATTCGGCTGCCTAATTTTGAAGATTCCAAATCAACATTAGTCAATGTTATCTTACAGAAACATCAAACTGCATTATCATAACTGTATGATATTACGAAGCAATTGATGTATATTAAAATTTTGATCAGAACATTAAAAGCTACAGCGATAAAGCGAAATCGGAAACGAAGCCGAGCTTTGAAAAAGGGCCATCAATGTCGTCATGTTTATTTTAGCCGAGGCTGCCTGACCTAAGATTCATCAGGAATAGTCAGAATCTTTTGGTCTGGGAACCAGACATCGCCCAAACGAGCTACACACGTACGAGGCGAGGAGATGGCTGTACAGGGCGTTATTTTCCCGAGCTCAATGATGCCGAACTAGAGAATATTTAAGGACAAGAGAGATGCCTCCTGTACAAAAGAATGTTGTACACAAACTACTGTATTTACAGCTGCACTGTATTGTAAACGAACTGAACTAGTGAATTTGAGCAATACGATTCTAGTGTTGAACTGGACAAGTTTTTTCAAATGTTTTTTTTTTTTTGAGGTACACACTGCAACGAAAAAACAAACAAATCGGCGCTGAATATGTATGAGGTATAGTAAAACAAATATAACATGGGTTATTTTATGATTTTAATACCGAGCGATAATATTCCTCCCATTTCACAATTTAAAGCCACTCAATATTTGTTTTATATAACTGACATATAGATCCTTGTCTATTGATATATTTGAACTTTTATTTCAATGCAAAATTGGTGAAAAAAATGTATTTCTCTCTTCCAAACCACCCGTTCACGAAAATGTTTGAACCTAACGCTGTAGCGCTGGCTCTTCTTTGGAACAATACGCGCTACGCGCAATGCTGAACGCGCACATCAGCATGCATTTGCACACAAAAAACCGCATCATTGAACAAGACTGATCCAACCTCGTTCCCATGGGTACGAGATCTTGCTGCGCTATGTTAATTGTTTCCCATCATGCCTTGCGCGATCTCGATATAAAGACTGGATAGCGGGTATGCATACAACATTCGCACAGTAGACTTTGCATATTGACCAATTCGCCCCCGGTCTCACGAAGATGGCCGCGTATAATACGAACGTTCTACGCGTAAATACGCTTGCGTTGTATCAACAGTTTACGCGCATTTTGATGTTATGATGTTCTAAAAGGGATACATTTCCGTAGTGATTATTAATTTAAAAACGCCGAAAAGTGATTTGCGGCATTTTAAAAAGTAACCACGCCGTTAGAAAAATTGTAGTAAACCTTGGTCAGTGGGGGTGGTCAAAATATAAGTCAAGTGAACCTTGACGTTACAAAAGAAATCATGCTGCCTATAAAGCCGGCAACTTGTCCTTTGTAGATCACCAGCCGGTCTCACCGGTCTCACCAATATGGCGTCAAATTCATTCATTGTGCGGCTCTTTATTAGCTATCCAGTCTTTATATAGAGATCAGTGGTCAAAATATGGCACATTATAATTAGGCTGCAGTTTATCCGTTTTACGCGCCGACGCCATGAAAGTTGTGTTTTTGAAGAATCAATGCTTTCAAACATAAGGTTTGGACGTTGCGTTATTTAGCAAAGATTTGTATTAAAGGTACGTACAACTTTTGGCCCTTTACAACCGCAGATACAGGGTGTTTTTTTTAGCGAAGAACTAGGCTGCCATAATCCATATCGTACAGGCATCGCGCAGTTTTGAATATTCGTGCGTGACGTGACGTGCAAAGCACGCGAGCGCATTATGGGCGCGCCCGGCGTGCAATCTTCAAAATGCCCGCGCAGTACGCTCTGAATAGCCAGTCAGCATCGTTTAGGGCCCTGTATCACTTCTGCGTATCCTAATTCCTTATCAGTTGCGCATTGACATTTTGTTCATACGCAGTCGTACGCACAATACGCACCTCATATGCATTTCTATCGTTTTGTGTAGGTTTTATGTACGCAGATATACGCATGGTACGGCCCAGTAGGCAGGATAGTTTTGGGCATGCACAAAACTACGCTGTGTACGCTGTTACGCAGGTCATAAGTTATAAATACGCAGCGCATCGGTCCCGCATCAGTCGAGTGCGTTACGAGTACGCTATGTGTTCGTGAAGCACCCCGTCAGTATATGAGCCGCCTGTATTGGACGTATACATAGCGTACTTGCAGCGCAGATGCAACGCATAGGCATAGCGGTTGGCATTGGTCGGGTGCGTCCGGAATACGCTCGGCATGCGCACTGCATACTGACCTATTCGCAGCCAGAAAAATAATGTTGTGCACTGCATACGGAACTCATACGCATCTCATACGCAATGGATGCGCTGAATTCGTTACTTGTACACTAGATGTGCGTCGCACATAAGTCAAAGTGATCAAAACATTTCGACGTTAATTGAGCGTACGGCTGCGTATTGAAAAGTTTTGATAAGGAACTCATAAGGAATTAGGATACGCAAAGGTGTGACAGGGGCTTTACGTGTACATCACAGCCAGGGGTTAGTGAAGGAATGCGCACGCGCCCATGGAGTCGAGGCTGAGACTAATCCTAACTATTCAATAGTATTTCCCATTCCCCATGGGCGGATATTAATTTTTGAGCTCCGGCTTGAACAACCTCGTCCCCAGTGCTTACTTTATTTCCAACATCTTTTCCAATAGTAAGCCCTGGATAGGAAACTTTATTCCTGTATCCTGATTCGATACCGCCATTGGCCAGAAATGGATTAATATCGTGACTTGGTGTTGTTATTCACAACGTGAGTACGTGTTTTCGCGATCATTTGTCCATATCTTCTCGAAAATATTCATTTTCTTTCCAATTTGTTCATATCAATATGAAATGTGATACCGATAAGATCGTAACAGTCTAATTCAAATACAATGGTGTTTTCGCAACTCACGCCATGCTCGCGCTGCGACGAATTGATTCTGTTTTTACCCAAGACACCGCATACAAAAACAAACGCAAATATAACGCACAGGCAGGCACCAGACTATTCCTCATTTGCATACGTGTTCAAACATCTTTCACATGCAAATGATCAAATACCAGGGTGAGAGAGCAGCTAGTGGTGGGCGCGTACTGCTCGACACCCTGGGGACGAGGTTGCGGCTTGAATGACAGTAATACCGAATGACACGTGATGTGAGTTCCACCAATCAAATGACAAGGATCTGTATGTCGGTTATATAATGACAAATGACACGTGATGTGAGTTCCACCAATCAAATGACAAGGATCTGTATGTCGGTTATATAAAACAGGCTAGCGCACCCTCACTTCCTGATTGTTAAAAAAATAGAAGAAAAAAAAGTGACAATTTAATATACAAAGTATTAACTTAAGGGTGTCACCGAGCAACAAAGACCTGCCCACAGTGAGGGCGCTCTATGCAGGCGGTCCATGGACTCTCACTCCACTTCTTTTCACCCATTGAATCTCCAGCTGTTGCTCTCAAGTGCCACGTGTGTGCTGAGGGGGGAATCTGTACTGACGGCGATATTGGTGAACTTCAGACCTGCCCGAGTGTCTCTGGCTTCGTGGCCAATCAGTGTGCAAAATTTGACGGGGGGATTTCCGGGTCCATTGCAGGTATCTGATCTTGTCTTTCGTTGTAATACAAGAAACAATAATACAGACCATTCTTTTGAACAATGAGGGCGATGCAGCACCGCCATTTTCCGGGTACCAACACTAGAAAGTCCCACTTATTGAAGCAGTTTAGTAACTTTAATTCAATCTGAATATTACATGGGCTAATAATTGTAAAATGTCATGTTAAAACAATTTTGTTATACCCCGAGAATGACGTCCCTGAAGCGCGCGCCCTCATTGGATATGAAACAATGGCATATTGCTGTAGTAATGATAGTCTAGTTCCGAGATAAAAGATTCTGAATATTTCTTACAAATACATTCGAATGTGAGATGAGTTAGCAGCCACGCGGCACGTGACCAAAAACGGGAGAAACGCCTCCCGTTTCTAAATCAAAAGTTTGCCGAATACATTTCATAGGCACTTTTTGGTAGCGCCCGGGTATTTTCGGGTATAAAATGTTGTATTTACCTTCTATGAGTGGATTATTAATAGTTGTTGCTTGCATTTAAAAGAACTTGAAATTCAAGGACGACTTTGCCTATCAAGTTTGCACTCGGCTCGTACGAGGGGCGAGCATGCATGTAGTGTTTTGAACCTGACGACGATAACCTTCCAGAACTCGGTGTCGTCTCCAGTTCGGCTTCGCTCGCTATTTGGGTTCCTAACTTTGAAGATTCCAGCTCGACATTATTCAATGTTATCCTTACACCGGCAGCCGGTGGCGACTGCCTTACCACCAATATAGATGTCAGGGCGTCTGGAAATTGTCATGTCAGGGAACCAGACTATAAAAAAATGAAAGTTGCATTCCCCGTGGTCTTCAACAAAGTCGTTTTTGCTCTGAATACATTTTCAACTTATATGTTTTAGTATGGGTTTTCCCGGCCAATTTCCTGAAATGCTCATTCACTTCTCAACGTCGGTCATTTATTTTCGTCTGAATTTGAATGCACGCTTTAATCCCATTTTAATTTAACGAATGTTCAATCGTTTTCATTGTCCGTGCATTCGGTTTTGAGAAACAGACGGCCAATTACGTTACTTTGTGCATTCATTACGCAAGCATACCTTTTCTAAATTGATTTCAGGTACAGCTAATTTGATTGAAGGTTCATGAAAAAGAAACCCCTCATTATATCTGGTGCCAATGGCATTAAACTCAAAGTGAAATAGAACAGTGAATGTTTGAAATCGCCCTCTAAAGCGAAAAAGAAGTCTTATAAACGAATCTGAATGGACATAAACGAAAGGTGCTGCTCAATCACTTAATATTGATTGAAATGGAATCGAATGCACAGGTAGCGAAAATGAAACGCGTGTTTAGAGCGATCCTCAAATTCAGACGAAAATGAATGACCGATTTTCAGAAGTGAATGAACATCTTAGGAAATTGGCCGGGAAAACCTATATTATTACTATCTTCACCCCAATTTGCAATCATTGTCAGTATTTGTTAGCGCAAAGCACAGTTGATTTGTATTGACCTTTTCGAGATATGCCAGGCAAAAAATGAGTATATTTTGACATGTATACAATATAGTTTACGCAAGCAATCTCTAAACTTTTAAATGTGCTCAATACGAATCAGCGTTCCTCATGATACAGTAACAGCAGCCTCAACCGTCCGGAAAGAAAGTAACATAAACAGTGGAAAAGGTGCTTTCATAATTCTATTTTTTCTCCAGGAGCCGAGATCTCTTTCAGTGGAGTGATTCGCGGTTGCAACCTCCTCCCTGAAAACTTCGACGCCCCGCCTCTTCAGTGCTTCTCTGGCTCCGAGGCTACTGCTTACTTCCGCAACATAGTCGAAGGTCTGGTGCCTGATGGCACCTCTATCGGCGATGGCCTGCTGGGTATCACGATCACGGGCGACCTGTGCTACTGCGCTGACGACGGCTGCAACGGCGTAGGCTCCCTCAAGCCGTTCCTCTGGCTGATCCTCGCCGTGGGCTTGATGCACTTGCTGCTGAAATAAATGGCGGCTGGTGTGTGCGACCCCCAGATAGTGGAACTAACATGGCCACTGCAACTTATAGCTGCCTAGATTAAATAAGTAGTAGGCTTAGTGTTGAATAGTTAGACAGTGTGTTTTCTGCTGCTGCTTTGTAGTCTTTTCACTTGTATATTCCAGCCTTATTAGCCTGTTAAGTCCCGGATTACATTTGACCTGGAATCCGGGTCATATTTGACCTTACACTTCGCCAGGTCAACACTTTCTGGGTTAAAATAACACTGTGCTGGTTGATTCTCCAGGACTTTTTGACCCGAAAAGTGTAATAATCGACCCTGAAAATGTGACCTGGATAATTGAATTGATCCCGAAAATATTGACCGGTAAATTGTATAGAATGTATCCTGGCACCAGTTATGCATTTACCTGCGCACACACTTTACCGTTCCCACGGGTGTAGCCACATTGTAGTAAGTGTTCAAGATGGTAAATAGTTTTAAGGATTATTACACTAGTGACAGGGTAATACAATTTCGTTATATTTCACCATGAAAAAGTACCAATACTATTTTGTCTTTAACCTTTAGGTTGAATTGTTTTTGCATTTGATTCTTTCGCTCTAGCTTATGTAGAATTATTTGACAGTTGCTTTTTACACAGTTATGCACAATTATACCCGCGCATTTCTTGTTATCGCGATGTATTTGTTACATTATTGTCAATCAATATGAAAACACCTGTTGCATCGTTGATTGCTCAGATTGGGCCAGTTTAATAAATATCGTGTTGAAAAATATTTCTAAACTTACCAACTACATGTATCACATTTATAGCTTTAAACGTCATTACTTTTGTGTGTGAATTTCAGCAAGATTGATTTTACATTCTGATTGAAGTCAGTCAAATCATCCGATATAAGAAGAATATTCCTAACTGGACTATATACGCTAGTATCTGAAAACAAAAGATACAAGCTTAATTATCCGAGCACTCAATAACTGTTTTGTGTATTGATAATGATGAGGCGTCTTCCTCGACAAATCATGAAAGAGTTTATAATATGAAGGCGTTTGGGTGATACGTAGCCACTTCAGAGAAATAATTGATCAAGTGATTGTGATTTGCGTTTTTTTTCTTCAAAACCTGATTTGCCTACCAGTACTACGTTTTATACGGCTGAGTGGATTCCTGTACTTTTGAAGAACATTTGAAGAGGTCAGCAATAATGTAACTTACTACATTTTTAGAAAAGTACAAAGAATCTGGCGTTTGACTTTTGAAAAAAAAAATATAATTAGACGTTTATTGTATTTTGCTCAGTTTCGCCTTAAGCAAAGGCCATTTGCAAAAACTGTTCCGCTCGGAGTAAAAGTGACCGAAAAGTTCCACTGGTTACCGGCTACCAGCGAGCTCAGGCCGCTGATGCAGTCTGATTTCATAGCGCCCTCTTGTCGCGTCGGTGTCGCGTCAGTTTTTTGATTTTGGTCACCCACAATCCTTTTGGGTTCTTTCATAAGTCATGTTTAGACGCTTAGCAATTTGTTTTGGTCTGGCGACCAAGAGGGCGCTATTTAGTTCGGGTAGACTCCTTCGTGTGTCCCGAACCACTCCTTCGTGTGTCCCGAACCAAGATTTAATAGCGCCCTCTTTTTCTGGCTGCCATATCGCACAAGTGTTAGCGACTCGGTCTGTGCCAGCTTTCTTGGTTTGACCAGTAACTACAGTGAATTGAACTCTCACTCCAAAAAAAAGACGTCACTTTTACCCTAAGCCGAATTTGAAAAAGAGTTTTCTGCGTTTGCTCAGCATTGGTAGTATAGCCAATTCTCTTTGACAAACTCACGTTTCGAGAGATGTTGCCATCAATAAAGATGTTGTACTGCAAACAACTGTGGCTTTTCATTGTGTTTCTATTGCAGCTTATTTTGATGACACCAAGTTAATATTCTTGCAACCCTGGGTTTATAACCCAGATTACAGTTTATGATTAGTATAAGATAGTGAATAGATGCACCTATAGGCTGTGTTCCCTGTGCTCTCTTTGACAAATTCCGTTTTGTTCCTATTAATAATTTGTTTAACATGTATGTTTCATTCTATAAACCCCAAACCCTATTTTTCGTTGCAACCCTGCATTTTTTTCTTTGGGGTGGGGGCACAAACAGAATCGCCTTGCGAGCGGACTGGCTCCCGGTCCGAATAAAATGGAATTATTGTCTGGTAGCCAATAATGCGAACTGACACATTAATAATTAAAAAACTAAACATCGGCTGATTTATTTCGGTCGGTGTTTCATTCAAAAAGTGATCAACTTTTGTATTGCTATAAATAAATATGAACTTGAGAAAGGAATGTATTTTTAGGGATGAAAAATCGAAAATAACACGTGGAAAGCAACTGTTAGCATGAAGTAGGCCATTTAAACGTGTCGCCTAAACACATTTGGACCATACAGGGTGAGTCAAAAAGAAAGTTACCCAATCTGAAAAATATTTTTTAATATTATTACGTCTGAAATATTTAAGCATGTGTGACGTCATTTTATTCCGAAATCTTGACTAAGATTGTGATTAGTCAATTTCCATGTCATGTTTTTTTTTTTAAATACAACAACCTGTACAAGAACGCTGCTCATCATGGGCGTGACGTGTATAGACTACTAGGGAGGGGGGGGGGGCAGCGAGATGGCTGGGATTGTCTGAATTCCTTCATAGTTCAATATGTGCTTGACATGCCGTTTGGGGGGGGGGGGCTGTTTTGAGTCAGTCCCGATAAGTGGACAATATCTACTGCAAAGCAGTATCCGATTTTGAGGAAAATAGCACAGAGAAAATAGTTCTGCTGCATACAGATTAAAAAAGAAAAGGAAACAAATTGCATTCAGTTTAGTTTGCCAACTTTTAATATTTTCTCAAACATCACTTTGGGACACAATACTTCCCGTTTTTTTTATCGCCCGTCTGTGGCGGGTGGCAACTCATGAATTATGCATTTTATTTGACCTGGCTGTAAAAGTGGCACATGCGCACAACCGTTCTTCACTTTGTATACCACGGCCATATAGCTATATTAAATGACTACGGCCGAAATAGGGGTGAGTTGTGTTCAGAGCTTTCAAAGGACGGAGTTCAGAAAAGTGTTCTGCAAATCGCTCATTGATAAATCTTGGCCGGAGCTTTCGTTGACATCCATTCGTCATCATGGGTAAGTACATTTGTTTCTGAACCATATTAAGATGTGCCCACTGAAGTTATCATGACTGGAGTACAACAACGAGTGTATAAGCATCGCTCTCTTCAGCAGTTGATGTCGGTGGATAACTGTGTCCGGAAAGATCCCATTTCCTGGACTTTTTGCCCCGAAGCCTCGGCACAATTGCCATGGTCTTCCTCCGTCCGAAACAAAAAGTTTGAAGAATCATTTTGAACTTTCTCCCTGATTGTGAAGTCAGTGTGCCACTCTTTAGTCAGTACGTTGTTTCAAAAAAACAAAATAATAAATACATTTTTTATTTTTATTTTTATTTTTCCGCTTTTGAATTGTGTTCCTTACTTTTGTTTTATCATCTATTTAGTTTACCTTGAATTTCCGTACGAGATGAGTTTTTATTAAACATTCAACTTAATATTAACAATAATAATAAGAATATTATGGTTTATAAATAGCATATTCCTTAATATGTAGCGTTACTCAGGGCGCTACAGCAAGGTAACGATTGAAATGGCCGAAAAAATCCATGAAACAAAAGTTATATAGAGGCAGTATACTTTTTGTAAATAGCAAAGATAAGTTCGAATAATTCCTCAACTGAGAGAATGGTTCTGAAAAGAACCAGAGGTATAAACTCACGTTCCGGTCAGTTTGCTTTGACCGTCTTCAGGAGAGTGCCAGAGCATAATGACCGGAACGTCAAGTTTATACCTTTGTTTCTTTTCAGAACCATTCTCTTAGTTGAGAAATTATTGGCACATGGTGTTTCCACAAACCTTTCATTCAGGGGCTGATCCAGGGCCAGGGGCGTGGGGGCGCACGCCCTTAAATGCTTATTTAAATAAGTCCTTAAATTTATTTTCATATTAGGTTAGACAAATTTGTATCAAAAAGTTTTGATGGACAGTCTCAATAACTTTCCTGGGGCGTTAGGAATATGATAGGAATCAGATTTTTTTTCTGTTCTTCCGACTTATTTCTCTACTTGAAACTTACGTTTGATCCATATACTTTTCCAGTTTAGGAAGTTGTAATGTTTGTAAAATGATTATTCAATATTTTTTTTTTTTTAAATATATAAATCGTCTCCGAATTTTGAGGAAAAATCTACCTCAGAGATCCCCAGATTTGCTTTAAAGTGCAACAGAGAGCTTCTAAAGTTCAACACTTTTCGGAGCCCTTAAAAGTGTTGGTGTGTCACAAGAAAACTTCCTTTACAGGTTTGAAATATTTCACACCTCCCCCTCGTGGAAAATCCTGGATCCGCCCCTTGTATCTCCACCCTGCAAAGCCTCAAATCTTACCTTTTTTCTCAAATCAGTTCCTTTTTTGAAAGAAAAGCAGAAGTTTGAAGTCCTACTCAGGAAACGAGCTGACTGTATAGGGAAGTATGCGGGAGGCAAAGGGTTCTGATTACTTCCTGTTTCACAAGCTTCGAGCAAAAGCTGATTTAGTCGTTCTTGATTATTTCGTTGAGTTTAATTTACCAATATCTCTATCATTTCTTGGCCAGCGTTTCTGCTTCCCTCAGTTCGTCAATAAAGGTTTTTGCAGTTCCTTCTTTTTTACTTGGTGAAAAAGAACAAATTTAACTATCACCAAAACGAAAGTCGTATACAGGAGGAAGTAATTTCTGGCAAATCTTTTTTATCTTATATTTTGTTCACGTATCAATAAAGCTCATAAAGTTCAAAAAGCAAGGTTAAAACATGAACAGCGGATTAAACAAAATCGTTCTTCCAAATCTTTCGTGACAAAATCTGAGTTTTTACTGCCGCTGTAGTTGAATGTAAAGGCTAACAAAAATTGGCAGTACACTCGTACTTGTGCCTCTAAAGTTATCAAGACAGTGAATGATCTCTGTTTTCCCTGTCGCAACATGCTGTATGAAAGCCGGGTTTCGTGATTGGACTTAAGAATATTAGGAGAAAAAAAGTATGTAGAGTGTGTATTAAAGACTTTCCCGGCCAATTTCCTAAAATGTTCATTCATTTCTGAAAATCGGTCATTCATTTTCATCTGAATTTGAGAATCGCTCTGAAACACGCCTTTCGTTTTTGCTACCAGAGCACTCGATTCCATTTCAGTTCAATCAATTAGTGATTGAGCAGCACATTTCGTTTATGCTCATTCAGATTCGTTCACAAGACTTCCTTTTCGCTTTCAGAGGGCGATTTCCAGAATTGGTCATTCTATTTCACTTTTAGTTTAATGTGATGTGATGCAATCTGCTATTTTGAATGAGAAAAACGTACTTTTGATTGCACGTTCTCGCAGACCTCTGCGCGAAAAGGTATGCTTGCGTAAATAAATACACAGGTAACGCAATTGGCCGTCTGTTTCTCAAAACTGAATGCACGGACAATGAATACAATTGAACTTTCGTTGAATTGAAATGGGATTAAAGACGTGCATTCAAATCCAGATGAAAATAAATGACCGATTTTCAGAAGCGGATAAACATTTTAAGAAATTGGCTGGGAAAACCTATATTTTCAATCAACCCACCAACTTTTGTTTTCTCGATAGTGTTGATTTACATCTTTTCATATTTTTTTTTAATTGCAGAGAGGAAACTGTTGATTGTTCTGTTGGTTGTTTCCACGGCATCCAATGGTATGTTGAATCATTTTGTTTTCATTTGTTTGTTTAGTTTCGTTGTTATTCTGGTGTTATTTTATGACAAGAGGGGGCATAAACAAATCTGCAGAAGTATTGTTTGAAGAGAAATTGATTAGAACAATCAAGTTTTTTTTTAATGTTCACATAATTTAACTGGTTGTTAGTGGCCTAACGGGTGGTGTTACCAATTGAAAGTTCGTGTTCAGTTTCTTAATCGTGCATGATCTTAAGGTTTTTTCAAGGGATTTTGAAACAGTTCACTATATTTACCGCGACATTTCAGCAAGCCAAACAAAGCGCAGTTTTCGTGGTGAAAGAATAAATCTTGAAGTATTGGCAAAGTAGCTAAGTATAAAAAATGCAGTTTAGTTGACCGAAAATATTTAAAGAGAATTTGTAATTGACAGATATACAGGGTGGGTCATAAAAAAGACCACAAAATGAATGTTTTGTAAATCGTGGTGGTTTCACATATCGATTTCTGTGACATGTCACCTTGATAAACAGGCCTGGGAGTTTTTGTTTTTAGTGATATATTCATTTCTTCACAACCTTCCAGACTTTCCCCTTGCTCTGTGGTGAGTGGCAAACTTTTTTCAATCGGTCTCCAACGCACATCAAAATAAACTCCCATCGTGTGTCTTCATTTTCTGAAAAGGAGGAAGGGTTCCAGTAAAAAAAATAGAAGTAGTGAGAATTATTTTTACTGTGGCTTTTTTTGCCCTCACTGTATGCATCTTCAGTTTTGAACCCCATTTTTTGATATTGAAAAAGGATATATATTTTCTCAGAAAAGCCCGTTATTTTCTAAATATCAAGCAAATTGCTTCAAACTACTATGAAATACTGATTAATGATTGAATTGCGCATGCCTTGTGAACAAAATGCCAGCATTTTTTTTTAAATTTGTTGGACTACGAACTCGCAGAGTCTGAATGTGACAATTTTAGAAAATTGCGGTTTTTCCCCACCGTAGTGGTTTCGTAAATTGAAAAAGACAGAGGGCGTCATGTTTTGTTTCCTGATTTTGTTTCCCGAATTCAAAAGCGCTGCCCATATCGTGGACGTATCCCTGGTATCCGACTCAATCGCATGCTTGTAGGAGTGCTGAGCACTTATTTCCTGATGGAGCCAGCGGGCAATGGCTCATCTTGACTTACATCATCACGGATTGCAATGCCGCAACACGTGATACATTATAGTTGCACAGTAGGCCTACATAATGTACACGGATGGGGCGGCCCCTGCGTGGCTCCGCACTTCGATTATTTCATCCCCCTGACTTCCTTCATGCAGTGTTGCCAAACCACTCGTTGACAAGCTCCAAATTCATTCAGTCAGATACTGGTATTATTATATCCTTAACAACGCTTGCTGTTGAACCCTCGTATTGCCATGAAATAAAGTCAGAAAAATAAGGGGAAAAAAGACCAGACAAAAACGGTAGCGTCCGGAAATTGGCACAAACCGGCCGTGTGTTCCTTAGGCCAAAAAAAAAGTCTCCGGTTTCTGGTATGCGCGCGCGTCACCGTAGACATGCGCGTCGGCAAAATGAAAAAGGTTTTTGTTCAATGAAAGATGATGTCTCAAAACCGCCAATTCACTGGTTTGACTGGAATCCTGCTGCTGCACAATTTTAACGTGTTTTTAGATGGGGTTATGATCGAGAATAAGCTTTATGTGGCTTCTCTGGACTCCCATGTATTTGCACTAAGTCTAGTCAGGCACCATTTGCAGTCATCAGCCGACATTTGAGGCAAAAAAATCAGGTAAAAAAAAAAAAGCCGCGTCGCCGCACCACTTTTTTGGCAAGCTCCATACCAGAAACCGGAGACTTATTTTGTTTGGCCTTAACGTGGTGCACTTCAACAAATCGCAGAAACTCCAAAGTGAACATTTACTAATTTCTTGTCAGTTGACAATCGTTATTATCTCCACTCACAAACCAAGTACATGATTGTCGGAAGATTGGGCCTATGTTCTTATTTATGCGCATTTCAAAAGGGTTCACTGCGTACGTCAAAATAAAACCTGAAAAGCGTAGGTAGCGGGACCTGGTATTAAAGTAAACTCAACATTTACGAACGGGAATATTTAAAGCTTGGTAAAATTTTTCCCAAATATCCATCCATCCATTCACAATAATTCAAAAGTAATATAGGTTTTCCCTGCCAATTTCACCAAGTTTTCATTCAATTTAACGCCTGGCTCATTCGATTTAGATTGAAATTGAAAGAACACGCATATCGGCATTCGACAATCAAGAATCATTCAATTTCACTATCCGAGCAATCTAGGCTTTTAGCTTCACTCGTCCCCATCAAAGATGCATTCATATTAAAAGTATCGCGTTGTTCATTCAATTTCGTCTAAACCAGCAGTAAAGGGTTGATCGCGCATTCGTTTTCATTAATGGGCAAACATATTTCATATTTTGTCAAACATCTTTTAAGACTTCATACGTGTCCGTATTCCTTAGCGTATAATGAATTTTTCTCAGGAATTCTTTTTGTGCAACTCTTTACTACTGTGAAATGTAAGAAAACTACACATTTGACAACATTTCTGAGTTAATCTTATTGCAAAAGTACACTTCTTTTACCCTTAAGGGACCGAGGCGGAATGGTCAAAATAACCTGGCCCTTTTAGAGTTAAACATTTAAAAGTTTCCATGCTTTTCCGGACTACGTATGAGCGCCCTGTTACTGTCATGACATTTCAGGAAGACACTGTTCAGTTTTGGGGGTTTTCTTTCAAATTATTTATCCTAAATTTGCTAATTGAAAACATTTGTGGGAAAGGGTTGCTCACTGGCTTACTGCCATGCATACTGACACATCAAAGAATCACCAAAATAAAAGAAGTTTATAACAGCAAAATATCCAAAATTTTAACAACTTTGTTTTGCTTAAATAGCCATGTAACATGAATCATGCCCGGAATGCCATCACAGGTATTCTAATGAATATGAAACTTTGCATCAGCATAAAAACGGAGTAGGCACCAAAAACATACTTCAAAAATAACAAATGAAACTTGCAAATATGGTTAAATGTGACACAAAGATGTATTTTCAAGGTTTGCATAGCAAACTAACTTTGCATGGGCCCTGTGAATACAGTAAGTGTTCGATTAGACATGCGCAAGAAATCATTTAAGAAATAACTCAAGAGAAATGTTCCCGATGGTACATCCATTGCCAAACATAGGTGTTCCGATGTCTTGCACGTCAAGAAATCGTCAACGTTAAGATGCCCCTTGCTCAAACGTTTAAACAAGTAGAAAAGATTAACAGTGAAAAACAAATTATCTTAGTCCCTTCAATTAATTGATTCGTAATAACATATTGTTTCCCTTATAGGGCCTATCGGTTAATTTGTAACATTGTAAGTTTTACAGTTATCAAGTTTTTGAGGGAAATGAATCTCGGAGAAAAATAGGAAAATGTATCGATTATTATTTTTTTTTTCTAATTTAAATGACCAAACGATGAAAGGGATTGCCCATAAACGAATAAGAAACAAAAAGCATGGTTATACTTTACAAGCGCACAGATGTTTGCTAATTTGAATGCGTCAACCGTCAAAAGGTTGCAAAGACTTAATTTAAGACTGCTACAAGTTAAGTCTTGAATGCACCAAAACGAAATAGGATGCCCAAAAATAAAAACGAACATTCAGAGCAAAATCTTGGCTGCCTAAAAATGAAATTGAACGTACCCAAAACGAAAAAAAAAAACCAATTAGACCACATGTGCAAAACTCACGCAAAATTGAATGGCTGATAATAAAACTGATTGGAAAAATTCGGAAATTCGCCGGGAAAACCTATATTATATGTACATGTATGTGTTGGGAAAAATTAAAGATTTGATTGATTGACTGATTGATTAAATAAATGTGCAATCTGAGTTAAAACCTATGCCATAATATAGCAAGGCAATAGAGGCAGAAGATCAATGTTCTCCACATTTGGGGCCGCCCCGCGGTCCCGCCAAGCTGCTTTAGGGTACATTCAAATTACATGCGGGATACTAAAGCGTTGTGATGAATTTCATGCGGAATTTCATGTCATGTTCGTAATCCAATAAATAAATCCATGCTTGCCTTATTAGGACATTGACAAATCACATGACTTGTGAGGGTCAGAGTCAATATAAGGCAAACGAGACCAAATTTCCTCTGGGTGCGGTTGCGTGACGTCCAATCAGCTTCACCAAAAGTTGAATTGAATATTCATGATCTGGGCACGTGATCACTGGCGGCAAGCGTGCCAACTGTTCTACGAAAAATTCTCCTAATCGTGCACGCGCGGGCATAAATGGGCTTGGCGTGCAGAAGGGAAAGCGGTCCGTTGAAAATGTACATTTTGGTAATGTCCGGGCTTTGGCGCTTTTTTTCTTTAATACCGCCTTAAATAGCCAGTGGTATTACTTCTGGCTCAGTGTGTTTTTAGGGGGGGACATGATAAAAACTTTAAAAATTCCTTTCGTCCCATGCGCACGAGGGTAAAGAAAATCAGCAGCGCTCCTTTCTGCACGCGAGTGGGGAAAAAATAACTGACTAGTGCTTTGGGGTATCCGTCCACCAAATTTCGGGCCTGATCGCAGTGCTGAATCGCGGCGGGCTTCGCTTTGCTTAATCAGCCCATGATTCAGCCAGATTTGCGTGTTTTTGTGGGGGATGGGGTGTGGCTTGTGTTATATGAGTTGATTAATAGAAATGTCCATTACGCCCCAATGCATGTGAGGTGCAGCTGGGTGACAATTCAAGAGAGCAGCCTCCGAATTAAAACGTCGAATGAAAAAGGGCAATTAATTGAATTAATACGAACATTATTGAAAACCGGGAACCGCTTTAAAAATCCGCAAAGACTAGGCTGACAAGCCAACTCTGATACGCACATTTATTTGTTTATCATTACCAATCATGCCATTAGGGGTGCTTGCAATTGTATGCACACACAAAAAACAAAAACAAAGTAAGTTCCAGTGTAAGGGCCCAAGCCCGCCATCTTTGCTCGTGACGTTCTTAATCTACTCCCGAGTAAAAATCTTGTTCGTGAACACCGTTGGCGTGTTGTTTTCCGTCAATTGATACCCGGTTCCCGAGGTCTTTCAACACGGGACCGGGGTTTCCAATACACCCACTGGTACCACCGAAGAGCAAAGACCTGGCCACAGTGAGGGCGTTCTATGCAGGCGGTCTAATGACTAAATCCATTTCTTTTTACCCAATTGAATCATCAGCTGTTGCTCTCAAATGCCACGTGTGTGCTGCGTATGGAGATTGTAACGGCACGGAGATTGGCGAACTTCAGACTTGCCCGAGTGGGCGTGATGGTCCCGTGTCCAAACAGTGCTTGAAATTCGACGGGGAATTCTCCGCAACCATTCATGAAGGTAGCTCATCTTTATTGTCTTACTTCGTAATAAGAAACACCAATACGCCATTAATTTTCATCAAAATGAGGCGCTTTCACGCCGCTATTTCTGGGATACAGACAGTAAAAACAAGCACCTCGTTTGTTGCAGTAAATACAGGGTGAGTAAAACAAACAAACAAACTGCAATAATGCAAAAAATAATGAGTTCTCCTTTAACAAAACCAAGTTGAAGTTTTGACTGTTTTAAACCTGGTTAGAATGACATTCGCTTGTAACCTTGTGTGTAAAAATGAGGTTAATTGCATTTACCGTTCGTCTTTGTGAACGTTGTTACTGCGGTACTCGATTTACGTTTTTGTCCACGAAGCGTCCAAAATTTGCATAAGGGCATTATGTCCCCAAAGTCATTCTGTCCATGAGGTTTAGAGCTGAGACATGCATTGCCTTGCAGGGTTGCCAAATAGAGGGCAGAGCTACAATTATTGTGTGAGAAACGAGGGACACAGTGACTGTAGTATAGCCCAGTTAAACGTACCATAAACATAAAGAAGTGAAACAGAAGAAATAATCAGGCCTGAGATAATATGGCCTAAAAAAAAGTCGCCGGTTTCTGGTATGGAAATTGCCCAAAAAGTGGTGCAGCGACGCGGCTTCTTTTTTTTTACCTAAATTTTTTTGGGCTTCAAATGTCGGCTGATGACTGCAACTGGTGCCCGACTAAACTTAGTGCATATATATGGGAGTCCGGAGATGCCACATAAAGCTTATTCTCGATCATATCCCCATCTAAAAACACGTTAAAATTGTGCAGCAGCAGGATTCCAGTCAAACCATTGAGTTTGGCGGTTTTGAGACATCATCTTTCACTAAAAAAAAAAAAAAAGCCCTTTTTCCATTTTGCCGACGCGCATGGCTACGGCGACGCGCGCGCATACCAGAAACCGGAGACTCATTTTGTTTGGCCTATTCAGTCTGTTTTTAATCCGTGCTGCCTGTAGTGTCTTTATTGTACCTTTTCCGCTCTTAGGCACAATTCTGATTCCTCGCGGACAAAAACGTAAATCGGGTACCGCAGTAAAAGGTTCACTAAAAACGGTAAATACGATTTACTGATTTTTATTTGACACAGGGTTAGGCCAAAAAAAAAAATAAGTCGGTCTCTGGTCAGCGCGCGCGTCGATTTTTACCATGCGCGTGGATCATTTTTTTTTTCCAAAATGTTCCGCGGTAGCTCCAACAGCGCCCTCTATTTCTGCACCTCCTCAATTTTTTTTCCACAGAGCACCAAGGAATGGGAAATTGCACCAAGGCAAATGATCGAAAGCACCAAGGCAAATTATGGAGGACACCAATGTACACGAGGACACCAAAAAAGCAAAATAGTACCCACCTTGTATGTACAATTCCAGCTTGAAGGAAAAAAAAAAGCCAAAAAAAAGCCAAAAAAAAAAAAGCCGCGTGGCCGCGTCAATTCCGGAACTTTGGTCTGACCAGAGACCGAATATTTTTTTTTTTTGGCCTTACTAGCAAAAGTGTCATCCTCACAAGGTTAAACAGTTCGAATCTTCAACTCGGGTTTGAAAAAAAAAGCCCATTTCATTTATTGCAGTTTTTTTGTACTCATCCCGCATATATTTATTACAATGCATTTTCATGTGAGAAAGTTACAAGAAGGATCGCCCAGTCCCTATTAAAGCTGTAAACGTTTGTACAAACTGGTGTGGCATTTGATCATGGTAATAGTCCTTCGGACGAGAGGCCAAAAACGCCTCATTTTTCGAGAAACACGATCTGGTCCGCCGAATTTTATTAAACTTTCCAGACATGTAGATTATGACGTACCATATCGAAAAACATTGTTCCCCGATCCACAGTTTGTGTGGGAATGAAAAATCTGGGATAAAAACGCCGAAAATTCTCCATGAGAAAAACATAAGAAACAGCGCCCTCTGTTGACACAGTTAAAAACATGTTCACACGCAATAAACGCTTGCCAGATAATACTTCTTTCAAGTTCCCTTTGAAGATCATTACAGATCAAATTCGTCTAAACTGTTGCCGAATGGCAGAATTCAGAAATCGAATTCGTTGATTATAAATCATTTAGACGAATTTAATTTCTTGACTAAAAAGGTTTGGCGTAGACCAGACGAAATCGATACTCCGGTATGAAAACGTGTTCTGGTTGTTTTAAATTGCTTGAACTGAATTTTACGTTGTCACTTAAAAGACGAAAATAAACGTTGAAAGTGCACTAAATTGACGGTGATGGGCAAATATGAATATTACAACGGTGAATTCGAATGATAAACGTTTTAGAATAGCCGGGAAAACCTATATAACCTAATTTAATCCATTTATTCATCTATTTATTCTTTTTGTTGGGGAATTTAAACCTGCAAAGTTGTTACCCACACAAGAAAAATGGTATTTAGCTATAGGTTTGTTCAATCTGTACCGAATGAGCATTACTTGTTTATTTTCAACTAACCAAACGAGATTATGAGCACGAGTACAGGCCGGTAAGATAATTGTTGAATCACATATCAAAAGTCTCATCAAATTGAAGGACCTACTTTTTTGTTTGCAAACTTTTTGCCCACCCGCTTCCTTTTTTGAGACTGCATCAAATTTGTATTACTTTTTTTTAATTTCAGGAATAACATTTCTTAAAGATGTTTCAGAAGTTCAGGTGCTCCAGCGGATGCCACACACTTAAATTTTGAAAACATGTTACCCTGAGATAAGAGTTCACAAAATTAGCGGGTCTTGTTCTTGACACGTCATTATTGCGAACAACGACGGATAGGGGCATGGTGTGAGATCCTGCTCCGAGTGCAGTGTTCGTGAGTCGAGTTCCCGCCGTCGAGTGCGAGAACAATATTAAATACTAGCGTCAACTTGAGAACAGACCTCTCGAACTCGGAGTCGGACAGCCATTGCGTGAGAAAAGGTTCCTGACTGTGTCAATGGGGCCGCTGTTTCTTATGTGTTTTTTTTTCTCATGTAGGGTTTTCGGCGTTTTTATCCCAGATTTTCTCATTCCCAAACAAATTGTGGATCGGGGAACAAAGTTTTTTCGATATGGTACACCATAATCTACATGTCTGTGTAGTTTTATAACATTCGGCGAACCATACCGCAAAGGCCTCGTACCACGGACTATAAGGCACCCTCAACTTTCCTTCAGGAGATAAATATAAATTGGTAAAAATATTTCCTTCTTTTTCAGGAATCCCATACTCTTTCGAGGGAGTCCTGCGCTAATGCCTCGTCCTTCCGGCAAACCAGGAAGCTCCGCCCCTCCAGTGTTTCTCAGGCTCCGACGCTCTTGCGAACTATCGCTACATATTTGGACTTCCGGCGACTAATGAGACCTCTTTTACGGGCGATCTCTGCCTCTGCGCTAGCGACGGCTGTAACGGCGTAGACTCCCTCAAGCCGTTCCTCTGGCTGATCCTCACCGTGGGCCAGATGCACTTGCTGCTGATGTAAATGCTAGCCGGCGTGTACGTTTTTGACATAAAAAGTCGCTCAGATTAGAATCAGCAGTAGACTTACTTTTGAATAGTTAGACTACGTTTATTCTGCTGCAACTTATTCTGCTGCAAATATTTCACATTTTTAGCGTAGGATATTACAGCCTTGTTTGCGTGTTATCTTGGCACTAATTATGCATTTTCCCGCGCGTAGACTTTTACCATTCCAATTTAATTGTGAAACAAAATACATCTAAACCCACATGATAAGTGCATATTTAACAAGTAATGACTGCTTGGAATGGTGTTTGTTACATCACGTTTTACTACATCATGTTTGCTAGTTTACTACATCACGAGATAATGCCGTCAATATTTTTTTATAACACCTCTCCCACAGATTCTGCTTGATTTTAAGCGATAACCGATTACCTGTATACACATAACTGTGTTTCTATTTGACTACGACATCAATTGCAACTTTACTAGCACTTTTCTAAACTACCCTTCACAAATATTTTGAACCCAGCTCTGTAGCCCAACTGATAACACGGAACACTACGCGCAACGCTTAACGTGCACGTCCATATTCATCTGCACATTGTTCTTTGGTTGCTACGGATATAGTACTTTGGTTGCCCGTGATTGGCCGTGCAAAACAAGATGGCAAAATAGTGAAGGCCACAGGGCTTTTTACTTCATTATTGCATTGTTGACAAATTAAATTAAAGGAGACGAGACTGATTTTGTCAAATCATTGTGTATGAAGAATATATTGCGGAAATTGGTGAATTGAACTACGCTATTATCCAAAAACAAAAGTTCCAAGTTTCATTAACGAACCATACAATATCTGTCTTGTGCATTAATAATGATGTGTCTTTCTCAACCACTGATCAACGAGTTTATAATGTAACTGCGTGTGGGAGAAATGCAGCCACTTCAAAGAAAGAATTGATCAAATGATTTTAATTTTGCAATTTTCTTAAAACTGACTTTTCTTTTTATGGAGATCAGAACTGTCGATTGGTACGCAGTGTCAAGGCTGGATTCTTGTACATGGGGAAAAACATCCTGAGTTCAACACTAAGAGTACAAGGAACCAAGCGTTTATTTATTGAGATTCAAAACCTATATGTTGTATTTACTTAGTTTCCTGTTGGGAAAAACCCTTTGCAAGAAATATTCCGCTCAGAGTAAAAGTGACCGAAACGTTCCACTGGTAACCGGCTACCAGCAAGCTGAGTGTGCTGATACAGACTGATGTCATAGCGCCCTCTTGAGACATTTAAAAAGTTATACAACGCCGTGATGAATGCCAACTTTTGTCTAACATAAAGCGGCTCGTGTTCAGTATTGTCGCATGAGTTTGGATTTTGCTCAACCACAATCTTTCGGGTATCTCTCGTAAGTCAAGTTCAGACTCTGAACAATTTGTTTTGGTTGGCGACCAAGAGGGCACTAATTTAGTTTTCGCGGTTACCTTTTTCCCGAAGCAAAATGAAATTGCGCCCTCATATTCTGGTTGCCATATCTCACAAATGGTGTGCCAGCTTTCATGGATTGACCAGTAACAACAGTGAAGTAAAATCGCACTTCAAAAACAATGACGTCACTTTTACCTTAAACTGAATGTATAAAGTCGTTTTCTGCTTTTGCTTCTCTTTGACAAATTCACGTTTCGAGAGATGTTGCCATCAATAAAGATTTTGTACTGCAAACAATAGTGGCTTTTCCTGGTGTTTCTATTGCTGGTTATGCTGATGAAATCACGTTAATTCTTGCAACCCCTGGTTTAAAACCAAGACTGAAGTTTATGATTAGTATAAGTTTGTGAATTGATACACTAAGGCTGTGTTTTCTGTCCCCCCTTTAACAAATTCCATTTTTCCCCTATTAATTATTTGTTTAACCTGTATGTTTTATTTCTAACAATTCTAAATGTTCCCCCTTTTTTGAAGTCTGCAACCTTCTGAAAAAAATGGCATATTGTTTCCTTTTTTTTGGAGGGGGGGGGGGGGCACAAACAGAACCGCTTTGCGAGCAGACTGGCTCCCGGCCCGAATATTATCGATACTGATTGTGAGGCGGGAAAATGGAATTACTGGTAGCCAATAATGCGAACTGATACCAGGGGCGGATCCAGGATTTTCACAAAAAGGGGGGAGGGGCGTGAATTTTTGCAAAGCTGTGCGGGAGGTTTTGTTGTAGTGACACACCAACTCGCGAAGCCACTGCTTGGGGTTCGGGGTCCGCCTAAGGGCCCCGAAAATTTTTGAACTTTAGAAGTTCTCTGGTGCATTTTAGAGCAAATCTGGGTGTCTCTGCGGCAGATGTTTCCTCAAAATTCAGAGGAGATTTATAATATTTTTAAAAACAAATATTGAATAGCCATTTCACAACATTACAACTTCCTAAACTGGAAAAGTATATGGCTTAAAAGTAAGTTTCAAGTTGAGAAATAAGTCGGAAGAACACAAAAATCTGATTCCTATCACATTCCTCTCGCGCCATGAAACTTATCGAGAATGTCCATCAAAACTTTTTGATAAAAATTTGCCTTGCCTTATAATATATGAAAATATATTTAAGGTGTGTTATTCTTTAAAATAATGGAGAATTTAAGTCGTCCGCGCCACTATGCTCAAATAATGACAGTGTTAGTTACCGTCAGCCGCCGGCCGCAGCACTGGTCGTATATCGCGTCGTGCACACGGCGTACTATCGATGTGATAACAGCACTGTGTATTGTGTGGGACCCAGAAAAACCCATTCGTACTGTGACCGAAAAGTTTGCCGAAACACGCCACGGTGTATCACGTACGAGCGGAACAATCTCGTTATAAACATTTATTTTAATGGAAAATACATACACAGAAAAAGAGAGATCACATTCTGCATGGGAATTAATTTGAAGAAATTCTCTCTCTCCATCGATGTTCGTTTGGTATTTTCTATGATCCAAATTCAACGCACGAAACCGTCGCAACGTATATAATTATGTAGCCCGTATTTGTAGTCACTGGTTCCGGTCCTACATCATATAGCTTTGATTCTGTTGGGAACGCGGTGGGAACCAGTGAATGGCGATGGCACTGCACTGCACTGCCGCTTGCCGTACGGAACATCGTACATCGGCATGGCTTCGATGTCGTGAATGTGCACTTTGATGACACATGCGTCAGAAATGCAGGCTTTTTCCCTCAAGATTTAGCATGTCCAGTTGAAATTAAGAATAGCGCGTGTAACTTTTTTTTCTGAAGAAAAAAGGAGGGGGCGTGCGCCCCCACGCCTCCCCCGGATCCGCCCCTGGATGCATTTATAATTCAAAAACTAGACATTGGCTGATTTGTTTCGGTCGGTGTTTCATTCAAAAGTGAGCAACTTTTACATTTCTAGAAATAAATAGGAACTTGAGAGAGGAATGTATGTTAGGGATGAAACTCTAAAATTGCATTCGGAAAGCAACTGTTAGCATGACGTACGCCACATAACCGTGTCAACTAAACATATTTAGACCATATACAGGGTGAGTCAAAAAGAAAGTTACCCGATTTGAAATGTTTTTAAAAAATATTAATACGTCTGAAATATCTAATCATGCGTGACTTCATTTCATTCCGAAAGTTTTTGATTGGTCAATTTCGATGTCATGTTTTTGTAATACACAACCTGTAAAAAAATGCTATTCATCGTGGGTGTGATGTTGTATTACATTTGTCTGGTTCGCAGACCAAACGATTCTGACTATTCCTGATGAATCTTAGGTCCGGTAGCCTCCGGTAATACATTGTATTACAAGTAACATCACGTGACTAAAACGGGAGGAATTTCTTCTTTTTCCGAAAATTTTCGAAGTTTGCCGAAGTCGTTTCGTCGACAATCGGATAGCGCCCGAGTATATCCGAATATAATATAGTTTTAATTAACTGCTAATTGCTTATTAATTTTATTTTAAATGAGTTGATAATTAATATTCATTGCTTTCATTTAGAAAACTTGAAATTCAACGACGATTTTGTGCATCAAATATACTCTGATCGTATGGGCGAACTTTTGCTGCGTCATGTACAATTTTGAATTTGACGACCGGTACCGAGATTTTCCAAAACTCGGTCTTCATTCGGCTCCGCCTGCTAACAGTGCTATTTGGGTGCCTAATTTTGAAGATTCCAGATCAACATTAATCAATATTATCTTACAGAAACATCAAACTGTATTATCATAACTGTATGATATTACGAAGCAAGTGATTTATTTAAATTTGATCAGAACATTAAAAGGTAAAAGCGATAAAGCGAAATCGAAACGAAGCCGAGCTTTGAAAAAGGGCCATCAATGTCTTCATGTTTATCTTTAGCCATGGAGGCTGCCTGACCTAAGATTCATCAGGAATAGTCAGAATCTTTTGGTCTGGGAACCAGACTATTATTACATAGACTACCGGGGGAGGGGGACCCTGCGAGATTGACCGGGATTGTCTGAATTCCTTTATTGTTCAATATGTGCATGACATGCCGTTTGGGGGTGGGGTGGGTTGGGTGGGAGGTGTTTTGAGTCACTCCCGGTAAGTGAAATATTGCAACATTAATGGACAGCATCACATTTTGAGAAAAAAAGCACCGAGACAATAGTTCTGCTGCATGCAGATTAAAAAAAAGAAGGGAAAAATGCACTCAGTTTAGTTTTTCAACTGTTAATGTTCTCAAACTTATCACTTATACTCCAATACTTCCCGTTTTTTATCGTCCGTCTGTCGTGGGTCACAACTCATGAATTATGCATTTTATTTGACCTGGCCGTAAAAGTGGCACATGCGCACAACCGTTTTTCGCTTTTTATACTACGGCCGAAAATAGCGGTGAGTTGCGTTCAGCCATTTCAAAGGACAGGAGTTCAGAAACGTGTTCTGCAAATCGCTCATTGATAAATCCTTGCCAGAGTTTGCATTGATATCCATTCGTCATCATGGGTAAGTACATTCGTTTCTTAACCATATTAAGATGTACCCAATATAATGACGGGAGTATAACAACGAGTATATAAGCATCGCTCTCTCCAGCAGTTGATGTCGGTCGATAATTGTGTCCGCAAAGGTCCGATTTACAGGACTTTTTGCCCCGAAGCCTCGGCACCATTGCCAAGGTCTTTTTCCGTTCAAACGAGAAGGTTTTATGAATTATTTTGAACCTTTTTTTCGGAAATTATCCCACATTCACCCTGATTTTAAAGTCAGTGTGCGGCTCTTTAGTCAGTATACGTTGTTTCAGAAAGTAAAATAATACTGAAATTCACTTCAATATAAGAAAAGTATAGGTCCTTATTTTAAAAGGCGATTTTTTTTTTAACTTAATTTTGTATTCATCCGCTTTTGAATTGCGTTCCTTATTTTTGTTTTATCATCTATTTATTTTACTTTAAATTTCCGTATAAGATGAGTTTTATTAAAAATTTAGTAAATATAAGCAATAATAATAAGAATATATGGTTTTGCGTCGGGGTGGTGTAAATCATTATTAGTTGTTGCCCTTCGTCGACGAATAAACGCTCTATACTCAGTGTGAAACCTCCCGAGTGAAAGTTGGGAAAATCACTCGGGTGGGACTCGAACCCACGACCTCCTGCTTTCATTTTTGTATAAGTTTATCAATGGCACATTCTTTAATGAAGCATTACTCATGGCGCTACAGCAATATAACGATTAACATGGCGGGGAAAAAAATGAAATCCATTATACAAAAGTTATACAGAGCCAGTACGCTTGTTTTAATAGCAATGCTAAGTTCCTTTTTTGAAAGGAAAGCAGAAGTTGTAAGTCCTGCTCGGGCAACGAGCCAGGAGAAAGTAATTTATGGCAAATTTTTTAATCTATTTTTTTTGTTCATGTATTAAAGCTCACAAAAGCTCGAAAAGCAAGGTTAAACATGAAAAACGGATTAAACAAAATCGTTCTTCAAAACCAAGGGTGACAAAATCTGAGTTAAATTAGGTTTTGCCCTTCACCGACATATAAACACTGTATATTCAGTGTGTTACCTCCCGAGTGAAAGTTGAAAAAAAAATCTCAAGTGGGGCTCGAACCCACGACCTCCTGTTTTCAGAAAGTGCAGACGTCTTACCACTCGACCACCGAGCTAACGGGATCGGTTGGCTGGTTCAAATGTGAAGTACATAGCAGCGGGTACCGCATTAACTATTCATAAGATGGATTTTTTTCTTGCACTAGAAAGCAGGAGGTCGTGGGTTCGAGACTCACCCGAGTGATTTTTTTTCCAACTTTCACTCGGGAGGTAACACACTCAGTATACAGTGTTTATACGTCGATGAAGGGCAAAAGCTAATTTGATTAACATCACCCCGAACCCCAAAAATTAGATCTTATGAATAAAATCTGAGTTTTTACTGCCGCTGTAGTGGAATCTAAAGGGTAACAAAAAATGACATCAACACTCGTAATTGTGACTCTTAAGTTATCAAGACAGTGAATAATCTCTGTTTTCCCTGTCCCTACATACTGTAAGAAAGCCGGGTTTCGTGATTGGACTTAAGAATATTAGGAGGAAAAAGCATGGAGTGTGTAAATATTATCAATCAACCCACCAACTTTTTTTCTCGATAGTGTTGATTTACATCTTTTCATATTTTTTTTTAATTGCAGAGGGGAAACTGTTGATTGTTCTGTTGGTTGTTTCCACAGCATCCAGTGGTATGTTTATTCAATTTGTTTTCAATCGTGTTATTAGTTTTGTTGTTATTCTATGTTGTTATTCTGATATTGTATGACCAGAGTGCATCTCAAAAATATTTTGTAAAGAAAAATTGATTTGAAAATCCAAGGTCTCTTTTTTTATTTTCACATATTTCAGCTGCTGGTAAATGGCCTAAAGGGTGGTGTTATAAACTGAAAGTTAATATTTAGTTTCTTAATCGTGATCTTTGGATTTTTAAAGGGATTTTCAAACAGTTCACTATTAACCGCGACATTTCAGCAAGCCAATATAGCGCTGTATTAATGGTGAAAAGACGTATCTCGAAAATCGAGAAATATGTTTGAAGTAGTTTAGTACAAAGTGAAGTTTTCTAAAGAAAATTTCTACTTGACAGATATAAGTATATTTAGTTGTTAACCCCAGTCGTTTTTGATATTGAAGGAAGGATATATATTCTCCGCAAGTGCGTTATTCCCTAAATATTAGGCAAATTGCTTCAAACTACTGTGAACTACTGATTAACCCTAAAGGGGCCGGAGTCCGCCCCCCCCCCTCCTCCGCGATAGCTTCAAGAATTTTTGTTCCGCGAACCGAGCTGTTCGGACTTGCGCATCTTTTGATACCAAAAACATAAAATTCAGAGCACGGGTTGCCGCGGAGCGAAACATTTTCCGGCGCGTAGACACGGGTTGCCGCGGAGCGCAACATTTTCCGGCGCTTTATATACGCGCCGTGAAAACGGAACTTTCTCTTATTATGTCGTGAACACAGAGCAGAATTACCATTCGTACATATGAATATTTAATGAGCCATTATTCCAAAAGCCTTTGCATAGGCGTAGCAAGCAGGGGGGGGGGAGGGGGGTTATCTACCCCCCCCCCATTATTTTGTAAAGACTACCTTTTTTTTCAATTCAAATGCCCTTTTTTGAACGGGCTTCCCCCCCCCCCCCAATAAGTTGTAAAGAGTGCCCTTTTTTTCTGAACAAGTGCCCTTGTAAAAAAATAAGTGTTGCCCTTTTTTTGTGGCATCTGCCTGTTTTGGGTGCCTTTTTGAGAATTTCGCACATGTATCTCCCTGAAAAGCACCCTATATTGGCCCTTTGTGTGCATAACCGTTGGTTTTGAACAGCGCCCCCATCGACAGATGGTACCAGCGGCTGAGGGATGATCAAAATAGTCCGGCCCTTTTAGGGTTAATGGTTGAATTGCACAGGCCCTTGCGAACGCAAGGCCAGCATTTTTTTATTTATTGGATAACAAACCCGCTGATTCTGAATATGACAATTCAAACAAAAAAATTAGAAAATCACCAGTATTTTATTCCCCACCCGAGATTGTTTACTTTTGGAAAGAGAACTATCTCAGCATTACTGATGTGAAAACCACATGCTGATACCATCTTTAATTAGAAATTATGGTCGGAACACCAAGAGATGTGATGAAGTCATGTGATGAAGTGGCCCTAATTTGGCCTGTATCTCCAAATAAAAAAAATCCCGACAAATGATTCATTTAGCTTGATCGCATCACAATTGTAATTAATATTTTTTTTTCCACCGCAGTACTTTTCGTAAATTGAGAAAAAAACAAAGGACTTCCTTTTTGGTTTTCTGATTTTGTTTCCTGAATTGCATTGCACGTAGAAGTGCTGAGCACATACACAATGATGGAGCCAGCGCGCAATGGCCCATCTTGTCGTACAGTGTACATCATCATGGATTGCAATAACGCAACACGTTGTAGATCTTGTGGTTCCCTATGTACACGGATGGGGGCGTCCCTTGCTTGGTGCCGCAATTGGAATATTTCCCCTGACTTCCTTCATGCGGTGTTGTCAAACCTCTCGTTGACAAGCTTCAGATTCATTCAGTCAGGCACCGGTAATATATCCTTAACAACGCTTGCTGTTAAAACCTCGTGGATATCTTTAGTGTAATAAATAAAGGCTGAAGTAAAAAAGAAAGAGGCGGCGTCCGGAAAATGACACAAAATCACCCTAACGTGGTGCACTTGAACACATCTCAGCAACTCCCGAGTGAACATTTAATAATTTCTTGTTAGTTGACAAAGTCTGATAAATCGTTATTATCTCCACTCACATACAAGTACATGTTTGTCAGAACATTATGTGTTCATTTTGGAAGCATTTAAAAAGGGTTCACTGCGTATACTACAAAATAAAACAGGAAAGGCGTAGGTAGCGGGTATAAAAGTAAACTCAAATTTTATAAACGGGAATGTTTAAAGCTTGGTAAAATTTCACTTAATGTGCAACTTGAGGTTAATCTTTGCTATAATATAGCAGGGCAATAGAGGAAGAAGATCAAGGTTTGTCATGTTTGGGGCCGCCCCGCCAAGCTGCTTTAGGGGAGATTAAAATTACACCTGTACTGTAGCGTTGTGTTTGTACAAAAAAGAACTTCAAAATTGTATTTGTATTTGTTATCCGTCCCCCAATCCCGCGAAGTTTCATGTCATGTTCTTAATCCAATATAATAATGCTTGTTTTATTTGGACATTGACAAGTCACATGACTTGTGAGAGTAAGAGTCCATATAAGGTAAACGAGACCAGATTTCCCCTTGGTGCGGTTGCGTGACGTCCAATCAGCTTCACCAGGAAATGAAATGAATATTCATGATCTGGGCGCGTGATCACTGGCGGCAGTCGTGCTAGCTGTTCACCTATATCATAATAATAATGATAATATTTTATTCGGCAAATTTATATGTACACACAATTATAATAAATACTCAAAATTGGATTTTGGAATAAAAGTATATAAATAAAAAAAACCTATTTAGTGTCCCCGCCCGCATCCTTTTTGGATGCCCCCTCCTTATTTATAAACCCCAAAAATGATACCTTTTAAACAGTGGTATCATTTTGGCCTCCTTAAATGGTGCATCTAGCCCATTATGAAGCTGGTAAGTCATTTCCTGAGTCCAAGTGGCGGCCATTTAAAAAAAAAAAGGGGTGGCCATCTGAAAAAAATAACCGGGTCGGGCGGCCATTCTGGAAGGAAAAAAATGGCCTCCTCTTTCCTATTTTTTAAAACGCTCAACATGTTTTTTTTTTTATTTGGCTTTAACAATACGAAACCTAATTCACACTACACACGAACGACATAACGTGGACAGCGCAGGGCAGCGAAGGAGAAAAAGCCCCAAAGTGAAAGAAAATACAGTAGCCAATAGGGCATGCCTCTCCAACCCTGCACAATGACAGTCATAACACAGACCAAGCACAAAACAATTAAAAACACCAAAATCGCAGGGGGGGGGGAGGTCTAGGAAGTTAATGGGATTAAACAAATGGGCAGGGCAGAGGGAAAGGGAAGTGGATAGGAGAACCGGGCAGTACAGTAAGAGAGGGTTAAACAGGGCCAATAAGAAGGGGTGGGGTATGAGACAAAAAATGGGAAGAGAAGCAACAAAACCAACTGCGGAGGAGAGGGCTGGGGAAAGGGGTATGGTGGAGGAATTTATCCAGTAGAGCAGATAAATCATGGCAAATTAAGAACAACATTAAAATTGTGTTTTTAAAAGACAACAGCAGAGTCTAAAAAGGTTTGGTTCAATTACTGTAGTCTGAGTAAAAAAAAAAAAACCAAGGACATGAGGCCAAAAAAAATTGTCGGTCTCTCGTCAGACCGAATTTCCGGAAATGATGCAGCGACGCGGGGTTTTTTTTGGGGTAATTTTTTTGTTTCAAGCTTGTATTGTACAGACAAGGTGGGTACTATTTTGCCTTTTTTGTGTCCTCATTATACATTGGTGTCCTCCATAATTTGCCTTGGTGCCCTTTATCATTTGCCTTGGTGCAATTTCCCCATTCCTTGGTGCTCCTTGGTACAAAAATTTGAGGAGGCGCGGCAATAGAGGACGCTATTGTAGCTTCCGTGTTAATTTGAAGGAAAAAAAAAGGTTGATTAAGATTAAGAGTTTCCGAAAACAATATATAAAATAGACGAGGGGGAGGGACATGCTAACATATCAACCAAGTATCGGGATAAGTACTCCATTTTCTAACAAACTGACATGGAATGGAATATTTCAATATGTCAAGCCCCCAACAAGCCCCATCCCTTCCCACACAAAACCCCCAAATCTGGCTGAATCACTCGCTGATTCAGCAAAGGTGAAGCCCGCCGTGAATCAGCACCGCGATCCGGCCCGACATTTGGTGGACGGAACCCACAAGTCAGTTATTTTTTTTACTCGTGAGGAAAGGACCGCTACTGATTTCCTTCGCCCTCCTGCGCATGGGACGAAAGGATTTTTTTTTGAGTTTTTATTCTGTGCAGCCCCCCCCCCCCCCCCTCAAAAAAAAAAAAAAAACACACACACACACACACTTAGGCCAGAATATTAATAATAATAATAACAACGGTTTCTTATATATAACGCTTTTAGCTAAGATCAAAGCGATTTGCATCATTATTACCCAGATCATTGGCCCAATTAAACATACCAAATACCATCTCCGCTCCCTAGGGAGTATACAAGTCGATGCTACCATTTGGGCGCGAGGCAGCAACAATCATCTCACAATAACCATCTCTGCCCTCACAGGTACCCATTTCCTGGGTGTGGAGAGAAGCATTGAGTGTCAAAGTGCCTTGCCTAAGGGTACAGCACCAATAACCCTAGAATGGACTCGTTTTCGTGTTCATTCAACATGGGAACACGCCACGTGGCTTTCACCGAGGAGTAAAGACATGTCCATAGTGAGGGCGCTCTATGCAGGCGGTCTATCGACTCAATTCATTTCTTTTCAACCCATTGAATCCTCAGCTGTTACTCTCAAGTGCCACGTGTGTGCTGAGGGTGGAGTCTGTTCTGACGGCGAGATTGGCGAACTTCAGACTTGCCCGAATATCTCTAGCCGGGTGGCCAATCGGTGCTTGAAATTTGACGGGGAATACTCCTCATCTAATCCAGGTTTTTCATCTTAATAGCCTTCTTTCGTAAAAAGAAAGAGTAATACGTCATCATAACTTAGCAAATCAGGGCGCTGTAATACCGCCATTTTTGGGGTACAGACAGTAGAAACATGTTGATGGCAGTTTAGTACATTTAGTGCAATAAATAACAAAAGTGTGAGAAAATTACAAGAAGGATTGCCAAGTCTCTAAGCAAGTTTGTACAAACTAGCGTGACATTAATTGTTGACCATAAGAGCTCCCTTAACTTTCCTTTATGAGATAAAATAATGTAAATTGTTAAACACATTTGTTTTCAGGAAGCACATTCTCTTTAAAAGGAGTCATACGCAATTGCTACTTCCATCGGCAGGAAGGCGTCCCCGCCCCGCCCCTCCGGTGCTTATCTGGCTCCGACGCTGAAGCTTACCTCCCCAACGTACACTTAATCACCGGCGACTACTGCTTCTGCGCAAGCGACGGCTGCAACGGCGTAGACTCTCTCAAGCCGTTCCTCTGGTTGATCCTCACCGTGGGCTTGATGCACATGCTGCTGATGTAAATGACGGCTGGTACGTGTACGACCACCTATATGTGGAACAACGCACGGCCAAATTACATGTTTAGCTTAAACTCGCTTAGTTTAGAATGAGTAGCAGGTTACTGTTGAATAGTTAAACTGCTTTATTCTGCTGCTTTACTTTTACAGATTCCCCCCCTCCCTACGATTTACTTTTTTTCGGAGGTCGGGTGTCAGTGCTGAAAGAGAGACTATTTTTTTTTACCGGACACCCAAATGTGCTGATTTTGTACTTTTGGTTGCTTCAGGTGTAGTGATTTGGTTGCTATGGATGTACTTTTTTGCTGTGCACAGCAAGACAGCAAAGATAGCGAATGCCATGTGACTAGCTCTCGACCAATCAAGATACAGAATATGTGGGTGAGGCGTTATAACAAGGTTTTTTCAAAATGGTGTATAGTATTTCAAGGATGCTGGTGATAGAGTAATACAATATAGAATGAATATCTCATCATCAGAAATTACCAATAATCAAGTGCACACGATTTAAAAAGTAACTCTGGCTTGCTAATTACCATAACAAAAAGCATTTACTCTTTCGCTCTCTTGTGTAATTGACCTATCGCCGTTTGTGAGTTAGACACGCCCCTTACACAACTCTATGGATTTTTTGTAGGTACATTTGTATATCATGTATTTCACAAACTGCGTTGACGCCATTCTACCGCGATGGGCTAATAAGCCATTTGCTAGTAACCTATACCCTTTGGGATTTACATTTGAAAAAAATCTTGTACACTGACTTGCTCAAAATGCTTGGCACATTTTAACTTTGATTTCTCCAGACCAATGACACTGTTGCTAATAACATGATTCGGGGCAAGCTCTTGCATAGTTTAGTAAGAGACGCTTAGCACCAATGCATTGTTCACAATAGGTGAGAATGGCACAAAGACACCAGACAATGCCGGAGCCGGGGATTGCTAGCGTAAGGCTTACCCCGAATCACGTGATATAGTAACAGTCTCTTTGGTCGGGGAGAATACAAGGTTAAAACGTGCGAAGCATTGTAATAAGTCATTGTTCCAGATTGTATTCAAATTTAAGTCGCAAACGGCTTATTGGCTACTCACTCTTGGCGCCTATAAGCCCCACCCACTGCACACGTGGTCAGTTAACATGTGCTCCCCGCAATGCCACACTGCACGTTCTAGCCGCACACGTCATACGTGTGTGCGCGCTTGTCGAACTTTTGTGTAGGCATGTCGCACATAAATCACGGATCTGATTGGTGAGAAAACCATGGGGCGGGGCTCGGTGTATTATGCACACGCGCATCTGTACCTTTATCCCATATACTTGTTGTATACTGTAAATCAACATGGCGAAACCTACACTACATAATTATATTCACTGCTTCATAGGTATTTTATATCATTCATTGCTTTGATCAGTTAAATAAATAAATATCATGTTTATATTTTTTCCCTAAAATTACCAAATATAAAAAACAGGGCTTTTGATATCATACTAGTGGTAGTCAAATAGAACGAGACTTATTTTTTAATTAGATTAAGTCAGTCACTGAATTATCGTATAAGAAGCATCTAGTGCGAAAATTGGTGACATGAACTATGCAAGTACAATGTACTCAAAGGCAAAAAGTAAAAGTTTAATTATCCAAGCATAACTGTCTTGTGTATTGATACTGCTGTGTCTTCTTCAACCAATGATCAAATAATTTATTATATAAATGCGTGTGAGTGAAATGCAGTTATGTCAAAGAAACAACTGATCAAATGATTTCAAATATGCGGTGTTCTAAAAACTGACATCTTTCTTTAACCCTAAAGGGGCCGGGGGGGGGCGGAATCCGCCCCCCCCTCATCATTTTCCGTTATAGCCTCTAAAAAAAATTTTCGCGACCCGAGCTGTTATGACTTTTCAGCCTCGAGCTTTGCGCATCTTTTGATACCAAAAACATAAAAATCGGACCACGGATTGCCACGCGCCGTGAAAACTGAATTTTCGCATCTACGTCGTGTACACAGAGCAGAATTGCCATTCGTACATATGAATAATTAATAAGCCATAATTCCAAAACCCTTTGACCTATAGTCATGACATTTCTTGGTTACGTTTAGAAAGAGTTGATCTATGCATGTGTCGAGTTTCAAAATTTTACGTCACTCGATGGCCGAGATCTTAGGGGGGGGGGGGGGCGGAATCCGCCCCCCCCCCCCCCGGCTGAGAGATGGTCAAAATAACCCGGCCCCTTTAGGGTTAAGGGGACCTGATTTGTCGATAGCTATACTCAGTGTTAAATCTGGATCCATGTACTTGGGGACGACAATTCCAAGAGCTCAACCATATAAACATTGGCAGTTTCGTTTTAAGAAAAGACCCTATGTAAGAAATATTCCGCTCAGAGTAAAAGTGACCGATATTTTTCCACTGGTAATTTACCGGCTCCCAGCGAGCCGAGGACGCTGGTGTAGACTGATGTCATAGCGCCCTCTTGTGACATGGAACGAGTTATATACAACGAACATAAAGCGGACACCAAGGCTTGTGCTTATTGGTGTCGCGTCAGTTTATATTTTGATCACCCATAATTCTTTGGGATTCTTTCATAGGTCAAGTTCAGACGCTCAGCAATTTTTTTTTTGCATGGCGATCAAGAGGGCGTATTTATTTTGGGTAGACTCCTTCGTATGTCCCGAACCAAAATTTAATAGCGCTTTCATATTCTGGCAGTCATATTGCACAAGTGCTAGCGACTCAGCCTGTGCCAGCTTTCATCGATTGACCAGTAACAACAGTGAATTGAAATCTCATTTTTTTAATAATGACGTCACTTTTACCCTAAGCTGGTATTTTTAAAGAGCTTTCCGCTTTTGCTTAGCATTGGTAGTAATAGCCAAATCTCTTTGACAAATTCACGTTTCGAGAGATATTGCCATCAATAAAGATTTTGTATTGCAAACAATTGTGGCTTTTCCCTCTATTTATATTGCTGCTTATGGGATATGTTGATACTATCAAGTTCATTTTAGCAACCCCTGGTTTGAAACCCACACTGAAGCTTATGATAAGTATAAGTTTGTAAATTCGGACGATTCACAATGCAGTGCGCCACCAAGAGTTTGACATGGAGATTTCATTTTTCAAGTTTACGGTCGACGAAACGTGGCCCATTTGAATGAGTGTTAGTAGACAATTTGAGCTAATTTGTTAAAGATTAGGGAATTCTGCCGCCTTACAAAAAATACCATATATTGATAATAAAAAGGGCAAACAGATGCTCGAAGCATACGCTTACGAAACTACTGACCGAAAAAATCGAGCAATTTCAAGTGTCCCGCGCTGCGAATTTGTCGACCATTTCCCACAGTGCATCGGAAAAAATGAACTCTCCGTGGCAAACTCTTGGTGGCGCACTGCATTGTGAATAGCCCGAATTGATACAATAAAGCGGTGTTCCCTGTGCTCTCTTTAACGAAATGTTTTTTGATAAAAAATTTGTTTTACCTGTACTTGTATGTTTTATTCTAAGCAAAACCATACCCCGCCCCCCCCCCCCGCCCCCCCCTTGACGTCTGCACCCCTCTGAAAAATAGCATTTTATTTCTTTGGGGTGCGACAAACATAATTTGCTTTTGCGAGCAGACTGGCTCCCGGTCCAAACATTATCGATAATGATAGTGAGGCGGCCGGAATCGGTCCAATATTGTAAACTGATAACGTTTTAAATCAAAAATTAAACTTTTACCCATTTTTGTTTCGGTCGATGGTTTTTTGTCGGAAGTGAGTAACTTGTGTATTGCTCGAAAACAAAATATGAACTTGAGAAAGGAGTATAGCACGTGGAACGTGGAACGCAACTTAAGCACTGCATGAAGTACGTCATATAAACGTGCCGCCTGAACACATTTGGACCATCATGGTTGTTGAACTGGGGTACTGACAACTCTGGTCTGGGTACCGGTACACATGCAGCCGATGTGACATCAATCCCACCTGAAGATACATTTCCGACGTTTTCTTTCAACATCATCGCAGGTTTAATGCCTAAACCGTCTGACTCTTTCCTGCCGTTGGTGCAAACCAGCGGCCGGTGCACCTCAGCCGGTGTCATATGAAAATCGGACTCCTATGAAAATCGGACTCTTTTTCCCTTTTATTGGTTAAACCCTCTCAGGTGACCGGTCCCCCTCCTAATCATCTATGCATGAGCATGCGCAATATCACCAATGAGTCCGTATTTGATAAAACCTAAATTCATGCTACACCGGTATTGCATCCATTGGAAAGGCCGTTGCGCATTACACTGGCGCAACAATTCTCGGAGCGATCGGTTGTTCTTCAACCGTTACTGGAACAATCAGTGGTACGGCCGGTTGGTGTTCGGTTCAAGGCTGAAGCTTAACAAACGCTAGCGTAATACGTCCGAACGCCACTGCTTCTTTCGGGAAAACTCATTTGGCCACCTTGGTGCCGTTGTCTGTCTGCAGAACGAATCCTCCAGGCATTGTTCTGCCAGGGCGGCTGTGGAGTCGAGTCGAATTATTAACACGGGCGTCGCTACAGGGGGGACTACTCCCATTAGTCAGTTTTGTCGGCAAAATAGAAAAAGAGTCCATCCCGAGTGATTGTGTTCTCCACCTTTCACTCGGGAGGTAACACATTGAGTATACAGTGTTTATACGTCGGTAAAGGGGAAACCTAATATTGAATTAACATCACCCGACGTAAATTAAACGTTAACGTCAACGTGAACACCACAACAAATACACAATATTAGTCCCGCCGCAGCCACCAATGGGTGCGTTCGACGAGAACGTTCGATTAGCCATCACGTGATCATCGTGTCTGCTCCGGTGTCAACCAAAACTACCCCAGCTCGTGCGAGGTTCTTTGGTGGCAATATACTAGGGTGTGTTTACATTTGAAAGTCCCGCCCCAAAAACAATCCATTCACCGCAGCGTTCGATTAGCTTTATATGGTGGCTTCCCCGGGTGTAGCCAGTGTATATACGGGG